TGTCAACACTTTGTGAATGATAACTAATATTGGTTGATTCTTTGATGTGATTACATGTTGGCAAGACTTGAAAATGATAAAGGCAATTTTTTTCTTTGTAGTAGATATAACCCAGAACCAAATAGTCAACCTTGCATTAATTTTAGGACATCCATTTAAACCCTTATGAGCCAAAAATAATATTGTTTCTTAAACAGAACCCTTAAGCCTAAACACTATTTATCTACCTTCTTATATTTGAGAAAGAAAATGAGTATGAATGTCACTATGTTTCTTATTATTGGGTATTGTTTTTGTTGTCCTACAGGTATTATTGGGGTGTTATTCTTAAAAAAAAAAGTGTAAAGAAAAAGGAAAAACAAAGCTTAAAAATTGGCAAAGTCAAAAAGGATACATGCAAAAGCATGAGAAAAAAAAAATTATAAAAGTAGCTCAAGAGGGGAATAATAACTTGTGAGATTATTAACTCACTGTCATTATGTTAGGGACAAAAGCATGAAATTTGAAACCTGACTTGAGGAATTGTTAATCAAGAATCATTCATATGAGTTGAATTTCTCAAATATTTTTGTATATCCCAGAAAAACCAATAATTTTTTCTTAGTTCAACCCCATTACAAGCCTCAAAAGACCTTTTGATTTAAGTTTTGTTTAACAATTGTTGATTGCTTGAAGATGATTATCAATATTGGATTGTCTAAATGAAGTGATTGAATGAGATAAACACTTACCTGGGAGAATTAGATATGAGTATATATAACTCTTTTTGAGAGATCATGCTTCTCTGAGGATAGTTGAGGACTAATTATTCCTTGTTGGTTTCTATAACTTGAATGTTTATGTGTTCTATTTTCATTTTGAGTTGTGAGCATCACCTCTAAAAAATTTTATGTTGTGGTTCTAGAAGAGAAAGTGATAATAGGCGAAGATTTTGTTTTGGAAAAACTACTTTGCTTGGGACAAACAAGATTCTAGGTTGGGGGGAGTTGTTAAGTGGTAAAAAGTTAATATAATTATGCCTTGAATTGTTATGAAACCACTTAACTTATGTTAATTCTAATATATTTTTCTCCCAATATAGGATGAATTCGAGAATACCTTGATACAATAGTAAGGAACATAATTGTCAGCATAATTGGAGTAAAATTGAAAGAAAGAAGAACGCTTAAGTGAATGAATGATGCGAGGCCCGACCCAAATTTTCTTATAAAAAGATAAGTTGTGTTTTGAGAAAAAGAAGCAGTTTTGGAGGAGAAGAGGCGCGACTACTGCTAGGGTTTCGTCCAATCTTCATCAATTCTTCACTTCTTCATCAATTAGAGTATTGTAATGGCCAACATGAGTGACTAACTTCATTCTCTTAGGATTCGGTGCACTTCCTTTGAGCTCTTTTGTATCATGGTGATATTTTGAGATATTAATCTATGCTTTTATGTTGTTATTTTTATCATTTATGCTTTGGAATAATTTATTTTTTATGTTTGGGGTATGATTGGAAAATATATCTTTAACCCTATATCACGGTAAGAATATTTGTTATGTTAATTGTCAGGAATGGAATGAATGTATCAATTGTTTAACACTCTAACCCTAATGCTGGAAAATATCTTAATTGTGTGAGGAATCAACATTTATTAGGTTTTTTTATGAATTTCATGTATGAGGAATCAACATAGATGATTTGAATAGGTGACATCAATATTGTTAGGTTAATTAACGTTTTTAATTGATTTAGCCATTACAAAAGAGGGATAAGGAAGGAAATCAATCCTAAGTACCTTTAATTGATATTTTCTCAACAATCTACAGTTCTTTGTCATTTAATTTCAATTCAACTCTTATTTGTAAAATCTAATCTGTTTAATCTACTTAGTAATCATAATTGAGAATTTCCATTGAAACTATTATTCGTGGAATCGACTTTTATTTAATTAAAATACTATACTGCGATTGATAATTTTGGTACACTTGCCAATAATTCAACCTATTACTCACCCTGCTTGGTTTAATATTAAAGCTGCGTTGGTTAGTTTTTGGGAAGCTTTCAGTCATGTTCTCTGCCCCTACAATAACCCTGCCAGTTGGTTAGTTTTTGGGAAGCTTTCAGTCATGTTCTCGGCCCCTACAATAACCCTGCCAGAACATCAATAGCAGGATTTGTGGATTGTGATATTACGTATTCTATTGTATACTTAATGAGTTAGACTTTATGTATTTGCATTATTTTTGTTTAAAATACTTTTCAAAATTCTGATTTATGTCTTGTTATGAACATAATTTGCTTTTATTCACTTGGTTAGATGAGAACAGTTGGTGATGTGCCAGGTTATGCTTAGAGGTTTGTTCTATGTTCGTAAAATAGTATATTTAGTAAAGTTTGTTTTGGACACTGGTTAAGTTCTAATGCAGCAGGGGTTATAATGACGACTTGGTGATCAAATTTGAAGGAAATTATAGGGAATGTGAGATAAGTGATGGGTTTGAATCTTATACTAATAATAAATTAACATAGTAGGAACTATCTATTTAAATCAAATCCAATACAATATTTATTTGGGATTTGATTCTTATCTATGATGCAGTACTAGATTTTTGTTATCAAATGCTACATAACTAGATAGGCATGGTAAACGTAGATAAAGATAGGTCTATGTATTATCTAATTTTTTTAAAAAAATGGGTATGAATATAGTTATTTGCCTTTGCTATGTCTTTTTATATATTTTTAAAATATATCTACATAAATATGTTATTGTTCTTGTTAATTGATTATCTTTTTTCTTTTTAAAATACGGGTATATAGCAATTTCTTATTAATTGATTGTATATAATGTAAGACATTATGTAGTTTTCCTACGTTCTTAATTTATTATGGAAAACTACTCTACAGGATCTTTAGATTGTTGATTTTCACAATATAACATACATCAATACATGAATGATATAAAGAACACTAACCTTGATCTATGAGAATCTATTCTTTTTAATCTTTTCATTCTTCAATCTCCTTTTCCCAATCTATCTCTTTGTCTTTCTTTCTCTTCTCATGCTTTCTTGATGGTTTACCGTGAAAAACCTTATGACCAGAGACAGAACCATTTTTCCATTCAATTAACCAACGTCCATCAAGTTTGTTACCGTAAGTTAATATTTTATTTTATTCTAACTTCACATAATAACCAATAGGTCCTCATATTTTATTAAATTATATTTGGGCCCATTATTATATTTCACATTAGTCACATAATGGAATGAATTAATTAAATTAATTCTATCATATAAAACTCATCTAAACTGTTAGTACGTATATTTTAAAACTACGAATGTTTGAGGTTAGTACATACCTTAAAGAGTATAAAGTATTTAATAGGTATTGAATATTAATGTATTTAATCTAAAATACTCCTTTGTAATATTATATATAAATGTCATTTATAGTTTTTTTAAGTGTTGTGTAACAGTATAATGTTATCTTACCGAACATAACTGAAATGTCAAATGAAGCTGTTTTAATCAGGTGTGTACTTGAAAAAATTAACTAATAAAATATCAATAGTTTTTGAAATAAAAATAAAGGCTAATCATAATAATTTTCACAAAAAGAGGAATTACACTTATTTCATCAATTTATTATGAATGGTGATTTTTTTGTCATACCCCTTTACTTCGTCACAATTAATTTCAAAACTTTGAGCAAGAGCGTAGAAATGGATGCATGAAACAAAAAAAGTTAGGATTCAAATAAAGTGTAATAAGTAATATTTATCCAAAAATGATTGTTTGTTGACAGTGAAAGTTATCGTCCAAAAAGTTTTTAAAAGATACACGTATGTAACTTGGTGGGAATAATTGGTATTCCTCTATAAGAATATTTTCTTGGAAAGAAAGAACAATGACATGCTTTATATTTTTCGTGTGAAATGTTATTTAAAATCTTAAAGCAGCTTATGATACCTCGAGCATAGCCTGATCGCATCTATTCTCGAAGTTCTATGGCATGATTTTTTTTCCTTAGATCAAGTTTCAATCTTGTTGCCAAGAAACTTGTCTGATTTGGCTTAGAGATTATGCACTGCAGCATATTCTTGACATTAAAGATAAATTCGCACCAAATTAGATTGTTATTTAACATAAATATTTTGATTATTTTTTCCGATAATAAATAGTAGTGTAATTAATATATAATATGCATTGCAGCATGTTTTATCCGTACTAAATTTAAGGTTTAACATAAGTGGTAGTATTCTATTTATATACATAAACATTTGTTATTTAGAACATGATAACTGCAAACGAATAAGTGTAATTACTTTCTCACCAATTCATATATTAATTAAATTGGACAAAAAAAAAAAAAAGATTTTCAGTTCTGCAAATTGTCAAGTCATTGAGTCAAAATATCTTTGTTGTCGAAAGGACACTTGTTAGGATGAGATTCAATTTCAAAAAAAGGAAAAAGGATAAAAAACAAAAATTGATGTTTCAAAGAGAGAGAATATCAAGAGTGGTGTTATTCATAGATTCTAATTTCTTATCTAATCAACGTCAAGGATTATGGAGGATAATTTTTCTTTTCAAAAGTAAGTCATGCACTGTTGAATCACAAACTATGATTTCTTTTTCGGTAATTACTTTAATCAATGTTAATTCCGTTAAATGACAGTTTAAAACTATTGTTTTTAGATTAAGGATGAAGCGTTAAACTCAAATTTTTATTATTTGGAGCCGGAAACAGGCATGGTTCGTGCATGAGTGTGATAAAAGCAAAGCATAGTTAACGCCACGATAAGAATCTCATCCACAGCGAACAGCAGCATAAAGCACACGCAATTAAAATTAGGTTTAATTTAATTAAATAAAATTAAGCATATAGTTAAGGATTACAATAATAGTATCAACACAGCCCTGTTCTGTTCCCTCTCCTAATCGCATTTCATCTCAACAACCCTCTCCCTCTTTTTTTTTCGCCCCCCGCATCTACGTCGTCGTTTCGTTACAAAATGCTGAGTTCACGGTTCTGCGTCCGCACCGTATCCGGCGTGGGCTCCGCCGCCGCCGATCATACCAATGCCGCCGCAACCACCGCCCGCTCCGCTCCGAACTCCGTCGCCGTCGATTTCTCGCCGCTCTACCTCCGCCCGCTCAGGTCCCGCCGCTTACGCTGCCGCAGATCCATCCTCATTTCCTGCAATTCCTCTCGCCGCAAATCCAGCTCTGACGATTCTCTCGGCAACGATTATCTCGAAGCCTCTCTTCTTCTCTCAGGTTACTCACTCTCGTGCGTCGATTGCGAATGTATAAATAAGCACAATGCTTCCTTGTGCTTTTCACATTTTTTGCTTCCTCAAAATAAAAAATGACTTCGAATTGTCATGGATTAATTGTACAGTAGTGTGTTGTAGTAACTCTGGCTGTTTTGATCGTTTAGGTCTATCCATGTGTATGAATGCCTGAAATTTTAATTACTTAAACTAGCGCAGAAACGTTCTCGCACTATCATATGTGGAAGCAAAGGTTTCAAGCGGAGTTTCAGTGGAAATCGTCTGCATCGCCAATTCCCTTGTCCAGAACGGATAGTAGTTTATTGAGACATGGCTTTCTACAGCGTTTCCAGAACCCTACGATTTTTCTCAGGATTTCTTGTGATGGAGACTATATTCTGCCCATAGTTGTAGGTAGGTGTCACATATGTAAACGTGTTTTATAGTTTGTTTAGCTTTCCCTGAGTTTTTTGTAAAATTCAAGTTTTATTAACTTTGTTTGTTTGTTTGTTGGTACAGGACAGATTGCTATCGAGAAACTTATGGATGCGGAATTTGAACGAGAAAGTGAGGTAATTTTTCAGACTGTGTCCCAATGGTTGTTCAGTTGTGTTTTGTTTTTTTGTTACTGTGATTGATGTTTAGCATATGCTGATATTACAGGATTGTCCTGACCAGTTCCAGTTTATGAAAAATCTTGTTGGAAGACTAGATCATGAAGTATGAAGCCGAGCATTTCCCACTTTTCTTTGATGCTTGTGGATGTTCTATCAATTCCTGCTTCTTCTTTTTTAAAATTATTTATTTTGATGCTTGCATTATAGGTGTACTGAAATTGTAGCAACGAGTAGTATTCCACCTGATTCCTTTTAGCTTCCTGTTTTTACCGTGCATTCATGGGATTCCACCTGTATGTAGAAGGAGGGTCATTGTGTCATTTCCCTTGTACCTTTCGTTCTTATGCATTCTTGTTGTTAATTATATGTATCTCTACTTAACTAAAAAATGAGAATGATCTTGAACTCATTAGCATATTAAAATCCCACATCATCTCTATCCCTCAACCAAACCATAGAATACTACAGAAGATATTCTACTCCAGCTAATGGCCTATATCATCTTTTATCGCTTACCACAGATTATTGGGTGAGATCATATCATTGTATCTATTTCATCTTTGTTCTTGTGTTTGAGAATAGCCATACTAAGAAAAAGAAAGAAGTACTATTTGAATCGGTTATTTGTGTTCTCTTAAGAGCAAATTCCAGTTAGCAATCCCTTTCACGAGTCTTTATATTCCTTGCGCAAAAAATATCATTATAGTCTTATCGTTAGGTCTGATTCCTTCAATTACACATTTGGTGTCAAATAAATAATTTAAAAGTATTTCTTTCAATTTACACTTTCAGGTGATAATGGTGAGAATTACAGAGAGAGTGGTCAGCACTTACTTTGCCAGATTGTACCTTAGCCAGGTTTTGAAAACTTCATAAATGATAAAAATACATCTATCTTATGCTCTTCCTTCCATTCATTAAAAATTTAGTCATTTCTTCAGCCAGGGAAAAGTGATCTTATCAGTGTGGATGCACGTCCCTCAGATGCCATTAATGTTGCAAATAGATGCAAGGTATGAATTCTATGGTGACCTAGCCCATATTTGTTATCAAAATTTAGATTTTGAAATCAACAAAAACTATAGCTCATCTTTCCTTATGCAAAGTAAAATGTATTCTGTGCATGGATGTCAGACAAATCCACTTGTATAATTTCAAAGTTGATTTGTGCAGGCTCCAATATATGTAAGTAAACAAATTGTTTTCACAGATGCTATCCGAATTGGTTATGGGATGGGCAGAGTGCGTAATAAAAAGGCTATTTATGATGTATTGCTTGACAGGTATTACATAGTTACTTTGTCATGTGGCAATTTTGCCGCCAAAGATTCTCAGTACGATTTACTGCAAGACCGAACATCTTCTCTTACATTCTTGTTAGTCATCTGGGTCTAAACTTTATATGCTTTCTACAGCCCTGTAGATGGTCCAGATTTTGTAGCTCAAGAACTAAGTATGATGCATAATATGCATATGGCTATCAAACAGGAAAGGTTTAAAGATGCAGGTGAAATATCTTTTGCATATGATTGTATTTAGTATGTGAGTGAGTGCGTGCGTGTTAGTTGTGTTATGGAATACCTAAATCACTATAGTGTGGCTTTTGCAGCCATTTGGAGAGACAAACTTGCAAATCTTCGTAAATCAGCCCATGAACACTAATTAGCTCGTTAGGTAGGTATATCCGGAATTGATTTCATTAATTTCAACATTTGGAACTTGATGTTTTAAAAGTAAAATAGAATCATGCATCTTTTATAGTTTGAATATCTAATTGTATGTTGAAATTTTTCTTGTGATGACAGGGTAATTTCTGAAGAAGAATGTAGGGGATATTATGAGTATGTTATTCCTGTTAATTTTTCGACAGGTATATATATTGGGGTATTAGTTACACAAATGAAGGAAACTAGCAAAATTAAGTGTTGTACAGTTGTGTATTATAGTTTTCAACCCCACTTTATCTACATCAAATTGTTGAAATGCCAAAACCTTGTAGAAGATTGTCGTACTTCTACCAATACTCAGAAATGACAACGATGATCTTGTATTTATTCACTATTCAATGGACATGAGTTAAGGCTATCAATGAGACTTAGCTGCTGGTGCTTTAAATTCACAATTAAATTTTATAATTTCCAAAAAACACAAGCTAACTTAGACGTTAATTGAGCTATAAATCAAACGGATACTTAATGAGACCTTGAGATCTATTGATTTTTAGTTTTTTATGCATTTTATTTGTTTTTACACAGTATTGGTATTAGTGTCTTAATTAATGTTGCTATTTTCTGAAAAACTTTAAGTGTCTCTAACTTTTTGTGATGATAATAAAATTTAAGTTATATTGAAAGAATATCCAAGTGTGATGTTACATTCTTGATTCAACAAGATGTTAAATCCATACACACACGCTTTTAGAGGCAAAATATTAAATTTCTGAATCGGTCAATAGGACTTTGTTGGGCTGGTTCATTATGTTAAATATTCTCCAGTTGGTTTGCTTGGATCAATCCACTTCCTTTGTTCGGATGCATGTTTAGAATTTCGATTTTAATATAAAATAGTGCACAGGTTGAATGATTGGTTTCATTTTTTAGTCTTGTAAACAAGTAAATACTTAAATTTAAACAATATTGTTAAAAAAAAATCATTCTTTGACAAACGTGTTGACTACATATCTTACCAGTCTTTAAGTTTAAATATGAAGTTAAACGCAACATAGTCAACGTGGAAAGCGTAAAATAGTCAATGCGACATGCACCAGACATCGAACTATATAAAGAATTGAAATAACACATTAGAACAAATAAAAATAGACAATGCACAAGTTATCACCTATTTAGGTGCTTCATGTTAGACTTTTAAAATTAAAGATATTTATATACAGATAAAAAGCAAGAGTTGGAAATTATTTTTCACAAACTTTTGAACCCATTGATATAAGAAAATGCTAAAACTATTTGTAATTTTTACTGTCTATAAAAAATTTAGTATATTTAAAAACGCATAATTTGTATGAAAAAAGGTAAAAGTTATAAATCGTACCTTTTGAAAATAAGCATACATCATGTAACTAAACAAAGACCCACACTCTGTAATGTAATGTGCCAACATCTCACTTTTTCTTAAAAGTTATGTTTGGTGTCATAAATTACAACATGTCGATGTATATATCTCGTTAGTATGATATGGTCATAAATATACTATACAAATTTCAGTTCCATAAATTTAATTTTTCTTTGTAAAAAAAAAAAAAAGTTTAGAGAGAACATCTACAAAAGCTCGCCCAAACGAGAATTTTACATAGAAAGAAATTCCATTAATTTTGATAATGTGGGACAATTGGATGAATTTAATAGATTTTTTAGGAGGTTCAAATGAATATAAATAGGATTTGTCTATTTTTTACGGTAGGATTATTAGCTCTTCTAGCGGTACTCACTATTATTTATTGAGATTATTATCACCAATGTAATTCACCCAACGATAAATTTACATATAATACCTAATCCTCTTTTATTACTTTTCATAAAAGTTTAATATTTAAAAGTATTATTGATTTTTTTTAATGCAATGTAACAAGTTTTTTTCTATAATAATAATAAAAATTACATATTATAGTTATAAATATAAAATATCTTATAGTTATAGATATAAAATATATTAAAATAATAATTATTAAATAAAATAAAAATATAATAAAATAAATATTATTTAAAATTAATATAGATTGAAAAGAAAAATCAAGATATATTATATTTTTTATAATAATATTTGATTCTAATTTTTTTATCAAAATCGTTTCACTTAAAAATTTTATCGATTTTTTAATTTTACCAGTTTTATCTGCATTTAATTAAAATTTAATTATTTAAAAATAACAAATTATTTTTTAATCTGATTCCGTTTCAACTAATTTCTATTCCAATTCAATTTTTAAACCAGTGGATTGAACATATATTTTCCATTACATGGATTATCTTTAATTTAAAGACAAAATGTTTAACCAGTGCATCAATCAATATATTTGATTTTGATTTATATAACTTTTGTTAAATAAACCTATTTAAAATAACTAAACTCTTTTATGAATGAGATCCTTCTAAAAGAAAAAAAGTTCATTGCCATGCCATCCATAATTAATCTCGAATTTTATATTTGTGCCAAAAAATCAGCATGACTATACATTTTTTAATAATACAGAATTTAGACTGCTGCTTGATCATGACAAAAATACCCATTCCTTTCTGCACGAACAGAACAGAACCACCACCACCGTACTCTTCTATTATTTGTTCTTTGTGATGCTCGTTGACCCATCCAAATGAAAGAACCTATTTGAACCATAAAATAATCAAACCTGGTTTGGAAGACAACCCAAAAATGAAGACTATGGCGTTGAATTTCCTTGTTTCGAACATGCGAGCTTCACCTTTTTCGTAATAAAATTTCACACTATGCTATTTTTATCGTATTCTATTTTCCGACACCAATCAATTTATACCCTACGCAGATTATTTATACGTGTGCGAATTTGCATAGAACAAATCTTTTATCTTCATGGTGAAGGGTTCCATGGGTAATTTCATAATTCTAATTTCAAATATATTTATTGAAAATGATGTCATGGGTTGGGTTGCGAAAATATTGAGATATTAACCAATAATTTACCTACCATTATCAATTTTGTTATTTTATTAATAGGTAGCACTTCATTTTCTTGAATATTCTATTAGTTTTTTTTTTTTAATGAAAAAGTTGACAATGACACGAATCAAATTTTTTTGAAGTTTGTATAATTACTTGTTCTTAAGGATTTATCTACAATTTATTACGCAAGTCTTCCAAGATATAACAATAACTTCTCACAAATTTTGAGAATATAAAAAACTAACAATAAACTCTTAAGAATATATAAACTCAAAATAAAATAGAATGAAAAAGGACAGAAGAGAGAATGAGTAAAAGTATGTAAGTTGGAGAAGTATGGAGTGTCTATTTATAGGTATAGTATGAACAATAAACTCATCTCTACATTCAACATCATAGGTGGTTGTAGTCTAAAAACATGGGAGAGTGGAACATTTATAGGTCAGTGGAATACGTTCTCTAAGTTAATAAAACACGTTTTAGGTTTTGCAATACCTATATTTTACAACAATTTTCCATATATTGCAAAACAAAAAGGAGATAAAAGAATAAAACAAAAAAAATAATCATTGGTCTTATATAAGATATAATGCATCAGAGGTATAACAAGTTATATGAACTAATTTTAAACTAAAAACTTAACACACAATGTAGTTGGTATAACAAACTAAATGAACCAAAATACTTAGACTATGTTAGTGGTTTAACAATCACAATACACCCTACAATTCTTATTGTTATCATTGTATTATGCTTACTAGGCCATGTGTATGCCCCGTATTCATAAGTGCTCTAAAAATCTTGCAAAGATTTCATACAAGCGGCCTCACTCGACACTCATATAGGTGATTTCATCAAGCGTATGCTGCAAATCGTACACCACATGTAAGGGATATGAAATCATTAAAAACTTTGTTTAGACTAAAATTCGTACACCACTTAGAATTTTTAATAACAGAATTTAACCTCTCAATAATGCAGAATCTAGCACTTTCACACATATCATATAAATGAACATAATTGATTTTAATCAATTTGAGTACTAGCAAAACTAACAAATGCAGAATTTAACAAGTGTATGCTGCAAATCGTACACCACATGTAAGGGATATGAAATCATTAAAAACTTTGTTTAGACTAAAATTCGTACACCACTTAGAATTTTTAATAACAGAATTTAACCTCTCAATAATGCAGAATCTAGCACTTTCACACATATCATATAAATGAACATAATTGATTTTAATCAATTTGAGTACTAGCAAAACTAACAAATGACTTGTTTTTATCCATATCAACCTTATTCATGGGATCTCCAATCACAGAGGTTGAGTTACCATCACTTGTTTGTTTGCAAGTGGTTCGAGTCTCATTTCCCTCGATGTTTCTAAAATCATGTTTCTCCCTAAGGGTTTCGTAGAGGATATGCTAGATTTCGTTCTGGTTTCACATAATCAATGAAAATTGTGTCACTCTTTAACAACTTCACCACATTATGTCTCATTTATATATATATGTTCTTTCTATTGTAGTTCTTGTTTTTAACTATAGTTTTTGTCGATTGATAATCACAATGTATTGATATAGATAAAGTTGTTTTCATTCCTAATGAAATGCTTGCTAAGAAATTTTTTTGAATAACTCAACTTCACTATCAGTCATTTCGAGAGCAACAAACTCAGGTTTTATTGTTAATCTTACAATAATTGTTTGTCTGGCTAATTTCCATATAATCGCACCACCCCTGAGTGTGAATACATAACTACTAGTAGATTTTGTCTTCTCTGAATCAGATATCCAGTTAGCATCATTTTACCCTTCTAATACAACGAAAAATTCACTATATTCAATGACATAATCTATTGAACCTCTTAAGTATTTCATAAGTCTTGCAAGTGCATCTTAATGTTTCTGATTAGGATATTGAGTGTACTTACTTAATCTACCTACTGCATAAGTAATGTTAGGTATAGAAAAACTTATTAAATGCAGCAAACTCTGAATTCTCTGGGCATATTGAGGTTGAGAGATCGAGTCTCCTTTTATTGTTTTTAATTTAAAGTTAATGTCATAAAGGGTACTTATTGGTTTGAAATCACAATACCCAAATTTTCAAATAAGTTTATCAATGTATTGTTCTTTGGTTAATAAAATACTATCTCTCTTCTTTATTTATGATTTTAATTTCCAAAATCACATTAGTTTCACTCATGTCTTTCATTTCAGACTTAGATCCCAAAAACAACTTAGTTATAGAGATTATGTCAATACATATATCAAATATTAGCATCATTAAAGTACACATATTTTTTAGCATCATTAGTTGAAAAAATTATCACAAAATAGAACACTATCAAGTTTTTCATGTCACTGCTTTCGGTGTCTGTTTTAATTCATACAAAGATTTTAAAATTTTGCATATTTTGTTCTTTTGACCAAGAACAATACGCAATTCAAGTTGAGTCATATAAATTTTTTCCTCTAATTTATCATTTAAAAAAGTTGTCTTAACATTCATTTTGTGTATAATTAGTTTATGAATGTCCATTTGAACTAACAAAACTTGAATAAAAGAAATCTTAGTCACAGGATAAAAATATCAAAATAATTAATGTTAAATTTTTTAATTAAACTCTATATTACTATTAATCTTACCTTATATTTATTTATGAATTCATCATAATAATACTTTTTTTTTTAATCCACCTACACCAAAGGGTTTTGCTCTTTTAGATAAATCTAAATTATTACCATTGAAATTAACCTCATCCATTTATAATCTACCATTTTAGTGCTTAATATTATATACTAATAAAAGAAAAAGATGCGATGAGCCTAAAATGCAGACAAAAGAAAAGGAAAGGAACTTGAACAAAGCCTCGATATGAAGGAACAAGCATAAATTTAAAGCTTACCAGAGTTGTTCATTGATATCAGATGAATTCTCTTTTTTTTTATCATAACAAGTGATGCATAACTTATAATTAGCTTTTCCTAACATCAATCAATTACAAGATCATACAGACTCTTTATAGGGGAAGTAAATTACTTCTGAAGACAACAACTAAATAAAGGACAAAATACTTACAGGCATTTTGCCAAATAGGTGACGGACATTTGAGACTGAAGAAAAATATCCTTAAACCAAAACTAAAATGATTCCTCCTTTAAATTCGAACCACATAAAACCAATATATATATATATATATATATATATATATATATATATATATATATATATATATATAATATGCATCATGCATAAGACATTATTTTATTATATCTTGAATTGTTTTCCAACACAGATTCCAATTGAGCTAAATTTCCAAACTTTCGTAAAAACCCTTTTACCCAAATCAGACCTGGGAATTCATTCCAGGTTTTCCATACATTGGGCAGCCCATCAGTGAAACAAAATGAATGCAAACTTATAGAATAGAAGCTTTACGAAACATTGATAGGTACACTTCCTCAAATGTTGTTTGTTTTGTAGAAATAATGTTTGCTTCTTCTTCTTCTCAGTGTAGAATTGTTATTGATGTTCATTCTTTTAGCGATAAGTTTTTAAGATTATTATAAAAATTAATAAAAATACAAATAAAAATTAATTTTTGAAATATGTATAATCATTATTTTTAAAAAATTATTTACACTATATTATGCAAGTCATCTAAAATAAAATAGAATAGAACAGAAAAGAAAAAATAAATAAAAATAAATTTTTTAAAAAAGTGTGAAATAGTTTATTTATAAATATAAAGAAGAAAAGATAAATAAAAATAATTTTTTTAAAAAGTGTGAAAATATAATATAAGCAATCAATTCATCTCAACATTCAATATCAAATTAAAATATTTATAAATTAGTAAAAATATATTTTAAATAAGTGAAACACGTTATAGATTTTATAATAGCCTTATTTCATAACAGATTTATTGTACAATAAAAAAAATACTATACCAATGGCATAAAGAGACGGAGAGTGAAACCGTAGTGATAAATTTGATGACAAATTGAGACGTTAATGTGTGGAGGCACATGAGAAATAAAGGTGATGGATATTATGAGTATTAATTGTTGTCATAAATAGACAATGAAACTACTCACAAACAGAGTAGAAAAATGGGATGCATAAAACAAGATTCTGCGTGTTATCAGAAACACTGCTCTGCCATAACCAGCAACCATCAAAACAAAACCCTTTTAATTCATTTTCCTCTCCTCTCCTCCTCCAAGTCAACCCCTCCCCTAGGATACTCCAAATTAATTTAACTCTCCACCTTCATTCTATCATATTCATTCATTTTATTATATTCTTAATCCATAAAAAGAGAAAGTAATAAATTATTATAAATCATTTTGGATAAAAAGTATTAAAATAATAAATATTATTTTTGAAAAAAGAAATACAGTGAATAATAAATATACGCTTCAAACACAAATATTTTTTAAGTCTACGTGGCTGGATTTTATTTCACCTTAAAAAAAATATGAGAGGTCTATTTATAAAAATATTTCAATATTTAAATTATGAGAATTATAATAATAAAAAAATAGGTCTATAAAAAATAAAATAGTTTAATTTATAAATTTTTATCGTTATTATTTATTTATTTTAAATATTAAATATATTTATTTGATATTAATTATTATATATTTAGTATGATATTATGTATAATTAAATAATTATGTATTATTATTATATTTACTTAAAAATTAATTAAAAATATTTCTATTAAATAATAAATATGAAAATATGAATAAATATAAAGACATTTATTAAACAAATTATTAAAAAATAATACAAATTATTTATATGATATAAACTTGAATGACAGATGTTATAATATAAAATTGTAAGTTATAAGAAAGAGGAAGAATTATGAGACCGTGTGAGTAGTGGTGCTACTACTACCTTGGCCATTAATGTTAAGCAGATTAAGATTCCATCATTTAATGTTTCTGCTCTTTCTCTGCAAGACACCAGTTATGGCCATCATGTCTAACCACTTCCTTACCTTTCTCCTCTCTTTGCACCTCATCCAAAGCCAAGACATCAAAACACTTCCCATTTTTGCATTGTATGAATAAAAAATAAATCTAAGAAATTTTTTTTCTACTAAATGATGTCAAAATTAGTGGGTTTTTCTTTTTCACCATAATATTTTTTTATATATTATAATAAGGGTTAAACATATACTTTTTCATTTTTCATCAAATTTAATTTTGTCCATTTGTTCTGAAAATTGATTAACTAATTTTATTCTTTTTGAATATATGGGTCAGAGACTTTTTATATAATTATTTTCAATTTTCAAATGTTTACACAATTTCACACTCGCCATTGTCTTAAATACGTTAAACAAATTTAAAAGCGTTAAAAAAATTAAACATTTTTAATATTATCTTAAATTTACTTAACAAAATTAAATATGTTAAACAAATTTATGAGATACTAAATCTACATGATTTATTAAATATCCTATTTTCAATGTCTCGATCCAAATACTTTCTTCAAAATTAAACATCATTTTAACATATTTAATTCTAACACAAAATAATAATATAAAATATTCATTTACAATATAATAAAAATTAATTATCAATTCAAATTCAATAAATCAATACACAATAAACACATATAATCCAAAAATCAAATATCATATAATTTAAATAATACGGCGAAATTACGTTGATAACCTAAAATATTATTTAAAAAAATAATATTTTTTCTTACCGGTCTCTAATAATTAATTATTTTTATTTGATAAAAAAAACTAAATAATTATTCTATATATAATAATTTAAATATCTATCAAAAATTTTATGAATAATTAATTATTTTTATTTGATAAATAATGAAATAATTATATAAAAAATACCAAATAAATAATTATTTTTTATTATGTTTATATATTTTATATAGAATATGATTTTTATATGATTGATGATGTATAATGTAAATATTTTTATATAATTATTTTATTTAATGAATTAATTATTTTTTATAGTTGTGTTTATCTTTTAATAAATTATTTTATCTTTCACCAGATAAAAATAGTGTATTTTTTTAATCAAACAAAAATTAATAATTACACAACTACTTCACTAAAATTATTTGTATATTTATATTTTCAATAATTTTTCAACACTAAAATAATGTATTATTTTTCGTTGACGTGACATAACTTGATTATAAATTTTAATGATATGTAACAAAATATTTTTTTTTTTGTAAAATTGCATAAAATAAAAAATAATAATACATATATTTTATTTATAAATATTGATTTAATTAAATTAATATTAATATCTCATTTGATGTGATAAAATTGTACCGTTATTAATAAAGGGGTTAGGTCATGAACTTTTTTTGTTACAATTCTTTTTCATTTGATCCTTCACATATTGTATAAATGTTCTTCGAACTTTTAATTACTTTTTTTATTTATAAAGTTATTTTTGAAATTTTTTATAAACACTTTTAATATAATTTATAATAATTATTTTAACTGTTTTTTTAAATTTTAATTTTATTTCAATATTTTGTTTTAAAAAGCTTAATTGTTTTAATAAAATAACTAAAAATAATTATGATCACTTATATTTTGACAACTAATATATCCATTATACTACTGGAAATATTAATATAATATTATATACTATTATTTAATTATAAAAGTAGTTGTTGAGAGATGTTTGGATTGTTATATAAAAATAGTATATTAACAGATATCTTTATTAATAAGATAAATAATATGATAAAAAAATAGAAACAGAAAGAGAAAAATTAAAATATGTATATAAAAAATATTATATTAATGATGGGACAGGAATACAGAAATAGAAAGAGAAAAATTAGAAATTCTGGTCATCACTACCTAAAAGAATTTTGTTGTTTATTTTTTTTTATATTTGTTTCGTTAAATAATTTTCAAAAACAAATAAAATTGATTGTTAGGGTTTAAAATAAATTTTTGATACAATTCTAATTTTAAAAGCAACTCAAACTTATAATAAAATTATATTTTTATTTTTAAATAATTTTATTACTAATTTTTTTAAAGTGATAAAAAAATAAGTAAAAAAATGGAAAAATTTAAATTTATTTTAAAAAAGTAATTATAAATTATTTAAGAATGATGTGATAAAATAAATTTATATTTTATATTTTTATGATAAAAAATAATTTATATATGAATTACTTATGTGGAAGATACATGTGTTTATTTTTTAATGTACATAAATATTTTTCTCAATGTTAGTATTTCTATCCACAAAGTTAGTTTAAATGTACATAATTTTTCTCAATGTTAGGTAGTTCTATCCTGAAAGTTAATAGTGAAGTTACAAAAACTTAAATTTTGTTTGAGAAATGATATAACTTGTTCACGTGTATCTATCTATCATTAACTATTTTAAGTCACTGTAGAATAAGGAGACAATAGTCTCTGAAAACATGCTACAAACCTTTTTCATACTTTTTCACCTCATCATCAAACAAAGCAAGTCACAAATTCATTATTCCAAATCATTCCATCTAAACTCAAACTTTTTTTGTCAAATCAGCATAGATCCATTTGTAAACAGTAAAACAAATTTTCCAAACAAGTATAAAAGAATACGAACGTGGAAACATGGCAACGAAGATGTCCCCAATTCTGAGAAGATAGTTCTCACGCTGCAGGGAGAAGAAGGGGATAAAATAGACTTTACGACGAGCATTTGAAGCGAGCAGTTTATGAAGCATTAAAAGCGGAGTTGTAAAGCAGAGACGTTATGGGTGAAGAAATGGAAAAAAACGGTAAGTGGCATGCAAGCCATTTTAATGCTCTGTCTGTCCCTGCTTTAGGCCTTGGTAGTCGGGGCTCTTAAATGCCATTTCCACACCTTCCCTAGCCCAGACATTCTCTCACATCTTTCAAACTTTCTCATCAAACTATTTTTAATTTAATTTATTCAACAAATAAATAAAATACCAGAACCTTTTTGCCTTATCATCTTCTACCTTCGCCTATAAAAGCCTAGTTCAAACCAACGTTTCAACCAAGAAAGAACACAGAGAGTGGCTGTGGCTGAGTATTGAGTCTTTTCACTTTCTATGATGTAGCTATTGTGCTATTGGCTCGGTTCACTCAGACTTTCAAAACACTCGTATCGTAACCTTCTCGTTCTGGTTTTCGTTTTCCATTTTGATTGAGCCGTGCCAATATCTCACTGCTATTTCATGCTTTCTTCGCCTCAAACACCTTTGAGAGCAAAGGTCATTAGCCTTCTTTCACTCTTCACCATTTTTTATATATCAATAAATTACAGATCGATTTATTGTGTAGGGTGTAATTTCTTGTAGTAGGGCTTTTATTGTTCTTATATTTCTGGATTCTTATTTTGTCAGATTCAAAGGATTTTCTTTTAGGACCAGATTTTTTTATATTTACTTTTTGTGGTCCAATTTTTTTTTTTTTTTTTATCATCACACATTTCATACACTAATTAAGACATTTAGAGAGAACATGCTTGCATTTTTAGCATAAATATCTGTACCTCTGTCCATATATTAATTTAAAATTATATTGTTTTAAAAAAATTATATAAAAAATTAATAATTTCAAAAGAATTGTGTTGAATATATATATATATATATATTGAAAAAATCATGTTTACTTGTGTATCATTCAACCACATATTTGTGGTCATTATTTTTTTTAATTGAAATATTATACGATTACTTTGAAGTAGAAAAGTTGCGAAATTAGGTTTCTTATCCCATAATAATAGTATTTTAACTCAATAAGAGATGAATTTATTTAATTAAAAAAATACACACGAGGTAGTTATATATAAAAAAATGTATTCCTTGTGGTTTTTACTACAAAATTTATTCTATTCCATTTTATAATAGATGTCATTTTAGATTTATGTTTTTTTAATCTGTATATAAGTTATTGTTATTTACTAATATTAATTAAAATATAAATAGAAACATATATAATAATTAATATTATATAAAATAACACTTATTTTAAATAAATACTAGTATAACTTATTTTGCTTCCTTTAATGAGTGCCGTTTATGTTTCTAAAACGTTGAAAGTTAAATGCTTCAGTTCTTCATTTAATATTGTTTATAAAACATTGAATGTTTGATTTTCGTCATCTAATATTTCCTTTATGATGATGTTAATAATGGAAAGATTCATTGAGAGATTATGAAATGAAAAATGTAATTTGTACATTTCTTTATAAATGTGTTAAGGTTGTTTTTGAAACATTTCATGACCAAACAATCTATAATGTAGTGTATTTTATGTTCGAAATTGAGCACTTATTATTTATTTATGGGGTGATTATATTTAAATTGGATGTATATTATATATTTTAAAATAATCATTCAGTAAAAAATTGTATATTTTTAAATGGTATTTTAATTATGATTCGAAATTATCATTCTATAATATATATATATATATATATATATATATATATATATATTATAAAATAGCTATTTTAGAAACTTTTTAATTGTGTTCTAAAAAAATCAATTACACAACTCATTCTTATTTATATAAATATATTTTGGATTAGACATTTTATAAATATAAAAAGTAATCCTATAATTAAATGCACCGCTAGTAAATTTGGGGTTTATTGTTTAAAAGAATAATAAAAAAAGGTAATAAAAGTAGATTTTAGTATAGTTGTTAATCAGATGCACAAAATAATTAAATTTTATTTTTATTTTTTTCAGTTTTTCTCTTAAAAGATGGACCAAAATTATAATAAAAAATGTTTCCTATAATTTTGAGTGAGACCAGCAGTAATAAATAATTACAAATAATGGTTAGATTTTAACTGAATATCAATTAATAATAAATGATAACTAGGTTTTAATTTAATATCAATTAATATAGTAAGATAGCTTAAGAAAAAGAAAAATAGTAAAATTGGAACATTTAATGTCCCGAATATGATAGAAATGTTTCTATCAAGCTATATTGGAATGTTTAATTCTGGGCCTGGGCCTGGGCCTGGGCCTAAGGAACGAGTATATTTTTGTCAGTGAGGTATCCGCCCAATTTCACAGAACACAAATATATGAAACCAGTAATCATATACTTAAAATTATTAATTAACCATGTCAGTATAAATTTTTTCCTATTATATTTATTAAAAAAATAAAAAGAAAAATGATAGGCATGTTATTAAACTATCACTTTTGCCCATAGTGGACATTAGCTTCTTGGTGTGAAATTGTTGGTCGGTGAGACTATGACCCAGATGGACATACACATGATACATGCATTCCAATTTATGAAGTTCCTGCCCCAATATTTAAATGGTGGATATTGATCAAGGAACTTTTAGATAAGATCACAATCACATTAAACATAAAATATAAAAACACCATAATCACATGATCTTTTGTTTTTTATATCATAATCAAATATTATTATTAGTTAGAACGAATAATATCATTTTGTAAGATTAAATTAAGTTTTTTGTTTTTTATATCATAATCGAATATTATTATTAGTTAGAACGAATAGTATCATATTTGTAAGATTAAATTAGGCTTTTATTTTTCAAGTACTTAAATCAAATTTTTAACAAAATTATTGGGACCTATTTGGTAGTAGAGAGTTTAAATAATATTTATGAACTTCATTGTTATGTTTGTGAGGAATAATATCTTAATATTTGATAAATACATCTACAATCAGATAAGTATGAATTAGCCAACAACTAAGGACAACAAACAAAAAATATGTTTGTTGGGTGGAATTATAAAACCGGTCAAATGCAAAAAAAAAAAAAAACCCCACGTTTTTTTTTTCTTTTTAGTTTCGTTTTGACAAAAAACATGTTTAAAATACTTAAATATATCTCATAGTTTTGTAGTTAAAAACTGTTCTGGGCAACCCTGTAACTTGATAAGCATGCACATGCAGTGCAGACTTTTATTTTCAGGGTTTTCTTTTTCTCATTTATATACGTGAATTTGGCTTCTGGCAAGTGTGTAGAGTCATTTTTGGCCATGTCAACCTATCGTACATATGCAACTCAAATTGTGACAAACTAAACACTAACACATAATATTCTAAACTTTTAATATTACTCAGACTAAACACACGATGCATACACTGCAATGAATAATTACAATAATATACATAGTTCATTGTTTTATTTTAAAAAATATTTATTTAGTTAATTGATTATAAACTCGATATTAAAAAAAATGTTAAATACTCGTCTAGTTAGTTTATTATTTTAGTTAAGAATAATAATATACACAGCTAATTATATTTGTTAACTTATTTCGGAATTTAAATCTATTTATACTTAAATTATACTATTAATTAAGAGAGATTTTATTTTACCGAATTCAAGCATATCTATCACAAAAAATGGTTAATTAATATATTTTAAAAATATTTTTTACAATTTATTAAAAACCACAAAATTTAATAAGTATTCCTTATTTTTTTATGGGCTTTTCTTCAATTTTGAAAATCTTAATAATCATAAAATGTATAGGTTAAAAAAAGTTGTTGAGTTTTTATTTTTTAATTAATTATAAGTAGATGTGATTTTTATTTAGATGCTAAAACATGTTAATGTATTCACAGCTTTGATTATTTTTTAAATAATTATTCCAACCATACATAACAATAAAATATAATTTAATGTAAAATTCAAATCAAACCAGTATTTACAATTTGGTTTGGTTTGGATTTGATTTTTTTTTAATCATAAATGTTTTCAACAATTTTAAAAATTGTTGTGAAATATTTTCTTCAAAAATTGTTAAATATTTCATAATAAAAATTTATCAAATAGAAAATATTGTAATAATTTTTTATATTATTATTATATTTATAATTTTGACTTTTTTATATTTAAAAAGAAATTATAAAATTTTATAGTTATAAATTAGGATAGAAATATATTTTTATATAATAATTATGATAAATATTTATATTTAATATAATAAAATATTTTATTTATTTTCATCCAATACCAATTATTCTATTTTTTTATTGTCACGTGAACATTAAATAATATTTTTATATATGTTATGACACTTAAGTTATATATACAAAATATATACACATAATCTTATGATGATAATAAAATAATTAATAATATAAAAAAATAAAATTGAATATTTTAAATGTATTAAATACGATTATTTATCATAATTATAATACATAAAAATATTTTACCTTGAAAATTATAATATATTATAAAAAAAATTAAACTATAAAGTAATCTTTATTAACATTTATTAATTAAAATAAACTCTTATAATGTAATATTATATTAAATATAATATATTTAATTTAGCTTAATTATTAATTTAAAATTTGAAAGCATAAAATAAATAAAATTATTATATTTCGAGTATCTTTTAGTTCATTCATATAACTCTTACTGCTGGAAGTCCGGCAGGAGTAATTTATTATTCGTGTTTCACTTCACCGACCATCACTCTCCACCGTTAGCTTTTGAGAACTCACCATTCTTAAATATATTAATTAAGTAACTAAAGAATAGTTAATTCATTTTAAACTTGGAAATATATTTTGTATTAAAGATAATTTTATTTTTTATATTTTATTAGTGATATTTTAGTGTCGAATATGTTAATTTGGTAAAATATTAAATTTGATATTATTGTGTAAAGTTCTTATATAATCTAGGTTTAAATTTTTTTTAATCTATTGAAATAATTTTTCAAAATAAAACTATAATAAAATTGAATTCAATTTCTAATTAAATAATATTATATACTAATTTTAATAATATCTAACGAGTTTGGATACTCAGATCAATTCGTAATATATTTTAAACAAACGTATATTTATAGTTTTAAAAAGAACTTAACCATTTAAGTTATTTTTCTATAAACACTAAACTCTGACATTACTAAAACTAAGCATCTTGATTTACCTACAAATAAAAAAATTGCTAATTATAGCCTCTTTCAATATCAGTTAAAAAAATGGTCTTTTCAATTTTGTTAGAGGAATATAGTAACTTATTCTGTGTATATTTGACTTTTTTTTAAATAAATATCAGATTTTTGTTTTTTAAACAAATTATGTAGAAAAAAAAAAAACGTAGACTAAAAGAAAAAACCCTCGTACACTACATCAGATTCCTAAACTTTTAATTTTAATTGTTTTATATTCATCCATTACAGATCGTGCTTTTAAAACGACCCCTAGTCCTAGTAGCAGTGCGATTAAAAAAGAAGCTTCTATGGGTTGGTAGGCCCACAATTTTTAATCTGAGAGGATAAGGATTGAGGATTACAAAAAAGCCCATATTCTCGAATAAACCATAGACAGAGTCCCAGTGGGCCCATATTATTGTTTTATGTTTTGTATTTACTTATTTCTCTCCCCATTTTCGGAATTTGATATTATTATTAATATTTTATTTAGTCCAGAGAAAAAAGCATCTTGATTTATTCGGAGACGAGATGCGGAAAATAAATATTTAATTATCCGATGAGCAAAGTTTCAATTTGCTGTGTGTGCCCACTTTGGGCGGAATGAGGGACCCACTCTGACGTGGATTGCTGGGAACAAACACTCAGCGCCGAAGCAAAAACACTCATTAGTACCTGGAAAGAGAACCCAACCAAAGAAGCAACGAGATTAAAAAAATTAAAAAAGAGTCTCAAAAAGAGTTCTCCGTCAACTGAATCTTCAACCTCTTTCCCCTTCCCTTCACTTCCTCGCGTTTTGCTTTTCTCGCTTGCGCTTCTTCTTGTTGCTGTTGTTGTTATCCTTCTTCTACTTCTTATTGTGTGTGCGTGTGGGTGTGTGGTGCTGATCGCGTGTGTTCATGGTGATCGAGCATGACATTGAGAGCTGCGGGAGCAGAGCGGTGCAGTCGTCGCACGTTAACCACCCTCGCCACCACCGCCAGAAACTGGAGGTGTACAATGAGGTGCTGCGACGTATTCAGGAGTCCGATTGCGAGGAGGCGCACGTTCCCGGCTTCGACGATCAGCTTTGGCTTCACTTCAATCGCCTTCCCGCTAGGTCTTTCACCTCTTTCCGAATTAATTAACTAACTAACCTCAATTCTCACGTTCTCCTCTAGATTTGATTGTTGTTTTCTTTTTGTTGGTAAAAGCGGGGAAAGTGATTGATAGAGGAATTTGTGACTGTTTTTTTGTATATTCCTGATTGCTTGTGCATTTTAACTGATTCCTGCGATTTGAGTATTTTTCGTGTTATTTTGAACTCTGTCATGAGATTTGAGAAAAACTGAAGAAGGAAGAAGATAGCTGAGTGTTTTTTTTTTTTTGCCTTTTTTTTTTTTTTTACTTTACTCTTGTAAGTGGATTTGCCAGAGTGGTTTTTGTACGAGTCTCCTGGTTGGTCACTCTGATTGCTACTACTTAGGTACGCGTTGGATGTGAATGTGGAGAGGGCAGAAGATGTTCTAGCTCATAAGAGATTGCTCAAGTTGGCGGAGGATCCTGCTTCTCGACCTGCATTTCAAGTCCGCTTAGTACAGGTAATTAAAACACACATTCATAAAACACAGATGAATGTTAATATAAAGTTGTTGAAGATCCTGTAGTTTGTATTTTTACTAGTTTTGACATGTTTTCCCATCAAATGAAGAATTCAGTTTTGTAAACGTTTTTGAGCATACACGGACCTGTTTTTTTGCTTGACTGCACTGTTGATGACTGTTAGCTGTTGGCAAATTTGGAACTATGTAATCGTTGACTTTATGAACTCCTAATACAAGTATAAATCGTGCTACATACAGATTAGTTTATAAAAAATTCATCCTTAATGCAGGTATATCCTTTTGGTGGTACAAATTATGCTGATTCCATACATTCAGATCCTTCTGAGATAGAGGATGCACAGAGTTCTCTTAACTATTCTTTAAAGCAGGGGTATGGCTTGTGTAATTTTGTTGTCAGTTTTATTTCCATCCTTGTTGTTGCTCAATTAGCACCATCCTTTTTTATTGCCTACGCTCTCGTTTTTATGTTTTCATTTATACTATTTATTCATTTTTTAATGTCATTTCTTTATCTCTCTTGTCGGTAAAACAGAATTCATCCACCACCTACATTTGGTTCATCCTCTAATCTTGAAGCTCTTGCACTTCAAACAACCAAGAATAACATTGAAGATGGGGGAAGTGCTATGAGTGTAACACCATATTTTCACAGGTAAGAATGCTCTATTTTGGACTGTTATCTTCATGTAAATATATTGTAAATAGGCTTGCTCTCTTCAGCTTTAGTTAGTATTGCTGAAAAGTGTCTTAGATTGATCATTTTATGGTAATATTGATATATAGACTAGGATAAAATCTCACAATTTGAAGATAATATTTTCCAAGTGCAAGTGTATTGGTTTATTATTTTTATCTAAGTTTTAGAGAGAGATGTTGAAGAATTTTGAACTTTGGTACAATGCATTTTCATCTTTTCATGAATATGAGTCAATCACTAACATATGATGTATAATTTTTTTTTTGTAGAATCAGTAAATAGGTATGTGCTGTGTGGGTATTGACAAGGTTGTGAATGTCAACACTCCTGTCTGTAAAAACCCTCCATATTGATTTTCTCTAGGGGTAGCACGTTGTTTCCATTAGCTGATAGCAGTTAATAAATGTATGCACTAATGTTTAAAATTTTAGCTAGTACTAATCGTTTTACTTACTAAATTTTAGGCCCATGCACGAGATTACCTTTTCAACAGTTGACAAGCCTAAACTCCTTAGTCAGGTGGTTAATTCTGACTTTATTTTTAAAGTTTGTGTGATGCTTTTGTAAATAATTCTTTAAAATTATTGTGTTATGTTATTGCATAACATCCTTGTTATATTTTATTTTCTATATTGTATTATTCAGCTTTCAACATGATAATAAGCAATATCTCTTGCTTTTCTGGGCCGTCAATTGGGTCAGAGCACATTTTATAATGTAATTATATGCAGAAAATAATTCTGGCTGTATTGTCTTGTGTATCAACTATGGACATATTGTTTGCCAATTGCTGTCAAACTAAAATTATATGTTGACATTTTTCATTGTAAAGTACAAATTGTAATTTGGCCTTATTTTCACACAGATTAGATAGAGAACTTATGAAGGTACAAATGTAAAAAACTAAGAAAATTATGTACAAACACATATCATAATCTTTTCAGCTGTCATCTCTTTACAATTTATGTTATGGTAAGTTTTTAAACTCTAACATGAATGCACTTCTGTAAATATATAGTTCATTGTGTAATATGAAATGCAAAAAGTGAAGTGTGTTACTTTAACTGTTTTTTTGGGGGGGAGGGGTGTTGATGATTACTCTGGCCTATTATAACTTCTCTTTTATACTTTGAAAAGGGAAAATTTCACTAGTGTTCAAAACTGTATTATCCGGATGACTGGATCTAATAGCTTTCAAGGAGGAGACCTCCGAATAGTGAGACTCAAATTGATACTCATTGCACTAGGATACAAATCTTTGGAGTACTTCAGCCAGTTTAATTTTGATACATTATCAATGTAGAAAGTTTTTCATTGACATCTAATGATGATTTATCAAATCATTAAATGAATTTGACAATGTTAGCACTTAGATGAGGTGTCAAATTCATTACATAATGTGACAACACGATTGGATGTCAATGTAAATTTTTTTACATGAACAGTGGATTAAAATTAAATTCTTTATTTATAAGATAGAACATAACAATTGTATTTTATATTATGGGATGTGTGTGACTCTCTCCTTTCCATTTCAGTTAACATCAATACTTGGTGAGATGGGACTGAATATTCAAGAAGCTCATGCATTTTCCACCACTGATGGATTTTCTCTGGATGTCTTTGTTGTTGAAGGATGGCCTAATGAGGTAGGACGAAAGTAGTAGGACGAAAGTAGCTAAATAATGACCTCAAAATCACTAGCAAGTATTTAGCGAAATAAAAAGACTTTGTGTATGCCTTGATCAACATCTTGCTATGAGTATTTGCAATTTTGATTTTGTAAAAGGATATATAATACGTTTAACATCTCATCTCTTCATGATATGTTTACTTTTTCATTTCAGTAGATAACATGTGATTACCTATGTTGTCTCTGGCATTTCTAACAATCTTATTGTATATATATAAATTGATAAATATGATGGCTTTGACAAATTTAGGACATAGTGGGGTATGTTATTGAATAAAATGTGTCATTAATTTATTTTTGTTTTATTAACGAAACAATTGCTGCAAATGATATCTTCAGCAAACAAAATGTAAAACTTTACAATTGAAATAATTACGAGGGATGCACAATAATTTGAAATCATAGCTAATGAAGAGATTTTTTTGTTCCTTTATAAAAGAGAGAAAACACAAAGAGAGTGAGTGAGTGAGTGAGAGAGAGAGAGAGAGAGAGAAAGAGGGCTGATCACAATGCGAGGGATGCTGCAAGTTGATGTACCTCCCAATAATAGCCAAAGCACGACTGTTGCTGGTGGTGTAGGAGCCAATTTACAAACATCTGAAAAAGATAATTATATCTCAAATATTCACTTGAGTTTCACTGGCTAACAGTTACATTATGTACCTAGTGCAGGTGCTATATCAAAATGATTTATCTGTATGACCTAGGCATGTTGATTTGAGTCATTTTTAGGATTTTATGATAAGTGTTTGATGAAATGTTTAATTTTAGGATTTTGAATTAGGAGTGAAGATGCAACTCAAAGATGTTTGCCAATGACTTGAATTTAATCCAAGTTGAATTATATAAGTGTGAAGGTTTGCATTCAAGAGTTTGAATGAAGAAATAAGATGAACTATGAATGCAGAAGTGTGAAGAACATGATGAAAAATTCAGTACAAGTAAAGAAGAAAGAATTTAAAAGATATAATGAAAGAGAAGACTTATGAGGAGATGAAGTGAAGCTACACAATGTGGAATTGGATCCAAGATAAGTAATAAATGAGCCGTTACTATCTAATGATGCAAGATAAGATTCAAGCAAAAGAGAACTCAACTTCCAAGAACTCTACACAAACTCAACAATTCTATTAATATTCATAATTGCAATAAAAAGAATGGGGATGGGCATTTATAGCCAATGTGTCTGTGGGAGAGAAAAGAGGAATGGTGGGAGATTTTGAATTTTTGAAATTCAAATCTCCCTCATAGTGTGCTTCACTAATGGGATCTCACCCATGTGAACATGCTTCTCACATTTAACATGTGTTAAATGTGGGTTGCATGTGTGTATCAGCTTCACATGTGGCCCAAATCTCTTCCCTACGTCATGGAGGGTTTAGAAGTTACCCAAACAAAGGCCCAAAGATTTGAGGCCCATGCCTAAAATGTATAAACCATTTCCAAAGAAGAAAATACAAGGAAGAGAAATCTACATAAATACAAAATAAGGAAACATAATGGTATCCATGATGGTTGGAATGGGTCATACTTCTAATAATCCTCCTACAAGGCACAAGTTCTCGCAGTGACCCAATCATGCACCCATCACATGCTTTATCAACATATAGTTTCTTGCTTTAGCTTGTTTTTAACTTTTGTGAAAGACCCCCTCTTAGGAATTAAGAATTGAAAAGAGAAATAAGAAGAAAGATTTTTATTGAATAAAATGAAAAAAACAAGAAATAGGAGAGCATCTCTCTTCCAAGGGTTTAATCTTCACAAAGGATTTCTCCTTTCACAAAGAGCTAATGTTCAATCTACATAACAAACACAACCCCCTTCTATCTTCCATCCCTTGTTAATATCTAACACCACAACTTTTCCTTCTCTTTATACCCTAAGAATACACCCCTCCTAAAATCACGTTGTCCTCAAGGTTAGAATAGTGGAAGCTTGATCCCATGGCTCATGTTCATTACCATGATCTTCATTACCCCTTCTTGAATGCATTGTAATGCTTTCCTACCATAGGAATGGGTAGTGTAGTCAAAATCGTGTTTAAGATCATGAATCTCACGATTTCACATATCATGTCAGATTTAGTGCTCACACAAGATCGCACTAGGGTAGGATTGGTGGGATCAATGAAGAAGATTGTGAAATAGTTAAATTGACGGGTAAAATTGGTTCGTGAGAAATTGGTTAGCTTGGGGGACAACTATGGAGAAATCTCCCACAACAAACCATTGAATGTTGCAGAACGACATTGGTGTTGTCACTGGGGGCATCGTCCTTCATCCCACATCTTCAAAAACCCTAATTCATAGTCCCCAACTCTTGAACCTTTCCCACTAAGGTGTCGTGTTTCAAATCTGAAAAAGAAGAGAGGAGAAGAGGAGGGTGCGGAGGGGAAAGAGAAAGGCTCCCCCAACAAGTTGAAATTCCAATGCCATTGATGATCCAACCATCTTCATTATCAAATCTATCTCCAACAATTATTTTTGATTCATAGTATAGACATCTGAATTTGGGATAAAAAGATGTTTGGTCCACCTTCACTTCCTTTTTGACTAACTCTACAATTGGGTTGTTAAGAAATTGATCTTAACATAATACAATCTCCACACTCTTTTGATGCATCAACATCTTCCTCCATCATAGTCTTTGTTTCTATTGCTAATTTTACTTCATTTTTTGTTTCTTCTCCACTACAAAGGGTGTGATTCTTGATTATTGAACGTTACTTCTATTTTCTCAAGAATTGCAATGGATCACCATCATACTCAAAACTCTCACTCTTTGAATTAGTTTTCCCTTCTATGTTTCCATTAAATGTGGGTAGTTCCACCTTCTTGTCCAAATTGGCCTATGCTTCAATGCATTTTGACCTACTTCCTTCCATGCTATCTTTGTCAATCCAATGTCAATCACCTTTCATTCAATTACTTGTGCAGCATGTGTTTCAGCTCTAAAATGTTGGTCCTCTCTATCATGAACATGGTTGAAGTCTCCATTTCTTCGATGCAAGTTTCTTATTTTTTTGCTCTTATTGCTCCATGGCTATAATATTTTAAAGATGTGGCTTCAATAGCTATCTCGGAATCTCTTTATCAAAGCTGTGGAAAATGATTCCCAATCGGAATGTGGGTTATCTTTGCACCAATAATAGAACCAAAGCATTGTCACACCTTCCATGCTCATGAATACATATTGCATCTTATGGAATGAATGAATGAATTTCTTGCACCTCAGAAATTTTCAGCCATAGCTATCCAACCAATTAGATCTGTCTCACAGATGCTGGCAGCTTCCCCATGGCCCAAATTTGTGCTTCCTCCATCTCTAACATTGGCTCTCCCTCCAAGATTTGGTAGGTCAGACCCATTTGTTAGGAATCAAGAATTGAAAAGAGAAAGAAAAGAAAGATTTTTATTGAATAGAATGAAAAGAACAAGAAATAGGAGAACACTCTCTCTCCAAGGGTTTCCTCTTCACAAAGCATTTCTCCTTTCACAAAGAGCTAATGCGCAATCTATGAAATGGACATACTCCTCTCCTATCCATCTTCCCCTATTTATATTTAACTAACACCTCAAGTAACTAATGTTACATTCTAACTATTTTAACTAACTTCTCTTTATACCCTACCCCCTCATCCCCATTTTATAATCACGGTTTAAATGAATAATAGAGAATTGTATTTATAGGATCTTATCTTTCTTTTGTTAATGTCTTCCATGTATGTCTCATATGCATTAGCTAGTTAAAAATCCTGGGAGCAGTATCCCTAACACAAAATTTGAGACTTCCTGTTTCAAGTTTTAATTGAATTTATTTCCAAACTAATTTAGGAATATTCTGTACAAGCTTCCTTCATGATCATGCAATTGACTTCCACTACATAATGGAATTGTTATAGCAATAAAATATTAGAGGAAGGTTTGAGGACTCTTTTTTCTACATCAAAATTGACACATAACATTTTGTTCAATTGTCTTTTCGTCTGTAAGCTTTTTATCTTTTCCACTTCTTTTGTTTACTAATGTAATGGCTCCTTGCAAGAGTGCTGCTGAGCTGTCATGTAATTTTTCAGGAGTTTGAATCCTTTGCCCTTCTATCCATTGATTGTTTTACTTGCAGTTCTTACATGTTTGTGATTTCTCTCTTTTGGTCTAATATTTAATTTTATTTGTATAGTTGTTTTGCTTTTCACATTATATTTTTGATTTCCAAACTTCTTGTATCTATTATATTTTTTTTGGCTGTTAGGAAACTGAGGAGCTGAAAGGTGTGTTGGAAAAGGAAATTTACAAGGTTAAGGTATATCCTCCTTTTTAATTATTTCTGTTAGAGATATAATATAGCAGCCCTTCATGAGGCTTCACTTTAACACCTTAACTTTTTCGGATTGAGAGCTCGTGATAATTTCAAAATACCTAGTTCTATATTTTTTTGGAAATATCTTAATATTTTTTATAGTTCTTTGAACTTTGATAACATACATATTCAAGATTAAGCAGGGAGATGAGATTATTGTAGTTTGGAATTATTTTGGAAAAGAAATTGATATTATTTGAAGTTTGAACTACACTTGAGTAAAGATTTCTGATACAATGAATTTTTCTTTGCATTTGTGCACTTCATGCAGAGCACTGAATTTCATTTATCCTTTTGTCAAACACTTATTGATATAAACTTTCTTATTTGCTTTGCAGGAGCAAAATTTGTCAAATCAGGGCATACATTATGCCGCCACTGAACATTGCCAGGCAAGGATCGAACCATCCCCTCCTTGCATTCAAATACCATCAGATGGAGCTGATGTCTGGGAACTTGATACCAACCAGCTGAAATATGAAAACAAAGTTGGCTCTGGGTCATTCGGTGACTTGTAAGTTATTTTTGCTTGAGTACAAATATTTTTAGCTGAGGTTTCTCTCTAAGCATTTATTTGAAATTCCTTAGGTACAGAGGTACATATTGCAGTCAAGATGTTGCTATCAAAGTTCTCAAGCCTGAGCGCATAAGTACAGATATGCTGAAGGAGTTTGCACAGGAAGTTTATATCATGAGGTTTGTTTGCATGTTTGAACATAATTGTGGAGCTTATATTTACCATTTCTGAGATATTTATTCTCATGCTTTCCTGCCTTGTGTTGTAGCTGCCACTTTTCTGCTTAATTATTCATTTTGTATAGTAGTATTGGATGATAATCTGGGTTGCACAACCTGTAACTATGATGGAGAAATTGATGTGATGGACTTTTTGTTGTCTGATATATTGTGCTATTAGTTTTTTTTTTTTTTTTTAGGATTATGTCTTTCTTACTATTCCCTAAAAATATGAACTGGTGGGACATGATACTTCTGGTTAGATCTTTTCTTTCTTATTATTTTTATCTCTGTTTGAAAACCAACTAACCCTGGCAGCTGTAATTTAGTTTTTTTTTTCCCCTGAAAATACTCACATTTTAGTTATATGATTTCAATTCCATGAAATTGGCATCATAGATAGACTGTTAAAATGCCTGGACCAAAGGTTCATTAATTTTGGCTTAAATCATGGCATTAATTTCCTTATTTGTCTGACTTATTTTCAAGAGCATTCTGGAAAGGAATACGTTAACTAATAATAAAATCTCAATTTCAGATATTCACTACATTAAATGCTTCGGAAAATATCTAATAATGTTTCAATCCTAACAACTCCACTTTTTGAACCGTCATTTGTTCCTAGTTTGAGTATTAGTGGTTGGTGATATGGTATCTTTGTAACCCAGAGTAATCATTCTTCCTTTACCAACTACTATTTATCTTGGGTTGCAGGAAGATTCGACACAAGAATGTTGTTCAGTTCATTGGCGCATGTACTAGGCCCCCAAATCTTTGTATTGTTACTGGTAAATAGGAGATAATCCTGAGAATTTATGTAGTCACATGTTTATGTTTCATGGAATTTGTTTGTTTAGAGGGTGTGCTTTGGTTTAATGATAATGTTACTGCATTGTAGTGACTGTCAATTTTAGTTGTGGAAACCAACCACTCTGCTTATGGCAGAGGCTACATACATTTTGAACCTCCTCAACCCCTTAATGGTGGAAGCCTTTTGCATATGCCTTCCTTTTATATTCCTATCGCTGCTTTATTTTTATAGTTTATAATAGTTTTAGAATTGGTATAATATTAGTATTTACCTACATATGTTTTATAAGTAATTCTGAGATGATTTGGGTGCCTTATTCAGTTCCCTGGTAATGCAATTTTAATGCTTATGTGCTTATGTTTATGACTTTATCAGAGTTTATGTCTAAGGGAAGCTTATATGACTTTCTGCACAAACAAAGAGGTGTATTTAAGCTTCCATCTTTGCTAAAAGTAGCAATTGATGTTTCCAAGGGAATGAACTATTTGCACCAAAATAATATAATTCACAGGGACCTCAAGACTGCCAATCTTCTGATGGATGAAAATGAAGTAAGAGGATTCCATGAATATTGAATGCATACATCGATACCGTGTTGCATTTTCAGTGTTATAATGGTCTATGTTTCCATGCTCTCTACTTATAATATTTTGGTTTTGTAATAGAATTCACTACTTGTGTGTTCACTACCTGAGATATCGTCATACTCGTAATCTTTCATCTTAAATTTTGGAGGTATTATATGTTGAATTTGCCATTTAACTCCTTTAAAGAAAGGGACTACACTTTACTGAATAAAGAACAGCTATAGTCACTGCTTAAGAATCAATGCTTGAAAGTGTGATATAAAATACATGAACATATCTTAATCATTGTTTTCCAAAACAACAGATATAACTGCACTTTAACCCATCTTAACCCATCACTTTGAGGAGCTAAATGCTGGAATCTAAAAGTTTACTGGCCTTTTGTGCACCTTTCCCCATTGTCTTATGCATACTAGTATTTGGTCCTATATTCATCAATAAATGAGAATTGTTTGTTATCTTGAATTACAAGAAGCATCATAGTTTATGATTCATGGAAATAAAGTTTAAGATGGGTAACTGTGTCATCCGGACTCTTCTTGTTAGCATACTATGCACACAGACCTTAGACGAAAACATCACTTAAATAGCATGTTGATCTTCAACAGGTGGTCAAGGTTGCTGATTTTGGGGTTGCTAGAGTGCAAACTCAGTCTGGAGTGATGACAGCTGAAACTGGAACATACCGTTGGATGGCTCCTGAGGTATGAATTATCTGGATTTCATGTTACTTCTTGATTGACGATTTTGGTGACCTCATTGATCACAGCGCAATACCATTGAAGATTAGTATTTTTTTATGGTACACATTTATGTTCTGCGTGGTAGAAAAGTGAGAAATATGGTGATGGGCAAGGAAAACTGAGAAAATGATGTTTTTTTTTTTGGGTTGTGTGATGAGGGGTGAGCATAAGTGTAAGAAAAGCAGCCTAGGTATTCAGTTCGGGTTCAAGCAATCCTGAGAAGTCGGTCCACTTGAGTTAATGTTCTTGGTTATCATTGAAATATCTTTGTCCGTAGTGAAGCAGAATTTTAAACTATTAAAAATATACTCGTTTGGATGATGTTATATTTGTCATTGATATTGAATTTATATCTGGTTGATGTTAATCTTTGTCATAAAGAAAATACATGAAATGGTTTCCTCGTTTTTATTCTTTCTCGGCTATTTCCTTACAAAGCATGCAGTGGTTTGATACTTATTCCTCAGTTTTTTTTCTTATTTTCATCTTCATATAACATGCCTTAGTACTACCACTATAAAGCACGTACATGCTTTTTTAATGGTACCTCAGATCCCTTTCCATTGATTTGACTTTTACTTGAAGGTCATTGAACACAAACCATATGACCAGAAGGCGGATGTTTTCAGTTTTGGAATAGCTCTCTGGGAGCTTTTAACTGGAGAAGTGAGTACTTTCATCCCTGACAGTGGGATTTCTGCTTTCTGATTGTATGATTCTCTTTTTGTCTCAAATGATGATCAGTCTTATACCCCTCTTATCTCATTATATATACTGTTGTTGTTAACCAGCTACCTTACTCTTGCTTGACCCCATTACAAGCAGCAGTTGGCGTGGTGCAGAAGGTTTTTATTCTTTTTCTTTTCCAATTAATTTCATCGGAAACAATTTCTTGTCTATGCATGATGATTCTATGTGCATTGCTATTAGGGCCTACGGCCAACAATTCCAAAAGCCGCACACCCAAGACTTTCTGAACTGCTCCAGCGGTGCTGGCAACAAGATCCGACTCTCAGACCAGATTTCTCTGAAATAATAGAAATTCTTCAGCACATAACAAAAGAGGTAAAATTAATTCTTAAATTTAAAAACCAACACAAAGTTGGACCTGTTAAGTAATTTTCATTTTTATTTTTCTACCAGGTTCATGATCAAAAGGATAAATCATCCCATGGCTTTCTCTCAGCTCTTAGACGAGCCCATCATTGATATTGATATTAGAGGATTACACGACAATATAGCCTTTTTGTCCAGTGTATAGTAGTCAGACTCTGACCTAATATCTATTGAGTTGGTTGTTTCTACCCTTGAAAGATTCCGTCGTATTGTGCTTGCCTTAAATTTCTTTTACAATCTTCGTCTTTCTCCCATTTGTCTACTCAACTTGTTCGCCTGTGAATAGGATGGATACATGATTAGTGAAGGTTGAAAATTCAAGGTATCATTTACAATTAATTTTTTGCTAATTGTATTTCATGCTTTTTGACTGGGAGTTTTTTCGCTGCACACTCCATTGTATCCAAACCCTTGAAGTTGACTAGTAGAGGCGTTATATGTTGATACTTATATATACCAAGTTTAACTGTAATAAAATCGGCATATGTTGTTATGCAATTATATTCCAATGGTATTTAAACACCAGTTGTAATATTTTTTTAATGACCATATAAATTTGTATTAAGATTGTGCTCGGGTCAATCTGCATTATATTTGGAAAACTATTGTATTGACAGTTTAGAAACTTAAGATTATCAATAATTGAAAAAACTATCATTGTTTTTTTTTTTTTTCAAGGTACTTATCATTAAAGTAATTAAAATTATTTTATATAACAGTTTGTGACTGGATGACCTGGAAACAGAATTCACTCAACACCCTATAACGAGTCGTGAATTATTCTTCTACAAACACGTTTTCTTTGGAAATAACACAAGTTGACATATGCTTTTATGTTGACGCAGTCCTTCTGCTAGCGCCATGCTACCAAACATGCATTACGAACAATTGTAGTTGTGCGTCAAACACCAAATAAATTTCACATTAGGTATTGGAAAAGTAAAGAAATTTGTTAAAAATATATGGCTTAAATTAGATCAATACATAATTTAGAGTGTAAATGCATAATCGATTTCTTCGTAATGGTTTAAAATTAAAGTATCTAAATTAGTTTTATTTAGTTATTAGTTAAAGAATTCGATCTCGGTGCCGTGAATTTGAAATATCTCGGTTAAACAACGGGCTGGGTTAATAGGTTATATAAAAAAATTTATATGTATTTTTAAAATATATTTTTAATCATATAAACAATTTTATATAATATATTTATATATTTCAACTAATAAAAAAATATAATATTTTTAATTAGAATATTTTTATTTTTATTTTAATATAAAAATATTTTTAAAATGGGTTAATCCGATGTTGATTAGACTATCGGATTAGACTGAACTGACAAAATTGTCAAGATGTCCTATATTTTTTATCTACTTGAATTTTAATCTCTATTTTTTTATCAATGAATTATCAAATTTATTTAACTAAATTTATTAATAATTAATCGAGATCGTTCTAATTAGAATTATTGTCTGAATAAAATGAATTAAAATAATCTATAGGAATAAAAATGAATACAGTAAAAAAATGTGTTATCCATAAATTTATCTGGATATAAATCATTTTTATAATTTTTTAAGTATTCAAAATCATGTTCTCGCACACATTGATCTTACGAAACTTTGCCATGCGCTTCCAACTTATGAAATTAAGCTGAAACTATCGTGTGCTGAAACTGAGAGCCGAGTCATATTAACTGAATCCTTTACCCAATACTTTTCTTACCATAATTATAATTTTTCTAACTTACCAGGAATCTAAATAATGTTCTCGTTCGGAAAGAAAAAATAAACTTTTTTGAACTAGAAGTAGAGGAAGACGAACACCTCATCAGGCCATGAGAGTTTCTCTGCAAAGTTTTATAAATATTATCTTTTCTCATTCTCTAATTGAACACCCCCTTTTTTTTCTACACATTTTCATGAACTTTTCCGGTATCAGATTTCATTTTGTATTCCCAGTATCAGATTACCACTGTCTTGGTGAAGTGTTTCTGCGACTCCTCCCAAAACTTATTCTATATACAGCTGCAGGTCCAACAGGAACACTTCATTGTTCTGTTGGAAGTCCATTTTGTGTCCAAGCTGCATAACCACCAGCCATGTCTGTGAGTCCTGTGAACCCCTGTAGAATGAAGAAATTTTAGTCACTGTATGGACAATCTTTGAGCTCAAGAATATTCTTAGAAAACTTGAAAGACTAAAAACCAATATGAAATTCTCCTTAATAAGTTTGTCTTTAAAGCGAGGTTGTACTAGTCTACAAATGTCAACGGTTTAAGATCCTTTTGCACTTCAACATCAAATAACAAAATTAACTTTAGAGCAACCTTATTCCATAATAAATATAGTTTGTATACGCTAGCCCTGAAAGACGCCTTGATGTGGAAAAACATAGCTTGATTCAGACATTCAAACAAACTAGGACTTGTTTTAAACTTAGAATTAAGGCGTTGAAGAAGAAAATGCTTACAGCAGCTAGCAAATCAGTTGCAGCCACGATAGATCTTTTACCAAGCTGACACCCCTGTGAAACCACAAGTCAACATCTGAATTAAGCAGGAGTCCTAATAATAACATACGTCTTAATGACTCAACAAGAGTTTTAAGAAGATATGCACTCACAACAATGATTTCATCATCTTTCCTAAAATGCGAAGACACCTCTCTAATAAAGTTGCTGTTCTGTGTCATCCCTGAATACATGAATGGAGAATCCATATTGAGATCATGGAATATATTAATATAACAAGGAGAAGAATTTTTCAGATCATAGGATAAAGTTTTTTTTTTTTTTTCTTTCTTCTAATTTGTTAATATATTCTATATAAGAGAATATAATAATAAATTAGAAAAAAAAAACAACAACTACCTTGGTCCAAGATACTCTAGTGGGATACACCACACACATATCAGAGTATTAGTGTTAAGACGAAATATATAACCCTCTCTGGTAAGTAACCACTACTGATATTTTAATTTGACCAACAAAATTGCTTGCATTTCAAGGATGAGCAAGAAACTATTGGATCAGGTAGCTATTTTTGTCTGAGTTGTATAGAAACTTTTACTCTCTCATCTCAACCAATTAGCAATTATTTGGCTTTTTAAAATAGTTATTATAAAAAATTAACCGAATACTGTCAGTTTGTAATTGAAATACAGTGAAAAAATTCTTTACATTGCTATTACGCATCATTACTCTTACTCTTTCTTCTGTAGTGAGAGAAATCTTGGAGATTAGGAATCATCAAAGCTACCAATGAGATGATTATTGTAAATTAATGTAACATTTGAGAATTGAAATGGAACCTGATCCATGTCTGAGCATGTAAGGTATGTTAATTGCGCCAGGAGGGTGTCCTTCGTCGAACTCTTCCGGGGTCCTGCAACAAAACAGGGGAAAGAAGAGATAAGGTTTTGGTTGATTCTACAACATGGTTCCAAAAAAGTTTTGTAATGTCACTGTTACTGTTACTGGTGGTGATTGATATTCAATCGCTGACCTCACATCCAAATATCGATGACCAGCCAGAAGAAGCTCGTATGCTACACGCACAGGCACAGAAGTTGGAACAACAGCCTCCAAATTCCCCTTCAGTGCAACTTCCCTCCTTCAACAACCCATAAAACCAGGTTTCATTTGATGAAAAAATCAAACAAAATAAGTGAAATGAAATTTAATATAAACATGATCTATTTCTCCAATATTGTGCTTATCTTTATCTTCTATTTAGAGTATGATTAGGTACAAGTACCTATACCCTTTTTTACTCATAAAAATATTCAGACCATAACTTTATTACGTTATGCTCCGTTCCATCCAATAACTGAATTCCACTCACTGAAGGACAAAAACAAATCAAAACAAAAAACTCTTATTTTTCGAAGCTTATGAATCGTGATTAACACTTTGTTCACGTTTACCGGAAGCTTGGAAACTTGGGTGGAACATTCACGCTTATCCGTCCCCTTTGAGGATTCATCGAGTTCAGAACTGAAAATCTGTGACAACACTTTCAAGTTTTAGAAAAAAAAAAAAATGGTATTATTAGTATAGAAGAATGGTTTAATTGTTTAACCTGGTGTTGCATGGATTGGGTGAGAAACGAGGAGAACATGAAGGAGGGACACGGAAACAAGCGGCAGAGACATCAATGGTTGCTGTTGTTGCCGTCGTCATTGGTTTCATCGTTGCTGTTTACTGGTTGCTGAGATTATTTTTGGAATGGAATATGCCACCAATATTGATATTGATGCAATGCAATGCCTATGGTTGCCACTCCCAACCTATTTATATTAAATAATAATATATTAATATAATAATGTTGTTGTAAACCTTATTAGTGTTTTTTTTTTCAAAAGTTCAAGAGGTAACTTCAAAATTTTGGTGTCTGACAGTGTGATATTAATTTTGAATTTATAAAAATTTAACTATCGAACTTGTTTGATAACAGGGGAAGAGAAAAGTGTGAAATAAATTTTTTTTATGGGATTAAGAAAGATAATAAAAGAATTATATCACACGAAAATACTGTAAATTTTTGTTATATATAAATACAAGATATTTCATGCTCTTGTACGTAACAAATTTAAATAAAACATATGTTACCCATACTAAATTTTTTTATGAGTTTCATTCTAGTTGATAATTTTTATAAATACTCATATTTTATAGTTTTTATTTATATTTCATTTTTCAACAACTTCAAAATAATTAAATTTTTGTAATTAAATATTAATTTAATATAATATTTTCACATAAAAAAGTTAATTAAAAATTCAATAAATATGTATAAGTACTTAATATATTTTCTGCATTAGATAATTTTTTTCTTGTTTAAAATAATATTATTAAGATTTTATAAATTTGTATTATCGTGGAAATCTATTTTTGTAATTACTTATATATAATGTAAACAAGATGCGTTGGGAGATAAGAGTAACGAGACAGCGATGTTGTGATGAATTTGTGACAACCAGGATGGGCGACCACGCTACTATTCTCTTCAAAGATTCTTCGTCTTGTTCTTTTTTTAGTTAATCCAACTCCATTATTAAACACAATTTTATTTTTTTTCAGACATGCTATTTTTGTAGCATATACATAATAATATATCTCCCTCATGAGAAATTTTATGCATAAGCGTATTAAGTAAATCAACAATATAATAACTAAGACTATATATCAAGTAAACTAATTTAAATTGGCGTAAATAAAAGAAACTCACGTTAAGTAATTGAAGTTGAAAAGTTTTAACTAGGTGAGAATATTCCTTGGTAGTGAAATAAAATGGTGTTTTTGTAATGGATTATTTCGAGGTGTTATGGTGAATGTTCCTCTATGAAAGAAAATTGTATCTGACATTTGGTAACACACGTTACGTGTGTATAAATTATTGGTTCTTTTAAGTCATATAGAAATTTGGGAAAAAAAAGGTTGTTGTTTTGGATAAAATCATGCGTAAAGACACGTAATACTTTGCATGGATAAGTCCGAGCCAGTAACAGGCACGGAGATAACCACGGAACTGGTGCTGACCCACCACCACGATTCTGGATCTTTTCGATAAGTTTCCACCTCACAAAGCCCATCTAATTTGGGTGGAGAGATTCTTCTACACGTGGCACCACGTCCTCTGCCTACCTTTTGGACCTTCTTTATTAGGCCTAGATTTTTTCACACGCTCTAGATAAGGCCCATAAGACACACTTTAATGGGCTTTAACTACGCCTATTTTCATCAAAATAAATAAACCCGGCCCAAGAAGTAAAATTACAGCCCAACACTATTTTCTACAGTCGAGATGTAATTGTCGTAGACTATTCAAAACAATGCAAACCTTATTACCGATGTCTAATTTTTATTTTAAACAAATTTTAATTGTGTTATTTTTAACATTCCAATAAGTTTTGTAAAAGTGTTAAAAATTTGACATATTTCAAATAACGTAATTTATTAAAATTTTAACATTAAAAAACTCTATATTAATAACTTTTCATAAGCAATTGTAAAAAAATTATCATATCACATTTTAAATAATATGATATAGATTAACCTTTACAAATTAATTTTAACTTAGGAATTGTTTGGATTCCAGGTATGTCTGTCTCAAATTTCTAATTATAATAATAATAATAGTGAATAATTTATCATAATTTAAATAATATCAAAATTTACTCTTTTTTTCTTACTCTCTAGTTCAAAACATTATGAAAAGTTTATTTATTTTAACTTGTCACTTGTTCTAAACTCAAGATTAGTGAATAATAATTACTCGATAATAATTTTCTTTTGACTCGCTTGAGGTTGTGAAGGAACGAGATGATGGGGAACGAAGTAGCCAGAGACGGTTAAAGCTTTCTGAATGGCTACTACCTTCGCCTTCGCCACGCCGTCACTATCCTCCTCTTCTCGCGTCTTCGTTCACCGCACTCCGATTCCCTACCACCGCTCTCCCAACCACCTCAGGTTGCCGCCTCTCAAATGCTCCTCTTCCGAGCCGGAAACCGCCATGCCTCCCCCCGACTGGACTCACAAGTTGATCGCCGGGGTCGCGGGAGTCGGATTCCTCGAAACCTCGTACCTCACTTACCTAAAACTCACCGGCGCCGACGCCTTTTGTCCCGTCGGCGGCGGCACGTGCTCCAACATACTCGACAGTGATTACGCCCTTGTCTTCGGTATTGCTTCGCTGCTTTTGTACGTGAAATGCACCATAACTAACTGAATTATAAGTATGGTCGTTTTGCAATTTTAGGTGTTCCTCTTCCTTTGATTGGGATGGCTGCGTATGGCTCGGTTGCTGCTCTAGGTCTTCAATTGGCTTCGAATAAGTTGCGTTTTGGGATTAACAAATCAATTGCACAAGTAGTGTTGCTTGGAGCCACAACCTCCATGGCAGCTGCTAGTGCGTATTTCTTGTACATTCTGACCACTAGATTCTCTGATTCGTCTTGCTCCTACTGCTTACTTTCGGCTTTCTTGTCCTTCACCTTATTTTTTGTCACACTCAAGGTCCGTTGTGTTGATCTTTTATCTAATGTGTTTATACATTTTTCCTGTTTTGTTGCTTGATTGGTACTTTGTTTTTCGAATTTATACCACAGGACCTTGGATTGCAAGAGGTGTCTAAACAACTAGGTCTGCAGCTGCTTGTTGCTAGCGTAGTGATTCTCTCGCTGAACACCTCATATAACAATTCTAAATCTGGATCCTCAAGGTGAATTTTTCACTTGCTTAAGACCTTTAGATCACTTTAATTTGTCTATTCCATTTGTTTATGAGATGTGGTGCAAAATGTGCAATTGTGCTATCATTTATCAATCAATCCCGTTGCCATGTCTCAAGTTGGACAAAAGTAGATGAAAAACTAATCTCTAATTGTCAAATTCTCCAGCCTTTGCTTACTCTCTGCCAACGTTTTCTTGTTCAGTGTAGTGTATACCTTCTTTTCCTATAAAATTTTACTGTCTTGCTTTCAGGTCATGGCCAATACTCCTAATTCAGTGTGTCTTTTTGTTGGATGTTTCAATTTTATTTGTATTACGTAGGTATGACCTATGTGGAATAATTCTGCACGCTCTTCGGGTGTCATCTGCCCAAAACCCACATATTTGAGTTTCAGCATAGAGATAGCAAATGGAAGTAGAGTCCTTTTGTAAGACTGTTGTTGAGTTTTTTAGGGTTTTAGCATATATTATTTTGATATATGAAATATATTATATGGTGGAGCTTCTCTTTTCTTTTCTTTTTTTTCATGTACTCTATAAATAGATATAGAGAGAGTAAAAATATAATAACATATAAAATATTAATAATATTTCAGTCTTAATTACATAAATCAAAATAATAATGTAAAATATTTTTTCTCTTATTCTAAACAATAATAAAAATCTTTTAATATCTAATTTAAATAAAAAAAGATAATAAAGCATATATTTCCAACAATGATAATATAATTTGTATAATGTTATAACATCATATTGTAGAACGGTAAGAAAAGGGTTATGTGTTTACGTGGTGCTTACTGGTAGAACTTTTGTGTGAAGGCTAGGGTTTTTCTTTCAAATAAATTACGGCTGGCTATATGTTTGTTTTAACCTATTCCCATTTGAGATGAAACCAAAGTGAATGTTATCTTGTAATGTACAATTTGAAATCCTCAATATTTTCGTTATCTACTAATTTTAACAGCCTGGCTGAAATTGAACTGCCATATTATGCAACTGAGATTACAACTTCGTCAAGCCCTTTCGCACTGTCTCTTGCAAGGCACTTGCACTCCATAGGAGCTAAAATGTATGGTGCTTTCTGGTGTTCGCATTGTCTGGAACAAAAAGAGGTATGTGGTCACTTATAATTCCTTTCGAAGTTTTTATCCACTCTAAATGGAATGTAAATTATCACAACCTGTGTTATGCTTTTCTATACCTTCTAAATTGACATGAATTTAGTGAGCACTGCATGTCTTGTGTAAGATCAGAATAGTTTTTAGAATTCAACTTTATATAGAAATTGACAGCTAAGTCCCATAATTACATAGCAGAATAATTACATACTGTTAGTTAGTTAGTCAGTTAGTATGTTACTTATTTAGTGAGTCCACTGGCTCATTATGCATATAATAGGAAGAGTAGTTGACAGGGGAGTCATTCTTTGTGTACAAAATTAATAAATGAAGTGAGAGAGACTTGGACCTCTCGAAAATGGAATTAGGGATCTTAATAAAAAAATTTCCTTGTGTGCTTTTTCAAAACCAGTTTCTATCTTTGGGAAATGGGGTTTTTGATATAATTTATCTAAACCTGGTTCTATCAAAGCTCTGATCTTGAAGCTGTAGGAGGAATTGTCGTGATAATATCTGAAATATCAACTCGACTATTGATGGAAGGGAAAACTATCAGTGGCTTATCAAGGTAGAGCTGCATTTTCACACCAACAAAGTTCATGAAGTTATGAAACTATTGTAGGCTATATGATGGAAACTTGGCATTGGAAAGAGGTGTTCTCAAATGATGGGTTTCTTGGAAGGGGAACAATCAAAATGCAATCTAGTAGTCTTTTCACTAAACAGTGCTCAAGAAATTCCAACTAGAAACTTCAGTTTGTCTTCCCGATTGAGAAACTGAGGAGCAAGAAAGCAATTCTTGAGATGAGTTCAAGAGGAAAGCCAAGAACTAGTGGAGTGGGGGCAAAAGCTGATTAAGAATGGCTCCACAAGATGAAGAATTAGAGAGAATAGAACTAGTGGCTCAAGGGCAAGAAATGAATACAGAAAAGGTACTAAAACTTGAAGAAACCCAACAAAAGCTCCAACAACCCTATGTTTCATGGCAAAACTGAGAGAATAGAGGCTCGGATACTGTTTCATGGTAAAAAAATACCAAAGAAAACACAGCACTATTGGGGCATTCACATGTACGTGTTTGACCCAAGAGGATTGGAAACTGTTCTTAGACTGCATGGGTAAATGGGCTTAGTCATCATGCTTCAATCAAGTAAATAGCTTGTAGCTTCTGGAATTAAGTTAGTTCCCTGATGCAATCCATTATGGCCTTTAGCACCTGTAATTGGCCGTACTGAATGGACTAAAAATCACCATGCTCTATGTCATGCATTTCTCAACCTTGAAAAGATGAAATTGTTGTCAATGTAGTGGGAAGTGAATGACTTGTAAACGATCTGATTATTTTGTAGGATTCAACTAATGTAATTTTCAATCAAGAACTCAAACCATATGACTAGTCGTGAAGATCTTGACCCCGGTTTTAGTTGTCAATGGATTCATAAATATTATGGTTTATTTCTTCTATTTTTATAGGTGTTATCAGATTCCTCTGCTTTGGATCTATCCCAGCATTCTAACATTCTCAACTCTAATGTTTCAACCTAGTTTTCTATGCTTGATAATCTCCAGAACTAGAACTAACAGTTCACGAACCTAGCTTGCTACAGTTTATTACCTAATATAAAGCATAATTATTCACTTTAACCTGCTGATCCAGATGTTTGGGCGCGAGGCAGCCAAGGAGTTGGATTATGTGGAATGCTTTCCCGAAGGATATCGTACAGGAACTAAAATGATAAAGGCATGCATAGACGCCAAACTTGACGGTTTCCCTACATGGATTATCAATGGCCAGGTAAAAAGACAATGAGCTGTAATTACAGCTATGCACCCTGTTTGTTGTACCCGGATTTAAGTGCCTATGGCTTGCCATTTCTCCTGCAGGTTCTAAGTGGGGAGCAAGAATTATTGGAACTGGCTCAATTGTCTGGTTATAACGAATCTGTTCAACCTAATTAAGTCTTTGACTGTAAGTAACAAAGATAACATCGTAGAATTATTAGTAGCACAGATATTGTACAGCTTATACATGAGTAGTTTGTCCTTTTGTTATGTTACAAATTCATTCTCATTGCGTAATAATAATACTGCCGCACGAGCAATTATTAGATGGTTTTGAATTACTATGTGGCCATTATGATATCAATATGTCCTTAGAAACATGATGGTAAAATTGGTGCAAAATTAAATGGTAAAAATTTTACGATATTTTTTTGGTTTCTAAAATATGTCGAAATATAATAGTTCAGTAATAAAATGTATAATTAAACATTTTTACTTTATATGCGATATTGTTAGTGTTAGTTGACATTATTATGTATTGTTGAAATTTAGATTTAAATATCATAATATACTTTATTTAAATTTTTATTTAAAGGTTAGAAGCTTAAAACTTATATTTTTATTTTTATTTTGCTATGAAATGAAATGACTTATAGAGAAAGATTTTTGAGAGATGACAAAATCGATAGAGGCCATTCAATGTATCTAGATTATGAAAGGATATAAGATAATTTATTACAATTCACATTTGAGTACAAAAATGATAGTTGAAAACATGTTCAAGAACATTCAACCGATCATAACTTAATATAATAATATATTATTGTTTTGGGTTGTTAATAGGCGTATATTACATCGTTGATTGACAATCTATTATCACTCATTTGATTAAGTAAGATAACGTAATCTAGAAGAAATTATATCAATTATTGAAGATTAGAACTGATAAAAATGAATGCTCAAAAGGGAGATTATGTCACATGAAAGAAAAGTTTTAGAATAAGATTATATGATGACAAAGAAAATGTGTAAAGATGTGTTATATATGCTTAGAATGAGGATATCAAGGAGAGATAAGTTAAGTATAGTTGGGATGTTTTTTAATTATTGTAATTACACATAGACTTATATATTATACAAAAACCTATATTTTCGTTATGAAATTTTAAATATACTCAAATTTTTAATAAACATCTAAATGTTAAGTTAATTAATGAAATTGGATTCTTTGGATATTTTTTCACTCATTTTATCTATATTGTGTTACTTTTTAAGGTTCAATGTTTTGTGTTTAATTTCTTTTATTATCTCTTCTTTGCTTAGTTTTTATTTTTAAGCAAAATAGTGCATGGATTCATCCCAGCAATTATGATTGAATTACACTAATATTTGAATCCTTTTTCTTAAAATCATAAACAAATGTTGAATTCGTTAAAATACTTGATATTATGTGTTAATTTATACTTAGGTTGATATTAATCATTAAAATATTATAGTAACTAATGTATCCATAACATGTTTAAACCTATAAATTTATAATGTTTTTGAACTTGTTATTTAAGTTTTTTATTATTTTAAATAATTTCATAAATTGAAAATTATTATAATTGTTAGTCATTCTTAAAGAATTCATAACTAGCATATTAATTGGTTTCAAATAATTAATTTATAAGATAAATTTTTACCATGAAACAAATTTATAACTTTTTAAAGTCAATATATTTTATTTTTTGTTATTATTACATGTATTATCTGATCATTATCATTATTATTTAATACCAATTTAACAATCTTAAAATCAATGTATTGCGCTGTTAAATGATGGTATAACTTTTACAACATCATTTTTCACTACTTCTACATCCCAGCTCTGCTTTTAAATGAATTATTTAACTGCATGACAAATTATAAAAATTGGTATTTATAAATTTTAGTCAAATCTTTCATATGGGTAGTCTTTTTTTACATTTATTTTAAATTGGTCAAATCTCCATGAAATTTAACTAGTCAATAAAGACGAGCATCAGAAGGGAATGAAAGTTCACGTCATAACAACTTGTTCAATCATGTCATGCAAGTGCTACGTCAAAACAAAATTTCCCTCTTTTAATTCATATAGCAAATAAAAAAAATTATAATCCATATTTGTATTTTTATAATAATGATATCGGGTGAAATCTTAACATAGTCATATGAATAATATTGGTAATTTCCTTATGTACTCTGAATTATACATAAATTCATCCAGTCAACAATTTAAATATACAAAATTAGAGAGATAAAATAAACAAATTATAAATACTTAATAATAATTTTAACAAAATTACGAAATTATTATATATATATATATATATATATATATATATAAAATGTGATTTTGGAAAATTAATTAATATAAAATATATATTCTTAAATGCATAAATATAAAAATTAAGTTATTTTATTTTATTTTCACTGAACTCGAATAAAATCTCAATAGTTCACATCATTATTTTAAAAAAATAATATATAGTAATTTAGCAATACTTTATATTGAGTAAAGAGAAAAAAAAAAACAAATAAAATTAAACACGACAAACAATTTACCTCCTAAATAAAAAGTTCAAAATACTTTATAATCTAACAGGAGTTTTAGAGGTAACAGTTTCTCTATCCATTGTGAAAATATTCATCCCTTGTATTACGAATCTAAGTTATTTTCTTGTAATTGCTTTTTTTTTTTTAATTTCAAATACACGTTCAAGTTCATTATTTCAAACACATATAAAGACAAATTTAACACTATCTTCTGTCTTTAAAAAAGAAAATCTAGTTAAGTGTTAGTTTGATTTTTAAGTCATCTTTAAAATGAATTATTTACAATAATTACTCATAATAAAAATATTATTTTATTACTAATCAAATAAAATTATTTGTATAAATAATTTTTTATTAGTTTTAAACAAGTTATACATAATACTAGTCATAAAATAATATTTTTCATTCATACTAAAATAAAATATGACAAACATTATTTACCGTACTATACTTTACGAGTTGTGGAACTCATAATTTAATTCTAGATCTATCTTTTTGTCTAAAAAAAATGTTCAAAATTTTTATTGAATATCCAACTAATTTCTAGCACTGAATAGAATTATTTTAAAGTAAATTGGTAATTTTAATAGCAACTGGAATATGAAATCACAAAGTGTAGTTAAAAAAATTGAAATGCCGAAAATAAAATATATTAAATGAAGATTTGGACATAAAAAAAGGTAATGAAAACATACATGAAATTCTGAGACTAAACACCGAACCAAAGCGACAATACACGCACCGCGCTTCAGAAACCACGTGACCCCGCATTTCATCCAAAAATAAACTAATAAATTCCAATTATTTATCACATTTTTTTATATTTCAAGTTCAAAAACGTTGTAAATAAAGATATATATATATATATATATATATATATATATATATATATATATATATATATATATATATATATATATATATATACCTACCGAATGATGATGATGATAAAGTCAAACTAATAATTTAACAAATACATAACACTTAATATTCTTTTTATAAAATATTTGATTTTTTTATTCGTATTTAAATGTTTTTCTTGTATCTTATATTTATTTATTAATTTAATATCGAATAATCTTTATCTCAAAAATTCTTTCATTTTTTTATATATTTCGAAACAATTTGAAAAATATTTAAAAGTCGGCCAATATCAAAATTTAGGTTAAAATAATATCCTAAAAAATAACATAAAAAAAATTGTATCTAATGAAAGAAAAAAGTTTTAGATGATAAAATCCTAGAATGCAAAAGAAATATTTTACTTTTTTGTTTCAGATATTGAAGGATTTTTCATCGGTGCCTTTTTTGAAGTAGCGTTGAAGGATAAGGATATAGAGATAAACAATAATTTGTTATCCTCTTATAGAAAAAACGACGATATCTTCCAAAAATAATCACCATAATTTATCTTCACGAGGAGTACTATACTTTAAATCAGATAAGATAAGAGACACTCTAGACAAATAAGAGAATCTCCATTCAAAATTGAAAAAAAAAAAAAAACATGTCATTTTTATTTTTAAACTTAGCTTCCTTCATCTAATAACTTTTAATTAACAACATAAGATAAACAAAAAACTAATTTTACCCTATTAATACAAATTAATAAATTGCAACCTGAATAAGATTTTACATCAACTCTACTTAATCAACTTAGACTCTAAATCTATCAATGTATTATAATAAAACAAATATATTTTTCCACAATACATTTATTTTTCATAAACACAAACCAATTTCAAAATCTCAAATATCTAAATTGAAATTCAAATAATTATTATTTTTATAAAAACTCGTATTTTTTTAATATAAATTACAGATCATCTTAATACATACATACATATATATATATATATATATATATATATATATATATAAATTTTTTTTTCAAAAAAGCTGTTTTGAGTTTAGACTGTAGCACATTTATAAAAAATGTCAAAAAATAAAATATTTATTTAACTTAACATGGAATTTTAATTACAATATTGAATATATAGTACACAATGGTTTTATTTTTTATTTATTGGAGAAAATAAAAGAAATTTGAAAGGAAATATATTAAAGATTAAGAAAAGATCAATAAGTTGCATATATAAGTTTTGGTTATATTTGGATAACCCATAATACGATTATAACTTCCTTATTATTCAATTCAATTAGGAAGAAGACAAAAAAAGCACATGATGTATGTGGTTCAAGATTTGGAAATTGAAGATTGTTTTTCGTGGAAACTACGTGTGAAATTTGAAAAGAAAAAGTAAAAAAACTTAACATTAGAGACTGTATTAACAAGATAAGATAGTTTAATGTACTTTAATTAGAAATAAAACAACCTCTTTACGAAACCGCCAAGAACATCGCATACAACAATTGCGATTACTAAAACCACCACGCAACAACGACCACCGTTTCATTAGCACAGTACTTTATTAATTAATCAGTAATTAAATATCTTCATTGTGTGTTTATAGAATTATAATAATTAGATGATATGTCATAATTTCATTTAATTTTTTATTTCAAAAAAATTTAATTGTGTTGCTTGGAAAAATATATTTTTTACATTCAAGTAGGTTTCTTTTAATTTTTTAAATAATTACGTTCAAATTAAACGACAATGAAAAAATATATAGACTATGACTTCTCAAAGTTTTTGTTGTGTTATAATTAGCGTTTATTTTTTATTTTATATAAATAAATAAATTAAATAAATAGTTAGTATTTTATTTAATCTGACATAATAAAGATTTATTGTTATAAATTCAGTATAAAAAATAAACTCAAAATCATAACATATTATAACGAGAAATAATAATCACACAAAATTAAACTCTTAAAATATTATTTTTGTTATATTTTAATGAATTAAATTATCTACTAAATTATTAAGTTAATTTTCAAGTTATTAGACCAAACATATATAATCAGTCAACGTAATGCGATTGTGAACATTCTCACTATTGAAGATTAAACAAATTTATAGATAGTAAAAACTTAAGACATGTATACACACACAAAAATAAAAAATAAAAACAGATGTCAAAATTATAAATTAAAAAAAAAAAAACAAATTCCATAAAAAAATTAAAGGACACAAATTTAAATTTTACAGTATAAGAAAAATTAAGAATTTTTCAAATTATAGGAATAAAAGTTATAATTAAACTTTATTTTATCATGTCAACTAATATATGTTTGTTAAATTAAATATGCTTTTAGTTTTTTAAATTTAAATTAGATTTGACTATTCTCAAGTGTCTTTTAATAATTTATAATTAATTATTTTTCAATATATAGTAAAAAAAATTATATTTGATATTAATGAAAAATGAAAAAAAAATCCTTTTACGTGTTTTCTAGTTAAACATCAACAAATTAAAAAAGATAATTTATAAACTCTAAATTAAGTGTTTTATAAATGCAATTTGAAAATATAATGAGATAATAATTAGTTAAAAATATATTTATAAAGAAGGTTATGATTAATAGGTAAATGTTAAATAAAAATATATATAATATGATAAATGATAGGTATATGATTTAACATATTATAATATATTTTATTGGGTACGATAAAATCCGATAGATGAAAATTTTAAAATAAACAATATCTTAAACTTAAAATTGACTTTAAATATATTACCCGAATTAATATTAGACCGAAATAATTTTGATCCATAATTAAAGTATTTAGCCTCCATTTTGGAACTAAAAGTAAAATCTTACTACGTATTTTTTAATCTTCGCCACATTATTTAAGAATTGTAAATAAAAATAATTTAAATACATATTTATCTTTTTAACATATTATAAATAAGAATTGACTTATTATATATATTATTAAGTTAACTTTTTATATATATTATATTTTACGTTGATGATATATTAACTTAAGTGATGATTTTAAAGGAGAAAACTCTATCTTGTAATTAATATATTTAATTTAGATTTTGAGAAAAATATTATAATTGTATTTATGTTAAGTATGACAAATAAAATGATTTATTTTACTACAGAAAATGTATTTTAATTATTACCTATATTTAAAATATTCATATAAGAAGATAAAATAAATTTTATATTTAGAATATTTTGTTTAAAAGAGATAGAAGAAAGCTTATGTAACGTGATCATGTTTATTTTTATTAGAGATGTAATATAGAAAATATTTTTAAAAATAAAAATTTAAATAAAAAATTATCTTAAAATATAATATAAATAAAATTAAATTTAAATAATTTTTTTCTTAAAAAAGTTAATTTCATAAATTGAAATAATAAAACACAAATGTATAAATCAAATTTTTAAAATTCTTTAATTATTATCATTTTATTAATAATTTGATTTTGAAAAAAATCTAAACAAAAATTAGTATAAGTCGATGGAAATATTATAGTATTAGTTTATAAGTGAATACTTAAATACCCGTATTAATTATCAACAAGTATCATTAAAGATATGATTTTGCATCCATTATGATTTTTATCAAAATATCTACGAGGTAATTTTTTTCCCTCCTAATATCGATATAAGTTAACCTAACCAATTCTCCCATCACCGAATACACTACCCCCAACTATCCATCATTTTGGGTGGAAAAAGACAAACAAGATGACTCTCGGGGCGGACATGTTTTTTTTTTTTTATGCTGTAGCTGGGCATGTTTGATTAAGCGTTTAAAGAATTAATATTTTTTAAAATTTGAAGATTTATTAAACGAGGCCACAAAAACATAATAGTATAATGTTTTTACAAATTACTCAACTATTTAATAATATATAATTAAAAATTGTTATAAAAATCACTCCAGAAGCTTATTTTTCACAGTCCATTTCTAACAAGTTATTTTAATATATATATATATATATATATATATATATATATATATATATGCATATTAAAATTAACAACATATACACAAACACAAAAGACTTAATTAATATGTGTTTATTAATTTATTATAAAATTTCACACAAACAACCAAAATAGTATATACTTGTTATTCAAAAGATTTGTTAAATTTATGTTTCATTTAAAATAATTGATAACATAATTTATAAGGTATAGTTTGATTCATTCTCCACTACTATAGTAAAATGTATTAATAATATAAATGAATAAATTTAATATATAGAAAACATTATTAAACCATAATTAAATATCTATATTAATAATTTTATAACTACTTTGGGCTTACTTTACTATATATATTAACATTTTTATCCTTACTCTCACATAGTTTAATATCTGTTTTAATTATATTTGTGTTAAATGATATTTGAATTTCATAACTGTTATTTAATATGCCTTATCCACTAATAATAATAATAATAAATCCTCATTTGAATTATTCTCAAATATTCTCTAATATAGTATAAAATTTATATAAATGATTTAAATTTACTCTTTAGAAATAACATAGACGGAATGATTTGTTAGGAAAATATAAAATGTATTAAGAAAACGAGTAATTTGAACTAATTTAAAATAGTTGACAAGAAATGTTGAACAGTCTCCCATTCCCGTGATATCGATGATGAGTGAATCAAGCAACGATGATTACGGACGAAGCTCGGTTCCTCCACGAATCATGATAAAGAAATGTACGGCTGCGATCGCGTGGCGTAGTGAAGCCGGAAGGAATACACTGAGGTGGGACCCACGGGTAATCTGAAAAAAAGGAAGATGCCTTCGAATATACCTTGTGGCCGCGCAACTGCAGCATGCTTTTTTCAATTTTTATTTTTTTATTTTCAATTTTCCATTCTTTCTCCTTCCCAATGCTCCTTCCCTTGCCCATTCTATACTTCCTTATTTGTGCTTTTTTTTTTTTTTGTCCAGAGCCAAATTATTACGTTCTCTCTGTCCCTTATTCTGCGCCCCCTTATAACTCCTACCCCCGCATTCTTCAACATCACAATCAATCGTCGTTATCCACTCTCTTTATTCTTCTTCCACTCCAATTTTTTCCTTTAAACCAAAACGCACAAATCATGTGCGCGCCCATATCCGACCTCGAACAGGAAGAGCTGCTCGAAAAACTAGAGGTCTTCAAGATCAAAGGCCGCGACAAGCATGGCCGCAAGATCCTTCGCATTATCGGAAAATTCTTCCCAGGTCCATTCAATCCCTATTCCTAATTCGTTCTTTTTGAAACGTTTTATTTTGTGGATTTGAATTGTGACTGACGGAATTGTGATTCGTTTGTCCTATTTGACGAATTGTGCATCAGCGCGGTTGATGAGTGTTGAGGTGCTCAAGAAGTACCTCGAGGAGAGGATTTTTCCGAAGCTGGGGAAGAAGAAATTCGCGGTGCTCTATGTGCACACCGATGTCCAGAGGAGCGAGAATTTCCCCGGTATCTCCGGTCTCCGGTCGATCTACGACGCGATTCCGGCGAACGTGAAGGACAATCTGGAAGCCGTTTATTTTATTCACCCGGGCTTACAGGCCCGCCTTTTCCTCGCTACCTTCGGCCGCTTCCTCTTCAACGCTGGGTATGCGTATGCATCCTCCGTCTTAATTAATACTCAAGTCGTTATCAAGTTTTACCATTACCCGACTAATGATAATTATCACGATCAATTATTTATAGATCTATAATCCATTCGTTATTATAGATTCACTGTTGTGTTTGCAAATATTCAAAGCATGCATTCCACACAATTTTGGATTAATCATCCTCTTCTCTGAATTACTGACTTGCGTAGTTTTTCCGGTTATTGTAAAATTGTTATTTCTCTCCATCAAAATCATGTTACGTGCAACTAATAGTTTTCTTCTTCTTATTATTATTAAAAAAAAAAAAATTCAAACTCTTGTATGATGATTTTTTATTAAGATGATAATGAAAAGAATGTCTTTATTATTATTCTCCATTTCAGTGTGAAAATAATTGTCAGCCCCTTCATTATTAATTTGATATTTTAATATATTTTTCTTTAGATATGTATTTTTCACTAGCTACCTGTCAAATCTTAGAAAAATCTCTTGAATTCACTCGTGTCAAATTATTGTTTCTATCTTTTTCTCTGAATTATTGCTTCTATTTTTTTATCTGTTTTATTTTTAAAAATTTTAATATTTGAAAATTTTAACTATAATTATTTATATAAATTAAATAATTAATTATGCAATCGGAAGCGGAAACTACAAAGATGCAAGTTTCAATAGTACATGAACGTGGGGTTTCATTATTGTTGTGATGGCTGATGTTTGTTGGGTATTGCGTGTGATAGGCTGTATGGAAAGCTGAGGTACATTAGCAGGGTCGATTTTCTGTGGGAGAACGTGAGGAGGAACGAGGTGGAGATTCCGGAGTTTGTGTTTGATCATGATGAGGATTTGGAGTACCGTCCGATGATGGATTACGGGTTGGAGAGTGATCACGCCAGAGTATACGGTGGTGCTCCCACCATGGATTCACCCGTGACCACCTACTCCATGAGGTGCATCTCATAGGATTCCTCCCTAGGATTCAATAATCCTCTGCGCCTCTTGTGTTGTGTTGTGCGTTAGGTAGACTGGGCCTCCCTGTTAGTTAAATGGGCCCATAGCTATGTGGATGTTGATATTGTGCAGAAAAAGAAAGAAAGAAAGAAAATAATAGTCGCTTTTTTAGGTCTGGCTAATGTGGTAATGCTTATCTAATACCAATTTCAGTTTTGATTGGATGATTCAGTTGAGTGATATTAAAAAGAATTCCACCGGCTGATTCTTCTCATGTTCGTTTGGTATTGCTATCATCTTTCACATTTTCCAAAATTTTCAGCTCCAATTGTAGCTTCTCAATATATCTTCATCAAAGAAATCATTCTAAATTCCTTGTTATTTTGACTGGGTAAGAAAAAAAGGTAAAAAATAAAAAGAGTCCCACATTATTAACGAGGGGAAGTGGTTCTTCTGTCTACCAATCAACCAGTTTACTTCCCCTACAGTCCATCTTTATTTGTTGTCTTTGTGAATTAGGTGTTGGCGAAAGGTTATTTGAGATTTGATGTATTTTCGTTGACATCGGTAACAAATCACACTTATTTTATATACGTCAAAATCTTCACAAATTTACACATTTGTCCATACTATCTGCAATATTTTCTATTATTTTGGAAATATCCTTTTCTTGATGTAAAAGATAAAAAATGTTACACGGATTAATACTCGTTTAATCATTTAGAGTGAGAATTTTTTTAATATTAAATTTATAAAATATAACTGTTTCAGTATCATCATAAGTTATAGATCATTATCGAACTAAGAATAATTTATTTTTTAGAATAAAATCGTAATCTACTAAAGTATCTTCTGAAAATAAAATCACATGTTTTAAAAGATAAAATTATAATTTATCGAAGTGTTTTTTTTATAAAATAACGGTATTATTATAATAAATATAAGACTGAGATATTTTTGATAAATAATAATAAACTTAATTTTTTATGTAAAATTTAATTTATATATATATATATATATATATATATATATATTTAAGAAATAATATTAAAACTCTTTTAATCCAATATTAAAACATTATTTAATAAATTTTATTTTAAAAATGTTAAATATAGGATAACGAAGGACATTAATTATCCGAAACTTATTTGGATTTTGCAAATGTAACCTTTTAAAGCCCAAGACTATTTTTGTCTTACATTATTCTTCAAATATTATTATGTAACATAACTCACCTGAAATAGAAGCCCCACGTTTTTTAATAAATAAAACAAACTACCTTAATAAGATTCCTTTCTAGAAAAATCCACTTTAATTAGATTCTTTTTTAGAAAAAATAAGTTAATTTGGTGAACCTCAAAAGTTCAAAATATTATTTATTATTATTGTTACTTTGTCTAAATCCACACTTACTTGTCTTGAAAATAATTTTTCAACAAATTGAAGTTTTTTCTTATTATTATACAAGAACGCCTTGAATAAAAGTTCATAAGAATAATTGTTTAGTAATAATTTTTTTAAAATAAAAAATATTTTATTAAAATTATTTAAAATTAAAAGAAAAATATTTATACAAATAATTTTAATCAAAATTTAAATAAGTAAAACTCATAATAAAATATTTAATTTTATTTTTAAATAATTTTTTATGAAATTTTTCTTTTCCATATCCTAATTCATTATTAACAAAATTTAATTTTTTAATTATTTCAAACTTAAGATGCCAAATGACACAAGTAATAATCATGCCATTTTAAAACACTCTCGAGAAACTCAGTATAATTAACTTGTCAAAATAATATTTATCTTATAATGTATAAAATAGTTTGACATTACTTACTCCATTTACTTTTTTTTAATATAATAGTTATAATTTAATTTCAATATTACCTTAAAAAATATTAAAATTATCTAAATTATTTCATTATTAATCATATGAGAGAAAACATTACTCAATAATCACAACCCATCTGTAAGCTACAAACGAATTAGAGGAAAAATAAAGATATTTGTAAATGTTTTATATTTATTAACTTATATTGCTTATATTTAATTGTATGATTTTTATTTAAATGATGAATAGATAAAATAGAAAAGGAGGAAGGATATCCAATCAATTGTGAAATGCAACATAAATTACTTTCTTCCGTAACATTTCTCTTAATGTTTTATGTTTTAAAGTGGATAAAATTTAACAACTACTGGGATCAGGAGGGATAGAGTTGAAGAAATGTTTTGATCCAGATTAAATGTGTTCGATAAATTCCTTCTATTAATACAAAATCGATGCAAACAATTTTTTAGTTAGGTGATGATAACTAACAGTCTCACCAGATTTCCCTTTGGCCCTAGAGAGTGCTAAGTTACGCCAAGGATGTGCGGTGCGCACCCTCCCTCTATCGTCTCTCATTCTTCAGAGTTAGCTAGTTAAACTAGTAAACGCTTCTTATAAATTCGAATCATTATCACTCCCAACACCTTTCGCTCTCTCCACTCTGGCGGGTCGTTTTCTCGGCAAAGCTCGATTCAGCGAGAAAATTGTTTTTCCCGGTAATACACTCGCGAATCGCCGATGCGGCTCGTTTGCTCAATTGCTTCCGCGGTTTCACTTTAATTCATGACGATCGCCGGTATGTGCTTCCCTATGCGTTCGCCGTGGGATCATCCAATGGATCGCTGCTTCCGATTTTTTCCATGCCTCGCGGATCCTGGTAACACTCTGTTTGGTGCCCGAGAAAGCAACACTGAATTATTTTATGTTGTTTTTGAACTCAATGTGTATTTTATCCGAATTTAATTTCCGTTTCCTGCAATTATTTCGTGGTAGCTTAGTTTTTTCCTCGTTGTAACTGTTTGTTGTGGAATTTCAGGTCGAAGGTCTTCGTTGTGCTTGAAGTTGGCCTTAGTGGCGATCCACCTTACTTATGCCGGCGTGCTCTTCTTGTTTGATGGGGATTTGATAGAAAAGACCAAGAAGGAACCGTGGTGAGTTTTTGTCTTTTGTGTTATAAATTAAAGTTGCATTTTCTGTGTTGTGTATTATGCACGACTAATGTAATAAACAAGTTAGTGTTTCCTGGCAGTTTTAGATGTTTGCTGTAGTTTTTTATGATTTTCTTTTTTTACTTGCTTTTTCTGTCAGGTACACTGCTTTATACTTGCTGCTGTTCGTTGTTACTTTAATTCAATACTTTGCTACCTCTGTTTCTTCTCCAGGGTAACAAAACATTTGCTATGAACTGAATAATGAGTGTGATGAGGAATTGTATATTTTCGCTTGCATGACTACCTGATGGGATTTATTTTCCTTTGCTAATTTTCTGCCTGCAGCTACGTTATTGATGCCATGATGACTGTTAAGGATAGAAATGTAGTATACAGAAAGTCAGACCCACCCAGGTAGGCAACCCTACTTTTCCTGTATAAAATTTATTATTTGGAAAAGGGATGTAATAATATGTGAAGTAAACTTATGTTTCTGGTCTCGCCTAACTATTTATTTTTAATTTTACATTGCTTAAGCAAAGTCAATCGGCCTCAAGCAGAAATGGGAGTTTTGTTGTTCCCATGGAGGCAAATCAATTGGGAAGAAATCTTTCAGGAAGCAGTTTAACATCTTGGTCAAAGTTGGTGGCGGACTTGTATCCTTTGGGGTCATCAATCAGGTACATAGGACTGTCACTGTTGGTTAAAATTTCATAAATTATTATTTACGGATTACTTCTCATTGCAGAACATGGACATGCACCTACTGCAATGTGGAGCAGGTATTTCAAATGGCATTCTAATATTCTACAATCTGCGTTATGTAATTGTACATGACATTTCATATTTTATTGCTTATTCAATGCGTATTTAGGTGATAGTTTTGCATTCATTTGATGGTTTTAGTTGTCCACATTCATTGTACAGCACATCATAATAATTCACTGAAAGAATGTAAGAAACCAACGCTGCCATGTCTTGAAGCATCTTTATTGAATAATTAAGTACAATTTTAATGATATTGTTAGTTAGCATTTCCCAGATGCCACTCTACATCTTGTATCTGTATAAAGCGTTGTTTGATTGTCTTTTGTGATGTGAATTCTGCTTGCCTTGAAACAGAAAGAAAACAGCATGATGTCATTGCTCTTTTTTTTTTTTTTGGTTATCAGTTCATTACCAAAAGTAATTTTATTTTCAGTGAAAATACTAGAATAATTTTTTTCACTCTAGATTGGATGCCTCTATTAGAAGCATGAGAAAGCAATATTTTCATGGATAATGAAAACTACTTTTTCCCTGGGTTATATGCATGCCTTGTAGGTTTTTAGCACGTTTGAAGTTCCTTATATTCAGAATGACTTTTAGGTTCTAATAGTTTAACTTTTTGATTTTGATGATCAATTATTTTATTGCTGGCCATTATGCAGCCTCCACGAGCTAAGCATTGTCATGATTGTGACAAGTGTGTTCTTCAGTTTGATCATCATTGTGTTTGGCTTGGTAACTGCATTGGCCAGGGTAATCACTGTAAATTTTGGTGAGTATTATATTGGATGTGAAATTCCACCTTCACCAATTATGAAATTTTTGTCCGATGATATATAATTATTTCATTTGTAATTAGTCTTGATATTTAGACAAAGGATCAGTGGCCTGGAAATGCAATCACTCCTAATAACAGACGAATGTCTTTAGGTTGTTTCATTTTTATAACATTGTTCAAACACTTTTAGTTTCAATGTGCTCTCAGTCTTCTTTTTTCAATATTAATTAAAGTGCAAGAAATGAGTGATGAAGTCTGATAGATATTTAGAAACTTAATTAATTTCTTACCCTTACTTATATATTTACCTTTTCTGCATATCTACTTTTATTTTCCCATTTAATTATAGATAATTTTAAGCAAGTTATTTATGGTTTAAATTTTTTTTCTCTCTCACTCTCTCTATAGAGAGGGGATGTTAAGCGAGAATTGTTCTTTCTTAAGAGAACAACAAATCTTGGCCATATAATTGTACACGGATGGCTAAGACTAAGATTGGTTTTATTCAGTTTAATTTTGACCATGTATGTATATTTGTATGATCATTTGTTTTTTTTAATCCATAAATACTGAACATATGCCAGGGAGTTTACAACAACTTGCACACCCCACTCAACCAACTGAGCTAGACCCCCTTGACATAGTATGATTATAATTAGTTGTTCACATAAGAACAATTCTCACGTGATATGCTTCCTCTATATATTTGTTAGTTCCGCATTGTAGTTTACTCTGCTTGGACACTTGTCATGCGAAATTTATGAATGGGATTATTTTTATGGCTTATTTAAGGAGGTGCTATATCTATCCTTATGAATATTTTTGTATGTTTTCCTTGCAATCAAATAATATGCCAGCATTGTACAAGAGAGTTACTTATTTTATTAATTTCGTACATATCTTAGTCTAAATATAGTCTCTCACTATGAGTTTTTCTTCGTTCCTGTCTAAACACTTAGGTGGTATCTGTTTGAAGAGACAGCTTTGTGCCTTTGGACTGGCTTCTTGTATATTTCATACCTGAAGGCTCACATTACTAGGGTTTGGTATGATATCTTGATTATTGAAACTGCCATACTTGTTAAATTGAAAATTATGTAAAATCTTCTTCATTTGTAAAATCAATCCTGCCTAGGAAAAAGTTACACACATGAGTATTTGGGCCAGGGAGGGGGAATGGGGATACTAGCTTGTGTATGCCAATAATTATACTTTTGTGGCAAAGGTGAATCTTGACACAATGGTAGGGTTACTGGCTTCACCTAATCATTCTATTTTACATTTTGAATTTATCACGAGGTTGTGTCCATAAACAAAAGGAAGAGAATCCAATGCTTTTTCTTTCTATATTTCTGTACTCTAAATTTAGATCGTTACTTTTTTATGCTCTCAGGTGGCAGGATGCTATCGTGATACTACTCTTGATCATTCTGTCAGTTTGTCTCATCTTTCTTCTCCTCTTACTGCTATTTCATAGGTAACATAACTAATACCATGTCCTGACTTTGTATCTAGCATAAGATTGCTTTTTATAGAGGTCTTTGTTCTGTTCCTTACTGTAAGTGTTTTTTTGTTTTTGAGAAAATTAAGGGAGGGGTTGTCTATGTCAGAATACTAGGTTTACCACATATCTAATTTTATGTATCCGAAACATCAATACTCTCTAGTGTTCTTGCGTCAAATACATTTTGGTTTGATATCCTTGAATGTTTTCATTCCTTCACCTTGATGCTACAAAAAGTTGGAGTTGAGAAACCATATCTTTTGTCTTATAGAGATTATTAGTATTTTAAGAGAATAGAAAAGATGGTTTGTTGTTTAGTAGGCGTTTAGAAAGAAAGTATAGTTGCAGGTCTTGGAAGGGAAATGTGGAGAAGATTGGGTTGGTTTTTCCCCAGACATTACACAAGTGTCATTACTTATTTATAGGCTTGATCTATCACCTCCAAGTTAATCTATAATATTCTAGATAATTTTAGATTTTTCAACACTAGGATTATCAAGAGTTACAATTTCTAGAATGTTTTAATGATTTGAGAGATTATTCACATGATGTTTCTAGGACTTTATTTTCTAGACCTTTCTAAAATTTACATCACCTTTCAACACTAGTAACCTTTTGTTTGTATGTTATATCCCAAGAAGATTCCACATATAGTGTTATCTTCTAATTTGTTCCTTTTCTGATCTACACATATATGTAGCAGATTGATCCAAAAATTCTTAAGTGATTAGTTGATGACTTTTGTCCACTCCAAGTTTTAATTGGAGTCTTGTCTTGAATTGCCTTAGTTCGACATTCAATAGTGTAAACTACTTTTGCCCAAAATATATTAGCCAAGTCTTTCTCTTTCAATATTGATCTAACCATTTCTATCACTGTGCGATTCTTCCTTCTTGATACACCATTCTATTATGGTGTATATGCAACTCGAAGTTGTCTTTCTATGCCTTCATCTTCACCTTCACAGGACTTGTTGAACTTGTGTGAGTTATATTTTTTGCCTTGAACACTTAAAACTTTTATATATCTTCCACTTTGTTATTCAACAAGAGCTTTGATTTCTTTCATATTTTGAAGACTTCTGATTTTTCTTTGATGAAGTAAACCTACGTCATTTTAGAGAAATCATCAATGAAAAGGATAAAACACATGTTGTTTAAGGATAGTATTCTCATCGATCCACGAATATCTGTTTGGATTAACTTTAGCAATTCTTTTGCTCTCTGTGCTTTGTCGGATGAAAATGATAGGCTTCATTATTCTCTTTCAGATATGGGAAACCTTTCATTGTATTCTTTTGATGTAATAGCTTCAAAGATTGGGTGTTGAAGTTGTCCAAACCTTCGATGTCAAAGCCATAAATCATCAATTTGAACTTTCATGACAATATTAATAGTATAATTGAAGCTTATAGGAAAACTTCATTTTCTTTTCTCAATTTTTACATCTCCTATCTCTCGTCTTTTATTGTCATAGATTGTGCATTTATCTCTTTTGAATGTCATAGATTGTGCATTTATCTCTTTTGAAGTGACGAACATAGTCTTTCTTCATCATTTGGCTAATGCTTAAGAGATTTTCTTTAAGATTTGGAACGAACAAGACATTTTTAATAAGTCTCATGCCCTTTTTGTCCCTATCGCAACAATGCCTCTTCCTTTTAACCCCACTAGGTGTCATTTCCTAGTCACAATTTCACTTTGATAGAGTCATCAATATTCCTGAAGGTTTTTCGTCTTTGGCCATGTAGTACTGCATAAGGTCCAGGTTCCACTTGTTTCACCACTAGAGTCTCGAGTAGCCAAAAAAAATGTTGTTGAAGGTCATGCTCTTAAATAAAATTTGCTTAATTGTTGCGACAATTCTTCTCCACATGTCCAAATTTCTTGCAATGTTGACATTGTGATTTTTCACAATGTCAACAATCCTTCTCCAGGTGACTTGACTTTTTGTAGATGTCATAGAGTGGATATTTGTCTTGACTAGAATTATATAAACTTCTAGAGTTTTCTTTATTTTTAGAATTTTCTTCAATTTTTTTTCTTCTAATTTCTTTATTTTAAGACCATAATTTAAGTTTTAATTGAAAGACATTTCCAAGAGTCATCGTTCTACTTTTTCAATCTTTGATTATATATTTCAAGAGAGTTTATTAGTGTTGTCATCGATAAGGTAGACATATACTTGATTTTTCAATCGTTTTCACAATTGTATCATATTTGAGGAGAATAAAAATTAGAATTTTCTCTTGTTAGGAATATATTTCCCACGTGTCTTCATTTGATTATCTCTTTTATTCTAGTATAATAAGTCTTAATGGTCTTAGATTCATTTATATTTAATAATTCAAGCTCATGTCCAAGAGTTTGAAGTTTAATGGTGCGTACTTTTACACTTTCTTGAAACTCCTGATATAGTATGCTCCTTGCTTCTTTGGTACTTATGGTATTCATTATTATTGGAAAAATGACATCAATTACGACTTGTTGTAGAAAATATAACATCCTTGAGTCTTTATGTTTGTTCTTCTTCAAATCTTTTTTCTGAGCAGCAATTAGTGTGGATATAGGAGTAATGAAGTCATCTTTTACTATCTCCTAAAGATCTTGAGAGAAAAAAATGTCTTCATTTTAATGCACCAAAAGACATAATTTTCTCATGTGAAGAGAGGTACAAGGATAAATGAAGAATTATTGACGTTAGTCATTGGTTAAGATTGGTATAAAATGTAGTAGAACTTTTGAGATAGTTGGATATTGTATCTACATCCAGTAGATGACCGTATGTAGATTTGATACTACTTTTAGTATTTTAGGAGAATAGAAAAGATTGTTGTGGTTTAGTAGTGAGGAGTTTAGAAAAAAAAGTATAGTTGGAGATCTAGGAAGAGAAATGTGGAAGAGGTTGTATTGGTTTTCCACACTCATAATACAAGTGTCATTATAGGCTTGATCTACCACCTCCAAGTTAATATATAATATTCTAGATAAATTCTTAACTCTAGAATGATCAAGTGTTACAATTTCTAGAGATTACTCACATAATGTTCTTAGTCCTAGTAGTTTCTAGAACTTCATTTCCTAGATCTTTCTAAAATTTGCATCACGTTTTAACATAGACTAAATTGAGATGTCAGGATGACAAAATATTTGCTTTAAGGAGTTAAACTTAAATCTAATACTCCTGATCTCATACTCCAATTTATGATATTTGTTTGAATAAAGGATGCATATTGGAATGAGTTAATGGTTTGAGTTGTCCGGGGAGTTTGCAATATTTTTATTTCGCATCCAATCTAATCTTAGCAGTTGTGTTTCGCCAATATAACCAAATGTAAAATAACATCTTCAACTTTTGTTCCTCGTTTACACTCATGCCCTTTTTCTCCATTATGTTGAATGTATAATCTAGTATTTTGTTTCAGAATGACAGCTGATTTGTCTTTGCTTGTAGCTATCTTATTTTAACAAATCAGACTACCTTTGAACTTGTAAGGAGAAGACGGATTCACTATCTAAGGTTAGATAAGTTAGTTTCCTGATGTTTTTGTATTATTTCATACTTTTACTTTAAATCATGAAATAAACACATTTTGCTAGAATATGATTCTTTTTTTGGGTTTAATTTATCAGCAACATATGTATGTTGATGTTAAATGGTTAAATCCTGATTTTGGAATTTTTTATTTATTTGCCTACTATGTTTTGGGGATATCTGTATAAACACATCAAATTAATCTTCAGGGGAATTCCGGAAAGAGTGCATCCATTCAGTACTGGAGTTCGAAGAAATGTATACAACTTCTGCTGTGCGAGGAGCGCCGTTTACAGATTCGAACCATTGCCTACCTCTCAAGAGATAGAAGAAAAATCAAGGCCGTACACATGCTTAGATGCTTTAACATGTCGATGTTGCTGATGGTTTTTGTACAAGTAAAGTCTTTTCGTCCAACAGTTCATTGTGAAAACACAGAAGTATGTCGAAAGAGCTCGTTTGCTTAGATGGATAGGTGTTATCTTTAGGCAGTTGCTCTATGATTTATCTTCTGCTATTCATTCTTTGCCGAATTTTTGGAGGTAGAGTTCCATGTTTGATGTACAGTTGCAGTGGTAGTGTGGTGTTTTGTCTTTACTTGTTAGTGTGTAAACCCGGATACCTAGCTATTATCAAGCTGACTATTGCTGTTATCGTAGAATACCAGAGAAAATACAGAATTCATTTTAATTGCATCCAGGGGATGCGGCGTGCTTGATTTCATAATGGGCGTTGGCCTCCCTCAACCTCAACACATGATAATTCTCTGCTGACTTCTGTTATTTTTATCCTCACATACCTCGTTTTGAACTTATCTAGCCTCATCCATGGTTACTTGAAGTGGCAGCTTATTGTACTCTTGCTTTCATTATATTCCTAGGTGTTGAAATACTCGTGAGATTCATATGGACCGTGACAAAACAAAGTGTTTGGCACTTGTGGAAAACATGTCTTGAAATTTATCATGCTACTATTTTCCAATTTGAATTGAACTGAATTGTTTGAAAACTAAATCATAAGAAGTTTATCAGAACCAAATTGAACTGAAAAATAATTTTTAATTAAACTACGTATTAGTTTGATGAACTATTTTGTCTAATTCAAACTGACTTGTGTCTTGAGCTGAAATAAACTGTTCTGGATTCAATTACATTAATATTGGAAGTAAGAATTTTTTATCCCTCTATGTAGAAAGATTAAAATTTTATAGTTTGTTTCATGTCGAAAGTTCTGTTTGATCTATATTTTTAACAGCCTATTTAAAGATGTTGATAAAATTGTATACGACTTGTTACAATAGTTAATGTTATATGATAGCTTAATCACTTTAGATTTTTCTGTTTTTTCCTAGAAAGATACAGTTTATCTTACTTACATTAATTTTGCATTGAAAGAAAGGAAAAGGTGAAAATAGAGAGAATAGTTTCCTACCTGGTCATTCTCTTTTAAATTGATTTCGGTCTATTTGCCTCAGTAAACGGAGGTACACGATGACCGATCTTTCATTTAATAAAAGTATTTTTTTTTTTCAATTTTACTTAAACCTTGTTATTCTGTTGATGTTGATACAAACATGCCTCCGTTAAATTTCAGATTGTCAGTTATATAATAATAATAATATTCTACGTTTTTTCTATTACCGTGAGATCTACTTTTCCTGACTCTTTTTTCCAATTCTATACACCAGCTGAAACTGTGCTTGCTTCCTTATGCGGTGGATCTAATTGATACACTCAAAAACTCTTATACTAAACACTTCTCCTAGTCTTGAATAACTCGTTTATTGCTTTCTTACACCAAAAAACTGTTTGATAAATTAATAAACTTATAAACTCGTACTAAACAAATGATAGAATCATGTATTCCTTCTTATTTTGTCAATCGTGATACAGAACTTGTATACAACCTTATGTCATGCTCAAGCAGCCCGAATTAAATACAATGGCATGGTCAAAGCCAACCAACGGTTATTAGCAAATTTTGAAAAATTCCTTGCAACATTTGAAATTAAAAAAAAAAAAGGTTACTTCAACAAAGGGACGTCACAGTTGGTTCATGTTCTAACTTCTAAAGCGATGGTGGCGGTCAGGAGATTCAGATACGTGCTCAGACAATATAGGATAAAAAATATGTTTTTAATTCAATAATTCAGATATGTCCTTCAGAACTCATTTGATATCAAAATGGATAAAAAAATATAGGATGAAATATGTTTTTAATTCAATAATAAAGGTAAATCTTTGCATTTAATATAATTAAAATATTTAATTGACACTATTGAAAATAAAGTTAGTTTAATATCTTATGAATAATTAAATGATTTGTATATATGATTTTAATATCTTCAAATTTATAAAAGATTATTACTTATCATAAACGTGTATAATCAGATTTGTCATGTTAGCCAAATTTTTTTTTCAGAGTAATACGTGAATGAATGTTTTACTCATTTGATAGTATTTAAATTTCACACATGAGTATAATGATTCATATGATATAAAATTACCGATTTTTTTAGCTGTGATGATTAAAAATTTAATAAAATAGTAATTTATAAAAATCAAATATTTTTTCAATTATATTAAATACAAATATTTATCATAATTATTAGGAAAACTATATTAAACCCACAAATATAATAATATTAGTTTAATATTTGTTATAATATTGATAGGTGATGGTAATAGTAATATTAATAATGATAATAATAACCTATAATATCTACGAATATTCTGTTTTTTTTATAGTTTATAATTATTTTTATGCATGTTATGTTAATAAAGAGAGATGAGAAATAATATAACTATTATGTAAAAAAATAAGAGAAAAAAGGGGGAAAAAAGAAATGTAACACATGTAATGAGAGAAAATGTGATATATATTAAAAAAATAAAAATAAAAAAAATAATTATTATTTTAAAAAAATAATGAAGAGAAAAGAAAAATACGAGAAGAGTGGAAAAAGAACGAGTATAAAAATGAAAAGAGAAAATATGATATATATTGAAAAAAAAAAAAAATATGGACACACTCTGACATATTTATTTGAATAGGATTCATTTTATAATTGTTTTGGTGTCATAAAAGAGAAATAAATAAAGAATATAGATAGTGGAAAGAAAAAAATTAATTGAAAGAATTATTTATATATGTGAAGAAAGAGGAATGAGAATAGTAAAAAAAATTATTAACACATATGAAACTAAAAGTAGAGATAAAAAATATTAAATATATAATAAAAATAAAATAAAAAAGAAAATAATAATTATTTTAAAAAATTAATAATATAAAAGATTTGAACACATGAGTTTTTAGTGTTTGTGTTTCTACTCTTATATATAAAGGGTTGTTTTTTTTATAATTGGTTTTTTTATTGGAGAGAGAAAAAAATATCATGTATAATAAGTGGAGAAATAATATAAAATGATAGAGAAAAAAATTAAAAATTATATATATATATATATATATATATATATATATATAGAGTATATATATATATATATATATATATATATATATATATATATAACATGTAAACGTAAAAAAAAAATGCAGATATATATTAAAAAATATTGACACACAAAACACTTTAAAACAGATGTTTCTAAAATTTAATATTATTATAATATAATAATATCAAATCACACCATTACAACAACAAAAATTTTAAAAATTTACTTACCACAGTTCATATTTATGAATTATGGAAAAAAATTAAAAAATTTATTTACCATAGATCATTTTTTTTCATGAAAAATTTTTCAAACATTATTTTTTTTTCTTAAAGATGTCTATGAAAAATTTCTTATAGAACTATTCATAAGAAAATTCCAACAAACTTATTTATCAAAAATTTTCACAAACTAATTCATGGAAGAGTATTTACATATTAATCCTTATAAAATTTCTTACTTACTATTTCATGAAAAATATCCTCAAACATTTATTTCTATCTTTTTTTACTATTCAAAACTATAACCTGGTTTTTTTTTTTAAATTTAATGAATTTTCGTAATTCAAATTGATGAAACTTAGATAAACATTAAAAAATTAAAAACAAAACATACATTTCATCACCCAATAAATATACTGTTGTATTGGATCATGCATAGTGTTTTTTACTAAATGTAACATAAACATAGTATAATTTGAAAATATAACTAATTTTTATAAATTTTAGGGTAAAACATTGTATGAATGTGCAAAAATATATAAGATCAAATTAATGTCTAAAACTAAAAGAAAAAAAAAATCAATGTTTCAATCACTCTTCTTTAAATATATTTCAATTTCCAAACAAGAAATTTATACATCCTTGATTTACCTTCCTCTCCCCTTATGCAGTTAATGATATTTATACATATATCAACCTATAACTGGGTACAAATTTGAATTTATCAAAAAAGAAAAAGAAAGACAACCTTAGCAATTCTCTTAACATAATTTTCCTAGTACTTTTTCTTTCCCGTATGTTTCTGACTACTGAGGATTGAAAAAGCTCACATTAACACCAGTATCAATGATAACATATAAACTAGCTGCAATCAACACCACACTCAAGCACACCCCCAATGTTCCCAAGAACCAATTCAGACACCACATTGAACTATACTTCTTCGGCTTCTTTGTCTTGAGCCACATAAAACAAGGGTACGCGAATGTCACAGGCAATGCCACTCCTCCAATTAACCCTGCCAATTGAGACAAAAATGGCACAGCCACTCCTATGAAGAAGCACATAAACCCAAAGAACACACGAATAAATGCTCGTAGCCACCATGGACATGGCTTCTTCATCCTTGTCGTGTACTGTGACTCCATGTCATCAAATGCTGGCATCCCATAGATTTGAAACGAGCACAAAGCATTCACCACCACAAAAAAACTTGTTAACCCCAGCACAAATCTTGACACATCATGGGAATGGAATTGGTATAGCGCTGTCAGCATTCCTCCATTTGATGGAATCTGTAATTTTTCAATCACAATTAATGAATTATAATACAATTTCACACTATTAAGATTAAGTTAATTTTTTTGTTTTAATCTATATAAAGTAATAGGATTAGATGTATTTATACCAATTGGCCATAAGCCCAATAGCCACCAATGGTTAAGGGAAACAAGCATGCAGCAATGAGTGCGTACGAAACCTTCACCCCTTTCCACATTGGCACGTGTGATGGGTGCTTCTCACTTGAAGGCATGGTGGACTGCAAGAAGAACAAAAAAAAAAAAACAAGACTTTTAATAATATTCAAGATGATGGTGATGTGTTTTTAAATTGATGCTTTAACAAGAAACAATTATTTTAATTTTGATTCTAAGAAAAAAAAAATCCACTTGTCTAACTATTGTGATGGGGACTTGCTTATCTTGAGTCCAATCAATATCTTAATCTTAGCTCAATTTATTGAAATAATTGAGATTTTGGATGGTAGTAGCAATGAAGTCACTTTCAAAAAATATTAAACAATGAAGTCACCAATTCATCTAACCGTTATCTCTTTCATTGTTGAATGTCATTGTAGACTAGTTTCTAAATATAAAAACCAAAGTCATACACACTAACTTCAACAATGTATGCTTGACCAATTCTACGCAAGTTTTTCAACAACTTTGATCTCTACTTTGAAAGCAGCACCAATGTTAAACTTCAATTTCTTTCTGCTTATGTAAGTCTCTGACTAGTGACGAGTAAAAAAAAAAAATCTCTTCTGTTCTTTGTTCTTATTATGGTTCATTTTTTTCATAAAATTCATCTTGGTGTGAGAGGAATATAAATAAAGCGTGTATAAAATTCAACATATGATGATGTTCCCTTACCTGAATTTCAAGGATGAGATTGTGGCCCCTGAAAGCAAAGGCAATGATACCTAAGGCATTAAGCACACCAAAGGCATTTTCAACACTGCTTCCAACCCTTATAGGATCATAGTTCACACCATCTAGGGCACCCTGTGCCACAGAGGTAATCCAAATGGAGGTACAGTACCCTACAGCAGTGACAGCTCCAATGAGTGATACCCCAGCAATGGAATTCAAGTTTGGCAACTGTGACAGCACCACAGCTGCACAGGTAAACACCAAGTACCATTCCACAGTGGTCATGGGTTTGGCAGTGCATGAATCACCACACACCACTTGATAAAATGTCCTTGCAGTGGATCCTCCTATGATGATCAGTGTGGTGCATGTTCCAGCTGATAGGTACAATATTGGGAACAGAGCTAGCAATTTCCCAATTTTCTCCCCTGCAACACATCATTCCAACACTTTGTTAGCTCCAAATGATTTTGGTTTATATCTTCGATTGAAACATTCCTATTTGAAATGAAATACATAAAAAGTTCATCTAATTAATTTATCAGTTAAAAAAATGATTGAAGTTTGAATAACAGGATTAAATTGAAAAGAAAATATAGTGAACACATGAAGAAATCGCACCAAAGGTAGCACCACAAAGTTGAAGGTATCTACAGTAGCGTACACCCTGCTCCACTGACTCATGAAGATTGACCAGAAGCCATAAGGTGTATAGTTGCCATATGAAAGCCAGAGTCAAACTTATGATTCCCCATGTCCTGCAAACACCCAAAAAAAAAAAAAAATTAGTTCAAAATTGTACAATTCCTTATAAAGAAATCACAATGGGACCCTAACATATCAGTTTTTTTCCATATTTTACTTGAATAATGACCCAAATGAAGAAAGAGAGAAACATCGAAGAAGAGTCCTTGAAACGTGCATCGTTTACTTTACTATTATAATGAAATGTTGTGTTTTTATATCATACAAGTTGTTATTATGGTTGTTTTTAATAATAATTTCAGCTATACTTTTACCTGCCAGGTATCCTAGCTATAGAGATTCTCACAGACATAAAAACTATCACGATGAGCAAGATTATGGTTAAAGTTTGGAAAATCATTTTGTTAATTTTAATATACAATTATAAATTCTAATTTTCACATGTTTTTACCTTCAAAAATATTTAATGTAAAACTTAAGTAGTAATCTTTTCAATTCTGTGATAAGGAGTTTTTGCAGACAAAATTCTGATATTTTTCATTCTGAAAACAAACACATGTCATCCAAGAAGCAAAAAAGAAAATTATCAACACCAACAAAGAAAATGAATAAAAGATTGATGTGTTACAAGTAATAATAACATGATGTATTATTATTGGAATATTATAGAATGAAAACTATATGTGAGACTTACCAACCAAGAACAGTTAAGGCAACAGGGAGAACAAGAGCCTGAGTTCCAATCCCAGAACAAAGGGTATGAAAAGCAGCATAATACTTGTTACCATTCCTAGACTCAGTGATGGGAAGCCAAGCATCTTGAGGATCAAGTTTAGTGAACCTAAGAGCTTTTCTCATAGGGCTTCCCAAAGGGGTGATAAATCTTGGAGTCAAATTAGAGATCCTAAGTGGGGTTCTTGGTGTCTTAGGAGTCTTACTCTTAGGATGTGGTGCATCTCCATTCTCTGACTGAAGAAGGGGTGACCTAGTTAGAGAGGGTGAGTGAAGCTGAGAGGGTGGACATGACACAGGTGGAGATGCCACAACAGGTGTTCCCATTGTTCTAGGGGTTATTGGTGCTGACCATATTTCCTTAGCTTCAGCCATTTTTTCACCCTACCAACCTACTCTGAAGTTTCTGTTTTGCACTTGATTTGTGCTGTTGTCTTCTCTCCACCTTGTGTGTGCTGCACTTCCTCTCAAACATTTGGATGTATATATAATGAAGAAGGGGGCATCACAATAATTCAACATTTTTTTTTTTTGACTAATATTTCAACATATAATATTCTCATGTGTGCTAGTCGTTGTGCATGTATATAAAACTAGCCTTTAGTTAGGATTTTAATTTAATAATGAAGTGAGGGGGTCATGAATCACTTTCAAACATATATGGTCAATCAAATTAGCATGCCAATTATGGCTCAAATGAACCATGTAGAAACGTGGGTGGAATAATAGTGCACCATAACATGCATTATTTTGGACACTTTTGTGTGACCCTCTTAAATGTTAAAGTAGCCACCTAGGTTGGTGGAGAATTTTCAGTATTGTTTTTTTGACGGCAATATTTTTCAGTATTGTTTAAGCACCAAGTTGGTGCTGAACTCAACACTGTTTCAAGGAGGAGTTTGACCAACAAAAATGGCTGCCAATCTGTCCTACCTGTAAAATACTCTCCAATAATATCCCAAATCATTTTGCTATCCTGTAATTGAGAGAAAAATCCATGTTTGTTTGTAGAACTATACTTTATAGTATATAAATAACTGTATCTAATAGAATATTTCATATCTCTAACGAATTCTTTTTGAATTTTCTATAATAATTAATATGAAACGAGTTTTTCATGTATATATTTTTGATATATATATATATATATATATATATATATATATATATATATATATATATATATATATATATATATATATATATATATACACACACACGGTTGAAGTCACCTAAATTTACATTATGAATTACTTTGATATAAATTTATATTTTTCGTATTAGCATGAAACCTAATTAAACATATAAAAAAAACTTAAATCATACATAAAAAAATTCTATGTAATAATGTATAAAAGATAAATGCTTATTTACATAAGGATTTTATATAATTAATAAATAATTTAATTCTATGAATATAATAATTAAAATATATAATAAATAGATATTTAAAAAATATATAAATTATGTTTTAGATTTATAATACAAAATTTTATTGTAATGATAAGGGTTGTTAGATATTAATGGGTTATTTTAAATATTAAAATTTGATTTGTTTTTTCTAAATGAGGATAGATTAAAACAAACAAGAGATTAAGAAGAATGTCTAAAAGCAATCTTGTTGGAAAAAAAAATCTAAAATTTTTATTATAGAGGAAAACTATTATACTTGTTTATGCACAAGTAAATTATTCTAATCTTCCTGCAGCGCATACAATTGTAGAATTAATATCTTTTTAAGGTATTGGTTTAACATTAATGCAAGTTGTTAATTTCTTTAATAATAATAGAAATGGCACTAAGACAGCCATATTATGTAACAAATAATGAGTTCTTGGTCAACAAAATCATCTCATGGCAAATACGACATTCAACTCAACCACCGTGATGGTGAAGGTTCTAGTTATGTTCTTCTTGCAACAATTACACGTCATCATCGTAGAAGAAAATTACAGTACCAAGATAGTATATCAATCTTTTTATATATATATATATACATATATATATATATATATATATATATATACTTAGAAAATTCTGATAAGTGATATGAGATTTTTTATTTTTCTTTTTACAAAGTGTGTGTTGAAGTCTAGGAAAAAATTAATAACATATATGCAAATAAGAGAAAAAAAAACGTTTTTAATGTATTAGACGAATACGATAGGATATTTTTTTTGTTTGATGAGAAAACATTGAAAAATATGGTTTCGTTAAAATTTTGTTGTACCACTAATCAATTTCCTTTTTATCAATTTAATGCGTCACAGTATAAACATATTTCTCTGGTCGCTGTGAATTTTCCCCCCTTCATGTCAAAACACTTTTAGTGATGGTTTTGGAAGGAGACAACATGTGTCTGAACTGGCGTCACGTATATATTAATTCCACGGCTGAACACACATGAGAGAGAACAAAGTTTGGCACGACATCTTGATTATTCAGGAGGAATGTCGAAACCACCAGACTTTTTGAAAGGAACATTATGTAAATCCTCGTTTTGTCAAATTTCTTCTTAGAAAGTTGTACCATGTTTGGTGTCATGTTTGTGCCATTACATAAGAGGATTTGATTATTGTAGTAGTGGTCGTAGAACTTTTCAAGGCCTAGATACGACGATTTTGATTATGTTTAATATGATGGATCAAGACTTTCTTTTATATTAATTAATCTAACTCTAATTAAATCTAATTAATCGACACATAACTAAGGGATTCAACTCTCTATCAACTATTGGTGGAACGATGCAATATTTTAAAATATACCCAACACCATTTATAAATTGAAACCACCATTTTATTTTATACAACGCCAAAAGTAGGTCAGTTTTGTAAGTTGCAACGAAGGTAAAAGTTATTGGCTTGAATTGGTGGTCAATGTACACACATAAGACGACAGAATGGGTTGAATTAATTTCGTAAATTTTAATTATTTATATCTTATAAAGCTTCCATAAAAAATAAAAAATAAAAAAGTCTTTCCTTTTACTTTTAAAACATAGGTAAATTCTTACAATTACTTTTCCTAATTATGGATCTTGAATATCTTACCATGTAGTATAAACCTCAAAGTTAATACCTATCCTTTTCCACAAATAAATACATAATTCTGGTTGGTTATAATAAGATAAAATATTTTATAAATCATAGACAATTACTTAATTTTTTTTTTCCTTCTCATTCATATTTATATTATAATATTAACTTAATTAGTGATGAAATCTATCACGATATAAGGAGAGTGACAATTCATCCTCAAATTTTTCAATGCCTTTTTTATAACTTTAACATTTAAATTTAATGATAATTAAATTGTATATTTATAATTTTAATTTATTTTTTTCTGAAATATGTTAAAATAAATAAATATATTAAGTAAAATAATAATATTTTATCACTTTTTATATTTTTATATTATTTATTAATGATATTTTATTTTACACGCTTTTCCTCTATTTCAATTTTCAAATTATAAGAGAGAAAAAAAGTAAGGTTTTACATATTTTCAAATTATAAGAGAAAAGAAAAAAAAAGTAAGATTTTAGATATTTTAATATTTCATCAATAAGATAACAAATAGTAATTTTTGGATGTATGTTTAATTTTCACATGTTTTGAATCTCTTTTAATTTATTTAGGTGTTTATTATAATGGAGGATAGTTTTAAAATGGATAATATATCAAATATAAGAATTAATGTTAATGGTGTTATTATAATATATGAAATCGAGATACTTTTGTTATTCAAAGAAACATTGATATCTATTGTAAGACCGAGTTTTGAGTCCGTTTTATTTTCATATTTCTAAGTCATCAACTAAAGATTTATATTTCAAGTACTTTCAAGAGTCTTATATTACATAAAAGTCGACACAAAAAATCTCTCTCTCTCTCTATATATATATATATTATTAGCTCACTTAAATTTATTTTGATAAACAAAAATTCTAAATCAAATAATAACTTAAATATTAAAATTAATGTTAATAATATTATTATAATAGATATAAGAACAAAATAATTTTATTTTTAAACAATAATATACGAGGAGAGTATATTATACTATAAAATTAAAACAAATTATTTAAATAAGATAATTATGTATAATTCCAATAAGAAACTGTCAAATTAAAACAAATAATTTAAATAAGATAATTATGTATAATTCGAATATTTAATAGTTGTGTTTTAGAATTTCAATTTGACATCTTTAATTAAACATGAAAAAAAGTTGAAACTAGTTAATAATCTACGATGGTGACATAGTTATATGTTCTCACAATTAAAACGACGTATACTATTACCTACTACTTTCCTGAAAGCATGCACACTTGCTTCAATGCCTCAGTAGATTAATGAAATGTGCATACGATTTGATTTGATTGGTAGATATCCACAACAACTTTATGATATATATATTTGTACATAAGACGTTTTTAATTTATTTAATTGTTTCTTTTAAAAAAAGCTAAATAACATGAACTAATTTTTTTTATATTTTTTAGAAACAGTGAATTCTGTTATGTAAAACTACTTTAGTTAATTTTGAATTTATTTTTAATTAAAATTTATACCTTATGTTATTAAAAAAGCATGCCATAATTTTTTAGTTTATGCTATAATATTTTTTAATTTATTTGTAAAGTTATATTATTAATACAACTAACCCCATAATTTTTTAAAATACTCTTACAAAAAATTTACCGAAAAAGAAAAAAATTGTACCATTTACTTATAAAACCCAATTTTTTTTTTCAACAGCAGAAGAATCAAATTCCTTCAAGATTCAATGTTCAATTATTTAAGGTAAAAATATGAAACGTATAAAAAACATCAGGGAACTAATTTATCCAATCGTGATGAATAATTCACGTCTTCTCTTTAGAACTTCATAAACTTTTAATGTAGTTTGCCAAACAAAATAACAACGTTGTATACAACTTTTAGAATCCGAATGCCTTAACTAATTAAGCAATCAATTAATTAAGTAACCCGAATGTTATATTGTGTTTTTTTATCATTCATTAAACTTTAATAAAAGACTTAACTTTACGTTGGAATGAAAAATCAATTTAATATTAAATCAAATCTTATACAGTATCAATTTCAAGTTATGTTTAAAGATAAAGAAAGACGTATAAGAGTTTGGTAAATTATAAAAAAATATATCAAAATTCATATATGAGATCATTTTTTATTTAACATAAATTTAGGTCGGACCATATTTTAACAAACGAATGATCATTATTAAAATTTAATATATTTTTTAAATAATATATTCTTTATTAAAAATTATGTTTATTTTCGAATGACAAATTAATCTTATAAAAAAAATATCACCTTTAACTCAAAAATATAAATTAATGAGATTAAATTGACTATTTTTATTATTTTCATATCATTCTTTAAATTTAACCTAACTGAATTTCTAAGATTAATATTAAATTTAGATTAAAAATGGTAAGAACCTCATTCATCATACTTTTAAAATCCTTGCATACTATTCATAGTAATTTATTATTGACTTTGGAATTTTAAAATAGGTAAAAGGGTAGAGTAGAATGTATCTAAAAATCAGAGTATTGCAAATATATTTTTACCTAAACTCATTTAAGATAATTTTTGAAGGAGTTTGATTACTCTTCTGGTCGTTGAAATACATGTATTTTTGTTTTGTTTTGCCAACTATGTTTCTTAGATATGGATCAATCTAAAGTAAGCTCATTTAATAATCCACAATGCTGTGCATCCATTAATTGGTCAAATTTTATACAACTTATGCAGTGCATGGAACTTAGGATACAAAATAGATATAAAAAATTGTCGAGTTGAATATAAAATATATTTGAGGTACCTCAATTCAAATTCAATCCTTTATCAAAATAATATTAATTCATTTCATACTTATACCTACCATATTAAATTAATATGAAAAAAACACACACACAACACTCATGAGAAGATAGAAATATGATGATGTTGTTTGATATCCAAACTTTTAGGGAAAAAATATAATTAAGAAAAATGAAATAATTTGTTATAAATTAGTTTGTAATCTTTTTATATATTTTTTTCAAAACTTGATTTCTAACTTATATGCATTAGCTTTAATATATTATAAATTTATTTAATTATTAAAAAAATATGTTCTCATTTGTTAGACTTTGATCTTTTATTTGTAAATTTGATGAATTCAATAATTAAAAAAAAATCAAACAATGTCTTCCATAATATAAGTATTTATTTATTTTTTGTCTAAAAATATGCAACCGGTGGATAAACGTGAAAGAACAAACACATAACAACGTTTTGAAGAACAATTTTCCTTAAAACAATTAAGTTAGTTTGATAAAATGAAGTTTAACAATTATCTATTATCACTAATTTTGTTAGAACTTAAAAAAAAAAATATTGGCTTCATATGATTTATGTTGTTTATGTTTTTCATATATTTAAAATATTACATTGAAACTTTTAAATTCATTATTAATTAATGTAGTTTCAAAAACTATTTTCAAATAAAATAAAATATTTTTATATTTATTTTTTACCTTATCTATATTATTATGTGTTATGTAAAGCAGATTTGTTTTTATAACATTTTTTTATATAATCTTCAAGCACACTTTTTTTCTCTCTCAAATATAAGTTAATAAATAAAAATAATAATAATAAAATTCCTCCCTTAGCTATACTCTCTCCTTAATTTCTCCCTTGTCTCTTAAAACTTCCTTCCAAGGGTTGTCTTTAATAATATATATCTCAAGAGATAAATATTTATATTTCAAAATTAATATATATATATATATATATATTAAATTTATTAAAAATAAAAAATACGTAATGAAAAGATCGGACACAATAAGTGCATGTATTTTTCTAATAGTGTCATAGTTAATTTTTTTAGTGGTGAATAAAAAAACAAGATCGCAAACTTCATTTTTTTTAAATATATAATATTATTTTTAATCATGACTACTTTTTCTGTAAAGTATTGTTAAGATTAGCTTTTCTCTTTCTCATCACACCACCATATCAACACTCCTCTTTCATTTTCATCTAAGTATCATTTCTATTTTAAGGTTAGTAGTTTATGTTTTCAATAATATCACATGGCATAAAAATTCCCATAAAAAATCAGTTAATTTGTATTTATAGTAATTCGGATGGTTGAATTTAAAATATATTTTTAAAAAATACAATTTAAAAATATATTTTATATTTAACAATCTGAAACTCTTTTTAAATTTTATTTTTTGAAAATATATTATAGAAAACACATTCTATAAATAAAATCTAAATTGTTGAATCTTAAATTCAGAATACATTTCTAAAAGTTATAACATGAATATTTTTTTTTTAATTTTTCTTTTCTTTTTAATATTCGGAAATCAATTTTTAGAATATATTTTTAAAAAATACAATCTGTAAGTTGAAAAAACACAGTCAAAAACTTATTTCAAAAATAAACATATTTATATTAGAGATAATATTATCATTTTAAATAAATATGCGTACAGAAAGAAAGGATACGAGGAAAGAAGAAACAACCTTTATGATATGAAGCCCACAAAAAAGGAAGCCCAAAAGAGTTCGCAGAAAGTCCAACCCCAATTTCAAAGATTCGGACGCTGATGCTGTTTGGTCACGCCAGGGAACGCAGTATAGTGATAGGTCTCTGAATTCACTCTTCCATTGCTTCGAAATTGAAGCTAAGCGTAACTATTTTGTGGATTAGCATTGCTATTGCCTTTAATCATCATCGTTTCAATTATGTCTTGCTGAAAATTTAACAATGGGAGTAATAAAGGATGGAACAATCTCAGGGGTTGTATCAGAACCTCGAGGATTTTTGGTGCATTATCCTGCTTATCCTTCGTCTATCTCTCGAGCTGTTGACACTCTTGGCGGAATTCAAGGCATCGTCAAGGTACAGCTAACCCTAATATCAATATATTAAACTATCAATTCATCCATGTCATTGCCCATTATTATTCAATTTAAGATTTTATACACCTTTTCTTTCTAGTTTCTTCACGCTGATTGTTGTTAATTTATGCTTGTGGAGTGACATTTTAGGCTCGCAGTTCACAATCAAACAGATTAGAGTTCCGTTTCCGTCCCGAAGACCCGTATTCACACCCTGCATTTGGGGAGCTTCGTCCCACCAACTCTCTGCTTCTCAAAATTTCGAAAAGAAAGTCTCCATGTGTTCATGATGTCGGAGAAGCTTCCAGCAGCTCCGGAGTGAAAAATGGGGAGCAAGAAAATCAACCGGAAAGTGAGCGCAATCAAGAGGAAAGTCTGTGTGCTGATATCTTTGCTCGAGTTTCCGAAGCTTATTTTTTTGATGGTTAGACACTTGAAATGTTTTTTTTTTAGATTAATTAGATTTATGCATCTTATTAAGGGACATATGTTTTTTTTTTTATATGTTTAATACGAAGGAATGGCGGACTACCAGCATGTGATTCCTGTTCATGCTGATGTTGCCCGGAGGAAGAAGCGTAACTGGTCAGAGCTGGAAGAACCGCATTTTGGTGAATATTTTGTTTCAATGTTTCTGTTACTTAATATCTGAAGTGTCTTTAATGGTTATTATTAAAAGTAGTGGCTTATTTTGTGTTCTGTCATAGATAAGGGTGGTTTCATGGATCCGGATCATGAGGAAGTTATGATTATAGTGCCTCCAATTTTTGCTCCAAAAGATGTGCCAGAAAATTTAGTGTAAGTTTCTCTCATATTTCTTGGTTAGTGATCATCTACTTAATTTAAGAGAGAAGTCAGGGAGCAGCATGCAATACCATAGTTGTTCAACATACAAAGAAAATGATGGCAGGGTACTATGACCTTATTATCGATCTTCATGATGAGGAAAAATCTGGAGACTCTCTTGAGAGTATATTAATTGTGGTATTTGTATTCTTTCTGTTTTGGCTCTTCTAGTTCCTTTCTAGTTTCATGATTTTGTTAGTTTAAAATTATTTTGTCATTTTATGTACATTTGTAGTGCACTGCATCTGTGATTCAGTGAGGATTGATTTCTTGTCCATTTATATATTTATATGTTTTGTACATTTTGTTCTGCAGTGTGGGGTCTTTGTATAGTATGCTCACTGGGTTCTTAAAGTTGATATTTAATATCTTCATATCTGTCTTTACCTCCACTGTGATGAAATTGGAGTTGGCAATGAAGTTCTCATTTATACTTTGTTATCCTTTAGTTATATTATATCATAAAGTTTCTATTGTAACTTTTTTTAGTTACCCTTGTAAAGTTTTGACTGGCAATTTCATCTTGTGTTACATTGAAGCGACTTTAACATTTTCTTATCTCAGCTTGAGACCAGCTGCTGTGCCAAGTTCAAAAAAGAAACAAGAGGAAGTTGTACAAGACCATTTTGAGGTAAGGATAACTTCCATAATTTCTTAATAGGATATAGGCATAAAATTTAATCCTTTTGGTAATGTTAAAATATATCAGTAACCGTTGGTACATGTCAATGACTAGTCTGAGTCTATTTGACTCTACGTCACAATTACTTGTTTGCAGAATCCTTAATATGAGTCTATTGATTCAAAGATTTTATTAATTAGTCTTACCTCATTTGTTGCCTGAACAATCTTCTATCATCCTGGCATTTCATACATATAAACATGTACATACCTTTATATTGTGGGGCAGAATAATAAACTACATTAATTAGAAGAGACGCACGATACATCTAGAGCGAGGAGAATGCAATACCTTACAAAATTAAAAGTAACATTAAACAAAATACATAGTGCACGTGTACACACAAACACACTCAAGAACACAACTAACTTTTGGAGGAAAAGAGACCCTTTAATATTTTAGGATCTAATTGTATGTATGATACTTGAATCCTACATTGGTAGCATAGAATGCTAGTGCAATGTTCATAAGGCTTTGGACTCTCCGACTATAATGACTAGCTTCTATGTTGTGGTCTTCCACCATGAATTTTTGTCGCAAACAAGTAGTGCAATGCTAGTGTTTGTTGAGGATTAGCCAAAGGGAGAGTAAGTATATAGTTGTGATAACTATGTCGATTTGATACCAAAAACATTTAAGTTATCTATAAAATTTTCAATATAGAGTGCAACTAGATTGATTCGGAGAGATACAAATCAATTTGGTTCAATTCTAGTTTTTCTTTGTTATACAAATTAAAATTGGGGGATTCTTATAGAGAACTAATTGAAATAAATTGCAAAATGTAATTGAATTCTAAAAATAAAATATGAAACATCAATCTACAAATCTAGATGCATATAAATTGGAATATCATTGGATCGAAGATGTAAAATTCAAATTTGAACAATTAATCAATTTAATAAAGTAATTCAATCGAATAGCCTAATCGAAACTAATTACAAATCAAATCAAAATATCATTCAATCTAATCCTCAAGTTATCAAATTAAGATCTCAGTCAAAATCTAACTTGATGTCTAAATCACAAAAAAGCAAATCATAATCACAAAATGTAATTTTAAGAGTTATAGAAAGAAGAACTAAATTGGAGTAAAACAATTGGTGACAAAACTCAATTCTAGATATACATCATCTTGAATATGTAGATTGATGGAAAGAGTTAGCCTTCCATTGAAGCACTAGTTGAAATGTGAATTGGAGAAGAAAGAGTGTGAACAATGAAACTCTATATAACGCAATATAAGAGTGTCACACTATCTAAGATTATATAACTAAATGAAATTCCATATATTAAATCATAACTTTACAACTCTATTTATAGGCTTTGATTAATGCAAACCGAAGTCTTAAAAACAAAAAAGTGAAACATTGAGTATGGTCATCTGATGACTTATTGACAGATGACCCATTGATCGAGCTATTGACATTATACGACTCAACAAACAATCTACTAGCATAAAATGACTCATTAGATGAGCTATTGGTATTAAACAAGTTGTACCCTCTAGACAAACTACATCAGACTAGCTACACCCGCCAGATGAGTTATATTCATTAGATGAGCTACACCTACAAGATGAGTTATAACAACTGCACTTGTCAAATGAGCTAGACTAGTTGCCAATCTTAGACGAGGTACATCCTCTGCCATTCATCAAACATGCTGAAAGAGTAGACAAAGGTCGGATTTAGCTAGAAATATATATAATTAAAATATTTATTCAAACCAAACCTAATTTAGTACTAGTGAAAAAAAAAATATAAAAATATAGAATATAAAGCATAGAAAAGTACTTTGAAGAGGCAATAAAGGTATAAATGTGAATACAAAATATGTATCATCAAGTTGCCCGTGTTGTTGCTAGGGATGTAGAGTGTGGTGTAACGTTAGGATTCAATTGGATGGTATAGGGCTTGAACCCATGTTGAAAGTATGAGATTCATATATGGGATTTATAAGCCCTTGGGATTTTCAACTACAGCGGCTAGCTTTTGTAGCATGGTTCTCCCAAGGTTCTTATCGTGAGATGAAGAAGTATAAAGCTTATGAATATTTACGTGGTATTCTTATGTTAATAGTCTTGTTAAGAATCACTATTCATATAAAATAATTGAAATGAGAGGGAGTGGTTTAATGAAATAGGGACCTTCAACTTTTAGCACTTGAGAGAGTGCATTAGAAGCAGAAAGAATGATTTACAAGATAACAAACTAAAAGAATCCAACCCAAACCGTCCTATCTAAATTATTAGAGAATGTTATAGGATGTAATAGAATCACAATGGCTTGTATTGACTGGCTTACTTATCACTCATGTTTCTGTGACTTGTGAAACTAAATTCCAAATAAAACTAGGGTCTTGACCTAATGGAACATTTATTATGGTCGACTTGTACAAAGTAGAGAGATGATAGCGAAACAGAGCTTCTAAAAAGGAATGACCCAAATTTCCTTCGAAAAATTAATACCTTTGTTCTGTTTCGAGTAAAACATTTGTTACTAAATTAAATGGCAGTTTGTTTTCCAAGGTGATAAAGTTAATTTGACATTTATGTTCAGCCAGTGATGATAATATCATATTATGAAAATCAGTGAATACTAGGTGACATATACCTTAATAAGAATTAAATGAATTCCATGTACTTTTTGTTATGATGTCATCAGTCATATGCATTATTTTAAGAAAAACTTTTCTTGTGGTGTGTGCAGATAGACACGGAGATGGAGCCAGTTCTTGCAATTGATTTTGACATTAAAGATATCCTTTTCTCAACTGGTAGAACCATCATATTTCAAACTTATTTAAGTTGAAAACTTCTATGAGATTAAATTATGCCACTTTATATCGTTTTAGCTCTGTTGAATATAATTGTTTTTTGCTTAAATTTACTCTATGGTATATATTTGAACCCTTGTTTGATTAATTTTAGCATATTGCTGATATCAACAAAGTCCTTGCAAATTAGTATTAATTTTAGCATCTCACTATTGATGTATCCTATCTTCATTGTATTTTCCCATTTGGCAATTTTTTTTTTTAATTTTCTATAAAATTTATAAGGATATTTTCTTTGTGTTGATATTTCTCACCCTTTTAACATAATTTTGAAAAAAATATTTTGCAACAAATAGATCTTAGTACATAGCCAAAATGTACTTTGTGGTTCTAGTTTTACTTAGTTGTCCTACAGATTCCTAAAAAGGTGAATTGGGAGGAATACATACCACAAGGCTCAGATCAGTGGGAGTCACAGATGGTTGTATCTAGAATGTTTGATGAGCGACCTATATGGTCCAAAAATTCGCTTACTGAACGCCTGCTCAATAAGGGCTTAAGCTTTTCGCATGGCATGCTCCGAAGGTGACTGAAGTAAATTCAGCTGATTAGCTTTTCGAACTTGCAATAATTCTATCGCTAGTGACCGTGCATTCTCTCTTGCAGGCTTCTATCTAGAATTTCTTACTACTTTTCCAGTGGCCCATTTCTAAGGTTCTGGATCAAGAAAGGATATGATCCACGCAAAGATCCCAATTCTCGCATGTGAGACTTACTCCTAATTTCTAAATAATCTCCTGGATTCTAGTCATAAATTTGCACTAAAAAAGTGTTTGGTAGTATTTCGTGTTATTCTTTCAAAATGATGAGAAAATCTAAATAATTATTTTTCATTCCATTTTTTCTTAGATTTCCTCATTTTGTAGTCTGACTAGCTTAACCTAATTCCTTTTTGTTAACATCCTCGACGATGGTTGATGGAAGATGCAGGGTACTATGACTTGGAATGCCTAGTTAATTTAGAGGATTAGCTTTGAATTTTCAAAATGTTATGATGTTAGTTAGGTTTAAAAAAGCATTTCATACGACATGAGCTAATTTTTTCCTGGAAAATTAAGGTGCCTTTACTTTAGGTGCCTGCATGGCCTTATTTCCAGCCTTTTTTTCACCTAGTATTCCACTGTACAGACCACTTATTACTCTTTGTTTTTAAATTCAAACTGGGGTGTCTCGATGGAATGAAAATTTACATGGATTTTCTTCATGATGAAAAATACTCTAGTCTTTGTAATTTTCTTAGGAGCATCATGTTGATCCTACAGCAGTAAACCTTAGTATGGTCATACATATGGCAATACGTGAACTGAGGCTGAGATACACAATTACATCCATCAATGTAACGACATTCTCGACTTCCTCTATTAGTTGTGAGGCAAGGACCAACGGCTTAGGGATATCTATCAGAGCAGTAAAACACAAGAGTAAAAAACATGCACTCCAAGAGTGTACGCTCTGAACTAGGATCAGTTGTTCTGAGGAGCTTCACAGGTTTTCGTATAAGACCAAGATGAGTAGGCTTTCTAGATAAATGCATAGTACTTTTAGTGTACTAAGCTTTAATCCTTTTTCAGGTACTCTTTTCAGCTTTTGTATCCGATCAGGGAGAGGATTGTTTGTATAGATTATCTAATAGTTGTTCCATGCCTCCATTTAGGAGTCCATGTCATGGATATTAAGAAACTGGATGATTTATTTGTTTTAATGACTTTTTTTTTTTCAACTTTCTTTTTTGAGCTCTACATCATGTTGTTAATCTGGTTTCAGATTCCATTCTGGTTCATATTTCACCAATCACCCATGAGCTTCCTATGATATTTGCAAATAAAAATATTGAATCTTCAAATATGAACAATTTATATATTTTTTACCAGGGTCTAATAATACAATCTTCATTCTCTCAATTATTTTGCTGAATTTTTATTAGCTGTATTTTATGGTTTGAAAAAAATTCAATCTTCAATCTGTTGACTGTGTTTAGATTTTTGGATTAGCAGTTATCAAAGAATTGATTATCGAGTACCTGTCCCATTACGAGGCTACTGTGATGCTAATTCAGCCAATAAGTAAGTCTTTTTCTTCATTTTATATCTTGCTCTGTTTACAAATCTGTGCAATGTAATTTGGAAACAATTTAATTCATGCCTTTGCACAAGAAAGAGGAAATGAAAACCACAATGTAGATTTATTTATATTGACATGTTGGAATAGGCTTTACTAGAAAGCTGTTTTGAGTTGTACCAATTTGTACCCAGGGTCCTAGAGGTGCCTTTACTTGTTTTCTACTCTTCTCTCTCTTTCATTGGGTCTCATATAGAGACATCATCTATTGCATAAATATGAGAACCTAAGAGCCTTTTTCAATCTCTCTAAAATATATTTTCTCTCTTTTCATTGATCTCAAGTTGGTATAAGAGTGGGTCGAATATGCTCTACCCATCCTTGTGTTGTTTAGCGAAAAAATGTTGTCCAATCATCATCCGTTGCCACAGTTTGTTTTTGGTGACTATTGTATCTAGAGCACCTCTTCAACCAACAGCTAATCCCATTGGTCCCAAATGCAGACTCTGCTTCACTCACTATTGCATGCAGCTTCTTTTTCAAACAAATTAGGTTTGTTGCCCAGACGTTCCCTTCCAGCCTATTGTTTTTGTTAAATATAATGAAAAACTAGGTATAGGGTTAATTTTTGTGTGTCTAAAATACACATAAGGTAATATATTTATAATTAAGAGTCATGTAAGTAAATATGGTAAATACATATATTGTGACTAATAATATCTAGAATATCTAAAATATCTAACATTCTTCCTCAAACTGACGCATATAAATCATATGTACCAAGCTTGTTACAAATATAATCAATTCTAGGTCCCTGTAAGATTTGGTGAAAATATCTGCTAACTGTTTACTTAAGTTAACAAACACGGTCTTAATGTTTCCAGATACAATCTTTTCTCGAATAAAATGACAATCAACTTCAATGTGTTTGGTTATTTCATGAAAGACAGGATTAAAACTAATATGAAGAACAACTTGATTGTCACATATAAGTGTCATTTGAGTGATATCTCCAAATTACAATTCTTTAAGTAATTATTTAAGTCAAACAAGTTCACAAGTGGCTGAGGCCATAACTCTATATTATGCTTTTGTACTAGATCTTGCTACTACATTTTGTTTCTTGTTCTTCCAAGAGATAAGTTACCTCCAATAGAAACACAGTATCCGGAAGTAGATCTTTTATCAGGAGGAGATCCTGTCCAGTCAACATCTGAATAACAAACAACTTTAGTTTGGTTATTGTGATCATATAACAAACCTTTTCCAGGAAATCTTTTAATGTACTTTAATATACAAATGACTGCACTTCAATGATTTGCACATGAAAAATTAAGAAATTGATTCACTACACTAATTGCAAAGAAAATGTCAGGACGAGTATCAGTAAGATAATTTAATTTTCCAACTAATCTTTTGTACTTCTTAGGACCTAAGAAAGACTCCTCTGATTAGGTAGGAGTTTGGTATTGGGATCCATGGGTGTGTCAACAGATTTTGAGTTCATCAACCTAGTTTCTTTTAAAATATTCAATGCATATTTTCTTTGAGATATAACAATGTCATTATTAGATTGTACTATCTCAATCCTCAAGAAATATCTAAGTTTGTCAATATCTTTGGTCTGAAAGTGGTGACAAAGGTGTTGCTTCATCTGGAGATGCCATGGTGATCATTCCTTGTAAAAACAATATCATTAACATATACTATTAAATAGATACACCCAACACTTGAGTGACGGTAAAATACTGAATGATCTACCTAACTGCGAGTCATACCAAACTGCTAAACAATACTGCTAAATTTTCTAAATTAGGCCCCAGGAGATTGTTTTAGGCCATATAAAGATTTGTAAAGACGACATATCAATCCAGAAGACTCTTAAGCAACAAAGCTTGGATGTTGCTTCATATAAATTCTTCCTACAAATCCTTGTTAAGAAAAATATTTTTGACATCCAGTTGGTAAAAAGACCATTGTTGAAGAGCAACTATGACTATGAATAAGTAAACAAAAGTCATCTTTGTCAGTAGAGAAAATGTGTCACTATAGTTCAAACAAAAAATTTGTTTGTAATCTTTGGTCACAAAACGAGCTTTGAGACGGTCAATAGTACCATCAGGACCAACTTTGATAGTAAACACCCTCACCTGTAACCAACAACAGATTTCCCAGACAATAATGAGACGAGTTTCTAAGTTCCATTATTCTGAAGAGCACTCATTTCATCAAGCATGGCGTGACGCCAACCAGGATGGGCTAAGACATCACCAACAAATTTGGGAATTGACACAAAAGAAATAGAAGAAAAGTAGGTATAAAAAGGTGGAGATAATCTATGACAACTCAAAGCAGTATAATGAGGAGAGAGATTACAAGTAGAACGTATACCTTTATGGAAGGAAATTGGAAGGTCAAACTTAGTTGTCAGAGCCGGAGAAGACAAACGAGTTGACACTAGAAGTGAGTCATTTGGTGGTTGTTGGGATTGTTGTCTTTGATTATAAACTTAAAGTGGTGGTGGCAGAGGAGAATCCAAAGGTGGGCTAACAGGAAAATCACATATAATAGGAATATTGACAGTAATAGATGACAACACACATGCAGAAGAAAAACATTTAAAATAAAAGGAAGACTCATTAAATGTGATATCTTTAGAAATAAAATAACGGTTAAGAGAAGAAAAGAAACACTTATATTCTTTTTGTGATCAAGTAAATTATAAAAAAACACATTTGTGTGATTTAGGATATAATTTATCATAATCAAGACTAAAATTATGAACAAAACATGTAGACCCAAAAACTTTAAGAGGTAAGGGATGTAGAGGATCATGAGGAAATAAAAGAGAATGTGCAATTTTGTTATTTAGAACCGAAGATGACAAGCGATTAATAAGATAACATGCAATAAGAACAACATCACTCCAAAAATGTTTACGAACCTCACCATGAATTAAAAGAGTGTGAATTGTTTCAACAATATATATGTTCTTGCTCTTAGCCATCCCATTTTGTTAAGGTGTATAAGCATATGAAGTTTGATGAAGAATGCCATGAGAAATCATAAAATTTTTAAAAGAATGAGAAAGGTATTCACAACCATTATCACTTCGTAAAATTCAAATAAAAATCCCAAATTGAGTTTTAATTTCATTAAAAAAGGATTGAAATATAGAAAATAACTCAGAACGATTTTTCATTAAAAACAACTAGAATAATCATCAATAAAGGTAACAAAATACTGAAAACCGAAATTAAATTTAACACGACTGGGTCCCCAAATATTATAGTGAATTAATGCAAAAGAGGACAAAGCACGTTGTGAGACACTACGAAGAAATGAACTACGACTATATTTTCTTAATTGACATGACTCACATCATAAACTAGATAAAAGATGTACCTATGAGTACAACAGAAATAGTGGAATTAGAATTTTGATGAGTCTCATATCATTTGAAAAATTCATTGAAAATAACATATTTTTCTGCGATATAAGATGACGTAGGATCCACAGTTGATGATTGTGTTGATAACAAAAGAAGCTATGGAGGAACATAGAGAAAAAACCTTAAAATTTTTAAATAGTGTGTGAAGACTTTGATTGTGGCAATCTCAATGACACAATGGTTGTCTAGTCGAGATGAGCATAACAGTGTGGTCGTCGGCTTGAATTATGACTCGGGCGACGATGGTGGCGACGGTGGCGACTCCGACGACAATGACAGCGATGGAGGCTATATGTTCAAGGATAGTGGTGGCGACGAAAAAAGAAAGAACTTAAACTCTAGATACCATGTTGAATATAATAAAAAGCTGAGTACATACTTAATTTCATTATGTTTAAAATTAATATAAGGTAATATATTTATAATTAAGAGTCATATAAATAAATATAATAATTACAAAATTAATATAGGGTAATATATTTATAATTAAGAATCATATAAATAAATATAATAATTACATATATTATGACTAATAATATATAAAATATCTAAAATATTTAGAATATCTAAAATATTTAACATTGTCATGGGTTTGCCATCGAACACCTATTTGTCCCTTCCTTGGGTGTTGGTTGTTTGGCTCCCTTTTTCTCTTTGTAGAGTTCCTTATTTACACTTATTTTTTGGTCATAAATGACTTTTGGGCCAAGATAGGTTCTTACCATTATGTCAAAAAAGCTTAGTGGAAAAAATTATTTATATTGGTCAGTTGTTGAACTCTACTTTCTTGACCAAGAGTTTCATATCACTTGGAAAGCTCATAATTCTCATAACATTTTAAAACATGTAGATCGCCCTAGAGTATTTCTGTAAATGACGTTCAATTACTCTGATTTTGCCACCAAGCTGAGATTGCTTAAACAAATTGTCACCAGACGGAAAATATTTTTAAAATAAAGAGAAATCGTTATATAGTTTATTATGGAAAACTCTAAAAAAAAATACTTTTTGAAAATGGTATTTGAAATCATATGAGTTCAAAAGTCAATTATGCGTGGGAACGTGGTATTAATATCCTACGACATCTTTACCTTTAATTAAATGTACAAAATTAATGTAATTTGATAATATTTATTTTTTCCAAAAATTAAATTATATATATATATATATATATATATATACATTTATAAACTATTTGAAGTTATTTATTTTTTAAGATCAGAAAAAACATTTATAAAATTATTTATTTGAACCCGACAAAAACATTGACCATATTGTTACGAATTTCCATTCACAATGGCAAATCAAGGTTACATTCTTTTTTAATAAAAAGATGTAGAGGGTTGGTGTTTTAGTCTTAAATGTTATTTTTATTTTTTTAATTCACTTTCTTAGAGAATATAAGATAGTACTAAAGACTATACTCAATACACTTACAAATCATACATTGATATTGTATATTGTCAACCAAATTTTATTTAGAAGATATTTGATTTATATGATTTATTGTATAAAAAGATAAATATTAAATATAAGATGATGCTATTAATCATATATATTTTTAATAGTTTATTATTTAGTTTATTTATTAAAGTAATTGTTAAACAACAAAATTTAAGATGCAAGACGACGCTTATGGTCATATATATATATATATATATATTTTAAGAAATTATTTAACGTATTATATAAATACTAAATATAAGATGATGCATATAATCATACATATATTTTAAAATTAGTTAAAAGGGTGGAGGTAGTAAAAAAAAAATAATAATAATAAAGAAAGGAAAATCTATTTTTTTACTTCCGTCATAGATTTAATTGACAAGCATTAGATATAAGATGTGTGCAATCATATACTACAACCTAAGCCAATCTTTATATAAACTAAGAATTACAAAAATAAAATAAAATTGATGAGTAAAAAAAAAACAAAGTTGGATTCATGATGGCACCCAGATTATTTAAAGGAAATTATCAGGAAATTTAAACTTGCATCCAATAATCTTTTCCTCAAATGATTATTTCATCAGTTACTTACTAAATTAATTTAAAGATTCCAAAAGGGTAATCTTATTCCTTGGACCAAACAGGGCAGCTAAATCTTTTCGTCATGGTTTACAAAAAGATTTATTGTGGTTAATTAATCATGTAGAAAATGAACAGCTAGCGGGTATGTGTTTTCACTGAATCATCATTAATTGGTGAGCGGAAGGATATTGATCTGGTACTTGTTACGTACCATGTGAAAATATGAGGTGATATGAAGTGTGATTTAGGATATTTAGGGTTAGAACTTTGTAAGAAATTTAGGAATTTAGTGATAAGATGGAGGGAAAGAATCACTCTTTCCAAGAAAGACAACTCACAAAAGATGTGAAAGTCCTTTGATACAGCCAAGGGTTCTTGGCTCACTCAAGAATTTAAGAGAATCACTCTCACTAAGATAAAAGAGATAAACTCTAATAGTTATGGATAAAATTTCACTTGTTATTTTTGATAAAAATGATTCAGCCTATATAGAAGTACAATTTGGTCAACCAACAATACTTGTTGAAGAGTTTCATTTGATTCCCTTACTCTAGCCATTATCATGTGTCATGTTCACATCAGGAGGATTATTAAAATAGGCTTTACTTGTTTTCTGCTCATTTCTGCCTTTCATTGTATCTCAGGTTGAAGGCTTTATTTTCTATATAAATATGAGAACTTAAGAGACTTTTTCAATCTCTCTAATCTATTTATCTCAAGTAGACACACAAAAAGTGAGGAGAAAGAGATCACTGGAATTTATGACAATCACAATTAAATTTATTTGCAGACCTCTAGGTTGATATAACATCTGGTTATTGTCACTGTATGTGATTATTGTCTTTCTATTGACGTTGTTTTCTCATTTGTTACGGCTATTGTTTCATGCAGATCAAAACATAAATGGGAGGATATATGTGCCTTTCGTGTTTTCCCTTACAAGTTCCAGACTTCCTTACAGTTTTTTGACCTTGTTGATGATTATATTCAATCAGAAATACATAAGCCTCCACTCCGAGCAACTTGCACTGTACGTCTTTTATATGAATTTATTTAATATCTCATTTATTATATTGACACGCTCACATTTTGTGCTGACACACACTTGATATTACCAGACATTTGAAAAACAGATACACTTTACTGTTTACTCTGCATTTACATGTTATATTTTTGTTATTCCGTAGCATGAAGGTTGGTATGGGTTATATATGAGTGATGTGGAATTGCTCATTTTCCATTCTGCTTGAGAAATCAAGGAGTAACAGATTATTCTATATAGTCTTGTTTTACTCTGAAATTTGTGCATGTTGAACTGTTGTGTAATTTATGCCTTAAAAGATGAAATATAAAAAAAATGCTTGGTTTTTTGTTTCACGCTTGAAGTTCTAAGAAATTCCATTAACTAAGTTCTAAAAAAAAAACTTGCAGTTTGGAACTGGGTGGTTCTCACAGCACATGATCAATTGTATCCGACAACGTCTTATGGTGCGATTCCTATCAGTATTTCCCAAGCCTGGTGCTGAGAATTTACTCAAAGCTGCTACTTTAAAGTTTGAAAAATTGAAGAGGGAGAGCTACAGGCATGCCATGAAGCTCGATGGAGAAGAATGCCAACAATCTAATACAGGTTGTCTTCTTTTTATCTTTTCCTTTTTTTTCACAATTCTTTATATTTTCGTTAGTATATTAATAGAGCCAACAGATTATTGCCACATCTAATAATATAATATAAAAAGAATAATTAATACTGTTACAAACTAAGATGATCAAGTACTAAGTATAACAGATTTAGGAATTAATTGTAAGAAAACATGCGGGAAAGAAAGGTAATAGAGAAGAATATAAATGCAACAGGAAGAATGGTCTTTCACTGCTACCCACAGAGCTACGCTCCAATAGAGACAAATATTCCCTACCCACTGATTTCTTACTCCTTTCTCTCTCACCTCACACTACATGACACTCCTCCCTAAATAACCGAATTTTCCCCATCCCTCCTAACAAACTTACTCTTCTAATAATTTCTCTTTCCTTGAGCAAGAGAGTCACATTCCTTTTTTACCCTTTCTAGAATACACATACCACACTTTGGGTCCATGACTTAGTTGATCTATCACTGGGCCTCTATCATTGCCCCCTCCTAAAACAACAGTCTTGTCCTCAAGATTGATTTCTGGAAATTGACTTTGGATGGCTAGTTTGTCTTCCCACGTGGCACTCTCTGTCCCTTGACCCTTCCATTGAACCAACAGTTGATCAACATCCTCCCCTCCCTTTCGCACGCGCCTGGCCGCTAAAATAACCTCGGGTTCCACCGGTATGCTCTCCTCTCCTTCAATGTTCTCAGGTAATTTAGCCTCCACTGCGTAATTACCCACTGCCTTCTTGAGTAATGAGACATGGAACACAGGATGAATCTTCGAAGTCGATGGTAATTTGAGCTTGTAAGCCACTGCACCTACACGCCCAACCACTTCAAAAGGACCAAAATACCTTGCCGCTAACTTGGGACTGATTCTAGTGGCTACCGAGCCCTGCCTATGGGGGCGCAGCTTCAGAAAAACCCACTCCCCAATAGCAAAATTGCGCTCCTGATGATGCGTATCAACCTGTCCCTTCATACGATCTTGAGCACGAGTCAAATGATGTTTTAGTTGTCGTAAAGCTTCGTCTCTGTCCACCAATTCTTGCTGGACAGCTTCCACCAACGTTTCCCCTTGTAGAAATTTCACCAATGCTGGTGGTTTACGGCCATACACCGCCTCAAACGGGGTAGTTCCGGTTGATTGATGGAATGTGGTGTTGTACCAGTATTCCGCCCAATGCACCCAATTTACCCACGTTTTTTGTTGGTCAGCGATGAAACAACGTAGATAGGTTTCTAGGCAACGGTTGACTACCTCCGTTTGTCCATCCGTTTGGGGATGGTATGCGGTACTCATTTTCAGCTGAGTGCCCTGCAACTTGAAAATCTCTTTCCAAAAATTACTAACAAAAATAGGATCTCTATCACTGACTATGGCCTTGGGAATGCCATGTAACCGAATCACCTCCCTGACAAAAATCTCAGCCACCGTCTTTGCTGTATAGGGATGTTTAAGAAGAATGAAGTGTCCATATTTTGACAACCTATCTACCACCACTAATATTGCCTCATACCCTCGAACTTTAGGGAGACCTGTTATAAAGTCCATGGAAACCTCATCCCAAATTTGTTGGGGAATTGGTAGAGGCTGCAAAAGGCCACCAGGGGAAGTAGCCAAATATTTCTGTCTCTGGCAAATATCACACTGTTGGACATATTCTTGAATCTTCTTCGTCATCCCAATCCAATACAGGTTAGTTGCAAGGCGTCGATATGTCCGATAAAAACCTGAATGTCCCCCTTCTACAGTGGTATGGTATTCTTGCAACAATTTAGGTATCCATTCAGAATTTGGTGATATCACCAACCTTCCTTTATAATACAGGACTCCCCTGATATAAGAGAAACCTGATTTAAGCGTGTTATTTTGAACCAACCCTTCAATGATAGCCTTTAACTTGGGGTCTTGATGCACCTCCTCAATGATTTTTTGACTGTCCTCCCAAAACGGATAGTATCTCAAAGAGCATAAAGACCCTTTGACCTCATGCATTCGGGATAGAGCATATGCACCTCTGTTACTAACACCCGGTTTATATACAATGTCGAATTGATAGCCCAATAACTTGGCCATCCAATTCTGTTGGTCCATGGTGGAAATCCTTTGTTGCATGAGTTGCTTGAGGCTTTTCTGATCAGTGCTCACCGTGAACTTTCTACCCAACAAATAAGGTCTCCAATGTTGGATTGCCAGCACTACTGCCATTAATTCTTTTTCATACGCTGATTTGGCCAGATTGCGTTCACTTATGGCCTTACTAAAATAAGCTACTGGTCTGCCCATTTGTGTGAGTATTGCCCCAACCCCTCCCCCGGAAGCATCACATTCGATCAGAAACTGTTTAGTGAAATCGGGTAAGGCTAACACCGGGGCTTCCGTCATTTTTGTCTTTAGCTGATTAAATGCATCTTGAGCGTGAGAATTCCATTGAAACCCATCTTTCTTAGTCAACTCAGTTAAAGGCTTTGCAATCTTTCCATAGTCCCGTATGAATTTCCGATAATAACCTGTTAGTCCCAAAAAACCACGCACTCCTTTGACATTTTTTGGGTTGGGCCACTGTTTGACACTCTCCACCTTCCCTGGATCCATCGCCACACCCTGGGCTGAGACCACATAGCCCAAATACTCAATGGATCTCTGAGCAAACTGACACTTCTTCTTGTTGACCACCAATTGATGTTGTTGCAGCCTCTGTAGTACATGGTTAAGCTGTTTCAGATGCTCTTCCCAACTCCCACTATATATCAAAATATTGTCGAAAAACACCAGCACCCCTTTTCTCAACATGTCACGGAAAACATCATTCATCAAGGATTGGAACGTGGAAGGAGCGTTCATAAGCCCGAAGGGCATAACTAAGTACTCGTAATGGCCTTCATGGGTCCTAAACGCCGTTTTATGCACATCTTCCTCCCTCATACGTACTTGGTGGTACCCGGATTTTAAGTCCAGCTTAGAGAAAAAAACTGCCCCATGAACCTCATCAAGCAGCTCATCTATCATCGGTATTGGAAATTTATCAGGGACCGTAGCCTTATTCAAAGCACGGTAGTCAACACACATCCTCCAAGTAGCGTCTTTCTTTTTAACCAGAATTACTGGGCTCGAAAACGGGCTCTGACTTGGTCTGATGATACCCATGCTCAACATTTCTCTGACCTGTTTTTCTATCTCATCCTTGTGATGATGGGGATATCTATACAGACGCACGTTAACTGGTCTTTCTCCTTCACGTAACACTATCATATGGTTTTTACTCCTTGTTGGGGGCATTCCTTGTGGTTCTTGGAATACCACTTCATATTTCAACAACATTAACTCCAATTTTTTTCTCTGTTGAGGAGTCAGAACCGAATTAGCATCTTCAATGACATTTCCAGAAGCAAACTTTAGATCCGTGGACATCAACATGCTGATGTGAACATGACCTATGATAAGGGCTAGAGCAAGGGAAACAAAGGAAGCTTTTCAACAAGTATTGTTGATTGACCAAATTGTGTTTTGGATTAATCAATTAATGGGCTTTAGTTTGATTTTGTTTTAAGTTGTAATAAGGGTCCAATTGAAAATTTAGTCATCAGCCTTTGGGAGACCAAGGGATGCATAACTGATTGACTTTTGGTTGCCACAGTTTCAGATACAATCAGTCATTAAGTAGTTTTCAATTCCTAGGTTAATGGATCATTATTAGCCTTTATTTGTTTCCATTAAATAGTTTTCAATTCTTAGATTAATGGGTTATTATTAGTATTTATTTTCTTTTATTGAGCCTTTTGTAATTCTGATGGCAACGCTTCTATATTAGCTGAACCATTCTTATCAAGAAATAACAAGTGAAATTTTATTCAGAAATATTAGAGTTTATCTCTTTTATCTTAGTGAGAGTGATTCTCCTAAATTCTTGAGTGATTCAAGAACCCTTGGTCGTATCAAAGGATCTGTCACATCCTTTGTGTGTTGCCTCCCTTGGAAAGAGTGATTCTTTCCTTCCACCTTCTTTCTAATTCCTAAATTTCTTACAAGATTTTAACCCTAAAGATCTTAAATTACCCCTTGTGATTCATATCATTTGGTATTCGGAGTCTCGGCTTAAGGGTTCAAACATCAAATTGATGGCGTAAGAGGAAAATTACAATCAAGAAGCGAGGAATTAGTCCAATTCAAATAAGAGTATTGGTACAACATTTGGAAGGATTAATGATACTACATAACAATGAGCTCCATGAAAGATTGAACCGGTTGGAGAATAGAAATCTCGAAGACGAAGAAGAAAGGAGAAATAGGAGAATGAATGATGGAGTAACAAGACCAAGTAGGCTTGAAGGGGTCAAGCTTAACATTCCTCCGTTCAAAGGAAAAAGTGATCCGAAGCATACTTGGAGTGGGAGATGAAAATAGAGCATGTTTTCTCATGCAACAATTATGAGGAGACCCAAAAGGTGAGGCTTGCAACAACAGAATTTTCCGACTATGCTCTTGTTTGGTGGAACAAGCTACAAAAGGAGAGAGATAGAAATGAAGAGTCAATGGTTAATACATGGACTCGAGATGAAAAGGATCATGAGGAAGCGGTATGTGCCTAGCTAGTTATGCAAGGGACTTGAAATTTAAACTCCAAAAACTTACTCAAGGCAACAAAGGGGTTGAGGAGTATTTCAAAGAAATGGACATGCTCATGATTCAAGCAAAGATTGAAGAAGATGAAGAGGTAACTATGGCCCGATTTATTGGTGGTTTGAATATTGATATATGTGATATTGTTGAGTTGCAGGAGTTTGTTGATATGGAGGATTTACTTCATAAAGCAATTCGAGTGGAGCAACAACTCAAAAGAAAAGAAGTGACTAAGAAGAGTTCTACCAACTTTGGATTTTCAAGTTGGAAGGACAAAGGCAAAAAAGATGGGACTGTTACTTCTAGTAGTTCCACACCTATTCCTACAAAGACCCATTCAAAATATGAAGAACAACTCTCTAAAAAAAGTAGAGATGTGAAGTGTTTCAAGTGTCAAGGCCTAGGACACTATGCTTATGAGTGCCCTAACACAAAGACCATGATTCTTAGAGAGGGAGAATATATAAGTGAATCTGAGGTTGAAGAGGGAGAAAAGAGTGAAGACACTGAGGAGGAAGAAGAGATTCCAAAGGGAGATTTATTGATGATTAGGCGATTACTTGATAGTCAATTGAAACCTATGAAAGAAAACCAAAGAAAAAATATTTTTCACACTAGATGTTTAATCAATGACAAGGTGTGCATGATGATCATAGATGGAGGTAGTTGCACTAATGTGGCTAGTGTTAGATTAGTATCAAAACTAAATTTAGCTACCAAACCACATCCTAGACCATATAAACTTCAATGGCTTAGTAAGGATGGAGAGGTGCAAGTGAGACAACAAGTTGAAGTGGACATTTCCATTGGAAAATACAATGATAAGGTGCTTTGTGATATTATTCCTATGGAAGTCAGTCATTTACTTTTGGGGAGACCATGGCAATTTGATAAAAGGGTTAATCATAACGGGTTCACCAACAAGATTTCTTTCACACATCAAGACAAGAAGATTGTGCTCAAACCTTTGAGTCCACAAGAAATATGTGAGGATAAAAAGAAAATGAAAGAAAAACTTCTTCAAGAAAAGAGAGAGAAAGAAAGCGTTAGTGAAACACTTGAGAGGAAAAAGAGTGATCAAAAGAAGAGTGAAACACTTGAAGTGAAACAGAGCTATTTAACCATAAAAAGTGAGTATAATGTTTGTTCTACATTTAATTTGTCAGACTTATCTATTTTTAATGTAGATGACGAATCCGATTTGAGGACAAATCCTTTTCAAGAGGGAGAGAATGATGTGAACATGACCTATGATAAGGGTTAGAGCAAGGGAAACAAAGGAAGTTTTTCAACAAGTATTGTTGATTGACCAAATTGTGTTTTGGATTAATCAATTAATGGGCTTTAGTTTGATTTTGTTTTAAGTTGTAATGAGGGTCCAATTGAAAATTTAGTCATCAGCCTTTGGGAGACCAAGGGATGCATAACTGATTGACTTTTGGTTGCCACAGTTTCAAATACAATCAGTCATTAAGTAGTTTTCAATTCCTAGGTTAATGGATCATTATTAGCTTTTATTTGTTTCCATTAAATAGTTTTCAATTCTTAGATTAATGGGTTATTATTAGTATTTATTTTCTTCTATTGAGCCTTTTGTAATTCTGATGACAACGCTTCTATATTAGCTGAACCATTCTTATCAAGAAATAACAAGTGAAATTTTATTCAGAAATATTAGAGTTTATCTCTTTTATCTTAGTGAGAGTGATTCTCCTAAATTCTTGAGTGATTCAATAACCCTTGGCTGTATCAAAGGACTGTCACATCCTTTGTGTGTTGCCTCCCTTGGAAATAGTGATTCTTTCCTTCCACCTTCTTTCTAATTCCTAAATTTCTTACAAGGTTTTAACCCTAAAGATCCTAAATTACCTCTTGTGATTCATATCACATGCCCCCCATCCATGTACGCCTCCCAATAAACAGGCTCTGAAACGCACTTTGGGATTCTTGGTCCTCTCCCTTCAAATTCACCCACACTCCGTTTCTCACTACCCTCATGGTTTTCTTACCCCAATCAATCACCATCTCTCCCATGGTAGATAGCCAAGACATGCCCAAAACCACATCGATATCCCCTAACTCGAACAAGTGGGCATCGATAGTTACATTGAGCCCTCCGAACTCCATTTCCACAGCTTCGCATTTTCCCCGAGCTACCGTTTTACTCCCATCTCCCAGCTTTATACTCATCCCCCTTGTGTCAACAGTCTTCCACCCCATTGCTTGAGTCAATTTCCTCGATATGAAATTGTGCGTGGCTCCGCTGTCCACCAATACTAACACTGGGACTCCTTGAATGGTTGCTCTTAGTTTCAGAGTTTGGAACTGTTGGCCTTCCTTAGATTCCAAACTTCCCAAATCAATCACACTACACTCTCCATCAACCCTCTCCTCTTCCTCAACTTCAAAGGTGCTTTGGGTAGGTTCATCATCTATTTCTTCCTCTTCGTCTAACACCATCACGCGCAACTGGCGATCTGGGCATTGATGTATTGGGTGGAATTTACCTCCACACTTGAAACATAGTCCCTTTTTTCTTCGTTCTGTGATCTCCTGAAAAGATAAGTGTCTGACTCCTCTGTCACCCCGTGATCCACTACTACGAGGGCTAGATCCACTTTCCCCTTCTACATTCTTGTTGAACCTAAATTGTTGAGCTGGCCCAAATCCCCCTCCTCTCATTAGATTTCCTTCTTCAAATTGCTCTCTTCCTCCACGAAACTGGGCCCAACCTGTTCCTCTAACTCCTTTGTTTTGCAAACCTAAATTGGGCCTGTTTGGATGAAATGGCCCATTTCCTACCTCCTTGCGAGTCACTGTTCCCCAACCTGGGCGGATCCCTTGAAACTCTGCTTCCACCGCTCTTGCCACGTTCAACATTTTGGATCTGGATATGGGTCATAGGGCCCTCAGTGAACGGATCCTTCCTCGAATATTCTCTTTCAAACCATGTACAAAGTACCCGAAGTACTGGTCATCTGGTAGTCTCTTCACCTGAGCAGTCAACCTCTCAAATTGTTCATATACTCGTCCACGCTTCTCACTTGTTGCAGCGACGCCAACTGTTCGAACACGTCACCCTCCCCTAGCCCACCATATCTATCCATTAACTCACGTTTCAATTGTTCCCAAGTCATCTCCTCATCCTCATCAAGCAATGAATTGAAGAAATGGATAGTAGACCCCTCCATACAGAGCTGAGTCAAGCTCACCTGAGCCTCTGGATGAGTGTCTTGCACCCGGAAATAGATTTCGGCGCGTGAGATCCACCCCGTCGGATCTTCACCATCGAACATGGGTAACTCGACCTTCTTCACGCATTGTCGGAATTCCTCTAACACCTCTCCCTTCAAATGCCTTAGTGACCCTGGTGGTGTTGATTTCTTCTTCTCCCCATATTCATGTTCCTCTCGGTGGTGGTGGTTGCTGCAGTCACCCCCTCCCTCTGCATTGTTAGTCGTTGGCGATTGCTGACTGCCCTTTACCAAAGTCTGAAAGAGCTTCTCAAATTGTTCCTCCATCTTCCGCTGTGACTCCACCATCGCCTCCTTAAGTGCGCCAACCTCGTACTCCATATTAGTAAGTCTTGCCTCCATCTCGTCGTTCTTCACTCCTTTCTTCTTTGGTGGCATTCACTCTAACAACACCTCGCTAATTCTCCCTCCCCACAAGTCAAATCCGGCAGGTCGGACCAATTTGTTACAAACTAAGATGATCAAGTTCTAAGTATAACAGATTTAGGAATTAATTGTAAGAAAACATGTGGGAAAGAAAGGTAATAGAGAAGAATATAAATGCAACAGGAAGAATGGTCTTTCACTGCTACCCACAGAGCTACGCTCCAATAGAGACAAATATTCCCTACCCACTGATTTCTTACTCCTTTCTCTCTCACCTCACACTACATGACACTCCTCCCTAAATAACCGAATTTCCCCCATCCCTCCTAACAAACTTACTCTTCTAATAATTTCTCTTTCCTTGAGCAAGAGAGTCACATTCCTTTTTTACCCTTTCTAGAATACACATACCACACTTTGGGTCCATAACTTAGTTGATCTATCACTGGGCCTCTATCAAATACCATTTTTAAACTTTGTCTAGTTCCTACGCTTTTATTAGTTATTACACTTCTATTGCTCAAGAAGAAGAATTATTGAATATTTTATGATTGAAAATTGTAAGGGAGGATTCTATTCACGTACTTCCGAGCCAAAGTTTTTTAATTTGTTTTCTAAAGGTGTTTTTGTGGCAGAGTTTTTTAATGTACTTTACAAATTTTATTTTATTAATGCTGTTTAATATGATTATGAACCAATTGGAAGATTTGTTGTGGTTTTAAAACAATAGTTTAATATTTTTCAAAGTAAAAATTACTCTTTTCTGATCTGTTGAATATTTTAATTAAGTAATTATTGATAAAATGTTTGTATCTGGGACAGATTTGGAAGAGCATGAAGAACTTGACAACGGTGAAGATGAAGAGGAGACAGCTGAGGGTAATGATAGTGAAGAAGAATGGGAAGAAGAACTTGATTTGGTAATAATAATGACTTTTATGTTTATCCTTAGATTGTGTTAATACTGACTTTTGAATTTTTTCATGCTGTTGACACATGTAGGCTGGAGATATTCAAATGCCTCTGCCGCCTCAGTCCTGTATCCTTTTCCATTTCAACTCTAAACTTACTCATGTACTCTTTATGTTTACAGTGATTGAAACATCATTATTGCATCGCACAAATTTTTCATAATTTTATAATTCACACTACCTCAACTGCCTGCTTCTTAAAAAAATTTATGTAGAAGTTTATGTTTCACATTGTCAAGCTATTAGATTGGTATATGTTTAGAGGAGATGGATTTTTATCATGTAATTTAGGTTTCATCAAGGCTCTCCCAACTGGCATTTTCGAATTCCTTTACAATATTCAGACATGAACATTGAGAATATTTCAAGGACTCATTTACAGGAACTTTTTGGCAGCTTCCGTCCTAATGAAATTGACGGTGCCTTTGGGCAAGCTAATGGAAGCGACGAAGAATATCACATATACGAAGAAGATAGTGAGGAAAATTACTCCGATGAATGAATTGACGTTCTCGCAGTTATATACAAGGGTAAATATCATTGTTTTGTTTATTAAATTGTCATATTGTATCTTTGTGTTCATTGTTGTTATTATAACAAGTATCTTTAATACATCAGTAGTGAAAACATAATAGAAAAAAAAAAGGAGAAATAGATAGGGAATAGTAGAGAAATAGGCATGGTTGATTTAAGATTTTTTTTTCATTTTATTTCTATTTTTATTTATAATTATGATATATATATATATATATATATATATATATATATATCAATTTTTAAATTTTTTTTATGATGTTTACACAGAAGGATAAAAATAATTATTAGTAAATATGAAAAAACATTAAAATATACATTTTTGTGGTGGAAACATGATCGGTTAATGTGTAGATTGAATGGCAAATACTGTAGCAAATTTAATAGTATTTAAGTCATGTGAATTTTTTGGTATTTTTTTTTTACAATGGCGACACAACTGAATTGAATCTAATTCTTGATATATACAATTTAAACATTTTCACCACTAGACATTCTTGTATATTTTAAATAATTGGTAATGAAAAGTATTTTAAAATGTTTCGAATTGATAGATTTAGTAGATCAAAACATTTTTTAATTTTAGATAAAGTAATTTGGAATATACAGAAATTATATTTATTAAAGTTCCAAAATGGTTATCGAGAAAATTGTAGATTGGCGGATTAATCCAAAATTTAACTGCATATAACGTCTGGAAATTTAGTAGAGGTGCCTTGAATATTATTATTAGTTTCACCCTTCCATAACTTTAAAAAATATAAATTTTTTATATTTTGGATTACTTAAATTTATAATTAAAAAAATATTATAGTTCACACAGGTGAAAATAAAAAAACTAGAATGGAACTTGAATAGGTTTTTCCCAAATTGAGGCTTATTTGAGTATAGTTGTTCCCATAAGCATAAAAAGAAGGCCCCTCCTGAACAGTTATAGAGATTAAAGCAATAGAAGTTTATCATATAATTGCACACAAGTACAATAATTACATAGTTCATGGCTGCAAATACGAATATGGGATGATGGATAGTGGGACTTCTTGGGAGTTGATTGGGGTCGTGGCTCCTCAAATTTTTGTAACTCTTACGTAATTAATGATTTTGGCTCCCCAAACATAATAAGTATTTAATATATTTATTTGTATATTTACAATTTTATCCTTTCAACTTTCTTCTCAGTTTTATAATTTTCATATAATTTATAATTTTGTTTCCCTCAAACTTAATGATAATTTAATATATTTAAGTATATATCTATAATTTTATCTTTTTAACTTTTTATATTCTTTCTTCCTTTTATATTTATTTATTATTTATTAATAATATATTATTTCACTCCCCAAGATCAATGGTTAAGATTCGATCATCTGGTGATGGATAATCAAAGTCAATGGTTTGACTCTCTAAAAGATTGTTTCTAAAATGCATCAGAGTTAAACTTTTTAAAATACTATTTTAACAAAAATAGAATCAGGTCTTACAAAAAAACCTGTGAACTTAAGCCTAATTGACTGTTTTGTTTATATTATATATATATATATATATATATATATATATATATATATATATATCATTTAAATATAAATGTATAGAGATGCCAATGCAGAACTCGAGACTAGACTAAAAAAAATCTTTTAAAAAAAATATATATATATATATATATAATAAATTTTATGATAAAATAATACAAATTTTAAATTATAAAATTGTTAACCTGACCAAAAATTATAAAATGAAATTATCATTTATATTATCACAGTGGAATAATTGATAATGAAAAGAAAAATACTAATTAATTATCAGTGAAAATTTAACCGTTAGTGAATATTTAAAATTATATAGCGAGAATTATTTAGACATTTAATTAGCATTAGTATCAGAATAATTTTCAAAATAAAAAATATATAAATGAATTTTGATTGAAACTTTACTGTTTCTTTTTAGATAATTTTATTATTTTTTGATTTATACAAATTTATGTTCGATTTTATCATAATAATTTGTGATCATAAACTTCATGACTTCTCGTCGTATTTATATTTTCACATTAGTTAGTACAAAGTTTAAATTCTTATATTAAATGAGATTTTTACTTTTATTTGAATTTTTTCTTTAAGGTAGTTACAAGTGTTAAAATTACTCTTCTAATTTAATGTATATTATATGATTTAATTTTAAGAAATTGAGAGATAATTATAAGGAGTGGAGGAGAGAAAAACAAAAAGAACTAGTATATAAAGATGAAAAGAGACAGAGAAATACTCAAGAAAAATAAAATAAAGAAACGGTTGGTCAAAAAGAAAGTTAGAGAAAGAGAAATGAAAAGTTAAGAAAAGAATAAATCACACCAAAATTAAGAGGAAAAAAAAATGAGAGAGATAGAATTAAGAGAAAATATAAAAAAAATAATAACCAACATATATCCTTCCATTATGCAAATATTATTATTTTTTTTTTAACATCGTGAGAAAAAGTTTTTTAATGAGTTGGTTTCAACAGCAGAAATTTTAGTCTAAATAGAGAATTGACAGAAGAAATATTTTATGTTGGTATTAACTTTTGTTTCTATTTGAGAAGATGTATTCACGGTATTCTAAGACAGATACAAAATCACATGATTTAGAGTATGTGAATGTTATTTTTAAGTTTTTCTTTTTTATTATTATTATTATTTTATCTTTGTTTGTAATTAAGTTAGTTAAAATATCATAAGTATTGACTGACAAGTGAAAATTAATTAGACCTTGGATATAATAATAATAATAATAATAATAATAATAATAATAATAATGAGTGATTTATTTGTATTGCAATGGAAAGTGTGTGGATGTGTGTAAAAAATTTATTAGTTTATTCAACATAAAATATCATAGTTCTTCTTTTAATAAAAATCTTACCATGACATCACCATCAAATGTGTTATAGGCACAACATTTTTCCATTTTTTTTTTCATCCACATGAACTAAAATTCATTAAATAAAGAAAACAAAAATATAAGGGGTCGGACCAAAATCTATGCAAACAAACAATTAAGAATCCTATAATTCCAGAGATAAAAACTATTTGGAAAGAATTTCATGTTCATTAGCACAAGTAATGTATCAAATAATTGAAATTATAAATATATTATCACATTTGATTTCCTCTATTACATGTACATGTAATATATACATTGATATTTTTAGATATTATAATAAATAAATATATTATTATTATTTTGAAAATATTTTATAATATTAATTATCTAAAATTTAATTGGTCAATTATAACGAAAACTTAAACTATAATTTATATTTTATACATATAATAAAAAAATCACATATGGTTTCCTAAAGATTAATGTACTTATTATACCATCTTCCAATAATTTTTTACAGAATCATTTCTATAACCACTAAGGTAGAGTAATAACTTTCAACCCATAATTAATGTCATCCTTAAAAAAAATTCTTAAAAAAAAAAAAAGAGAATCTTTTCACATACTCCCCCATCAGAGTCCTAAAATATTTCCCCAAAAGCTAATCCAAATAAAAATAATACAAGAATATTATATTTCACTACACCATCAATATCATAATTATATAATACAAGAATAAAAATAAGATTTACTAAAATAAAAATGAAGTAAAAAAGAATATAAATTAAACATATACACATAATTTTATAATATTATTAAATTACATATTATCATTATTATTTTATGACCACTATTATAAAAATTCATAAATTTCTTATATGCAATAATATATAATTAAATAATTTTTTAAATTGTTTGTTACTACCTTCAATTATGTTTTTAAATTACATTTCTTAATTTACAAAATTCAAAATTTTATAAATTCATTTTTATTTAAATTTTTTTACTTGTTATTTCCATTACACAATAATTAACATATTTTTGAAGATTAAAGTGTTATATTTGAGGATGGAATGATCATATCTTGTGGTTAATAGTACAAATATTCAATGATTCCAATTGATTTTTTTTTCTTTCAACATGTTTTTTGCATTACTTAATTGTTTTAGTTTATAAAATATTTTTCTCATTTTTTTGGTCCTCTTGATAAGATGAGAACCGATCTAAGCTCTTTGTATTTGTCTATTTTTAATGCATTTTAAATTTTTTAATAATAATCTTTTGGAAATAAAAAATAATTTATATGATGACAAGACCCTTAAGCTATTTTAGGTTTGTTGGTATAATTAGGTTATGGTATTGTTTATAAGTTTTTTTTTTTAAATAAGCTAGCAAACAAACTTTTTAGTGGTATTAGACTTTTAGATAAGCCAGACTAAAAAAAAAATTAAAATATATTTAATAGGTAAATAGATAAGATCTAAATTTAGTAATAATATAAGTCAAACCAAAGCCTGATCCAACCGGTTACTACCCTAATGATAGGCATAGTCCATAGTTCACCTCTTTAAGTGATCCAAAAATTAAGTTTTGGAGGGTTTATGAGCATCAAGATCCAAAAATGGGTGAATGTGTTTAGTTTTCGATCATTTCACATCCATGTTAAAAATGAGATGGGATGAAGTGAATTAGTTACAATATATTATAGATTTTAGTTTGTCCACTCGATTAGTTCACAGATAATTATTTTATATAAATTATTTTTATATTTATTTTTTTTAAATACATATTTAATTATATAAATATTTTTTAAATTTTTATTTATTAATTAGTATTTTTATTAAATAAATTCAAAAATTATTATATTTATTTATTAAAGTAATTAATTATAATAAATAATTTAAATTTAATTAATTAATTTTTATAATTTAAACTATAATATTTAAGATATTTACATATTTCAATAATATAATATAATATTTATAATTATAATTTTTTAATTTTAAATTTAATATATAAATATATTTTTATTCTATTCTATTATCGTTAATTCATGAAATTAATAGAATAGACGAGATAAATTAAAACGAGCTAATGAACTAAAATCATCATCTTATCTTATATTTTTTAAACGAATTTATTTATAAATTATTATCATAAAATTTTAGTAGTTTAGTGATTAGAATACCAACACCCAACTCTAAGTTTACCGACAATACAATTTTCAACCAATTTTGTCCGTAAAAAATTTAATAAATTTAATTTTTCTTGTTTTAGGCTTTCTTAATATTCTAATGAAATGTAGGTCGGAGCAAAGTTGATTAAAGCTAAGAATGTAAATAGCATAACTACCCATTGAAAATTTAATAGGTTAAGAACAATTATTCGGTTTAATAGGTGATGAATTGAGTTATAACAAATTTGAAAGATTTTTATAAATATAACAAGAACATAGATTGTTGGATCTCTATTAGTTATTGGGGTTAATCATAAAAAAAATAGATAATATGATCAATCTATAAGTCGTAATAAGCAATGAATTGAAATATAATGCGCAAGAACACGTAATATATAAATATATAGTAAAGAATTATACTAATTCATTATTCACCTCTTAATTAATAGTCTAATTCCAATAAACTAAAGACTAATAAGATAATGAGTAGAATAATTAAATAAATTTAGAATATATATATATATATATATATATATATATATTATTTTTTTTGGTATTATAATTTTGTGTTAGTTGGAATTGATTCGTAAAACAAATATAAATATTTCGTGGGTTAGAAAAATATTACATATTCTTCTAATAATTATTTCATTATATTTTTATTTTTCTTATTATAACTATTTTAAATTCTGACTTTTTAAAATCATTTAAAATTTTCACCACTTAATGAATTTTTCATTTTTTTTAACTTTTTACAATCATTTCAATCTACCATCTTTTTGTTAATTTCCAACCACTCTAATCATGTGCTACGCTAGTGCCATGCTTATGTACTTGTACATTCCATTTAATTTTGTGGGAATAGTAATTTCACAAGTTACATTGTTATAATGTTTAATGAATAAAATCAAGTATGTATAAAATCAAGTATGTTGATATGAAAGTATAGTGTTATATTGATTAAATTATAATATATAATTGAATATAAATCTTATATTTTAAATTAATTTTATAAGATTAAGTTAGACAAATTTTTATTTCTAATATAATTTTATGAATATTAAAATTAGTAGGTCATCGCATTAAAATGTATCACATATTATCAATATTATTAAATTATTATTAGATCACTAATATCCTCAGTATAAGAAAGTGTATTAAAGTATATTGAAATTTGACATTGACTTGAACCATGATAAATTTATAATATATATTTGAGGTTTTAAGATAATTTTATAAGATTAAGTTAAATGTTTTAATTTTTAATAATAATAATAATAAAACAAACAGAAAAGATTAAAAAAAAATGTCGAGTGAATGACACCAAGTGACGAGAAGAATGCCCAATATGAAACCAGCAAAAAAAAAAAACAGAGGAAAACAGATTAAAAAAAAATGTAAAATTACTTCAACATAACTTTCTTTAATTACAGATAGAAAATGTCAATAAAGTTAATTTGTTTGTATAGATCCTCACAGAAATTGTGAAATCTACATGTGTCATGTGTGTCATATTGTAACTCAGGGAGAGACTATATTGAGAAAAGACACTCGAGTATTAATAAGGTGCTTAAACAAGCAATCCAATCCATTTTCAAGCCCTTCAATGACTACCACCACACCCTCAAGCTCTTTATGTGCACTTTGAATGTTCTCAGCTTCAAAATCTTTGTCTGGGTTATCCATGACCATTCTGCAAAGTGCCAAATCCACTTTTTCCAATTCATTCACATTCTCCTGTTCATTGTTGCATTGAACAAGTGCCCCTTTCCTCATCACTCTTGACACAAATGTCCACTTGTTATTAAGCTTTGACCTTAAGATTGGTGAAGAAAGAAACGACACTAGTGACTGAAAGATGGAGCTGGTGATCAAGCTAGCTTCTCTTAGAACCCTCACAACTGCTGAAACATGGTGATTGAGATCCAAAAGAGGAGAGGCCCCAAATGATGACCCTTCACTGTGCTTCAACAAAACAAGAGATTTTGTACATTGTTTCCTTGTGTTTCTTCTGAGACTCCAATATGAAGACACATGGCTTTCAATCACCAAGTCTCCAACCTTTCTCCTTCTAAGTGCTGATTGAAGGTCTCTAACGTTTCCCTTCATTAGCATGATGGCATCCCTTGTTTCTCCCAATATGTCCAAGAATCTCACTGGACAATCTAGCAACTCATCAACCCATTTTTGGTTGTGATGATGAAACAATGCTTGTTGGGTGAGTGGCAATTTCAAAAGATCTTCCATGGACTTGTACAACTCTGCAAGGCCTGAGAGACCAAAGAAAATTCTCTCCACTTCAGAGGAAGATGAAACCTCCCATGATTTCAGCTTGTTAAGCTCCTCTTCAATTCGAATTGTGCTTGGATGTGATCTAGTTGGCAAGCTTATGGATCGAATGGCATAGCCATGAGAATGTTTTGGTAGAAAGGTAGAAGCCATAGTTGCTCTTTTCATTTTATGCCACTTATGAATGTTGAGATCTTCTCCTTTCAATAATATTTATATATATACGAAAGCATGTACGTGTGGTTTTCCCATATTGTGGGTTCATAATAATAAGAGTTGAGTGTGGTATTTGGGATGTTGTTGTGAGGTCTTGTCAAGTTTTAAATAGAAAAGCTATGTATGTGTAACAAACGGTGTAAATGGACCTCACAAATTGCCTCTGCTGTCTTGTTTATCTCACCGTCCCTCATGCAGAGTCACTCAACTTCCATACAAAATCATGCACATGAAGGACCCATCAAGGAACGGGTTCTACACAGTAGAAGCATAGCAGCCTTTAGTTTGGTGAGAATTCTGTAGGGGAATCACTCAGCATTGTCTTGGCTAAACTTTAAACTTCTAACATCAGATTATCTCAACACAATTTCTTATACCTATCATACTTGCTACTACTAGATTCCACATTTCATTAATGTTTTATTTCATTACTGAACTGTTTTTTTCTTTTAAGTCCATTAACATGGTTTATATAATATTTTTAGGCTCATCAAATAAACCACTTTTATTTTTATTTTTATTTTTTGGACTCACTATTTTTTAAACCGCGTAGTTTAAATTAGATTTCAGATTAAAATTAAAAATCGAATCAAATTGTTTAAGTATAATGTTATATGTTTAGAATTAATTAAAACATATGGTTATATACCTTGAAAAGTGTTTCATAGTTTTATTATATTTTATTTATAATATATTTATAATTATTAAATATATTATAGAAACTTTAAATTGTATTTTTAATTATAAGATTGAATAATTTATTTACAAATATACAAAATTAAAATTATGAATATAATAATAATTGTACTATAAAAATTACGTAATATATATCTTTAAAAAAATTATTATAAAATATTTAAAATTTTATAAAATCATAAACTAAAAAATCGATCCATTTCAATTATGTTTAATTCAAATAATTATTTAATTAAAATTCAAACAAAACTAAACATCATTAATATTAAGATTAAATCATAACACATAATTCAAATATTTTAATGTCTTATATAAGATTTTAAATCATATAATATATATTTTTTTCATTTCTATCCTATTCCTCCTTTATAAGTTCTCTAATCTATATTTTCATTCTTATATGCTCATGTTTTTATTCTTTATTTTAAATTTCACGTTATTTTATACAATTTTACTTTGATTTGAGATATTAAATATATTTGAGTTTTTAATTCTTACAAACAATTTTTGTTAAATAAGAATGAAAAATGGTTTAGAAACTAAAAAAACTAGTTACGAATTCAGTCAACCATTATTCACAACTTAACAAAGAATCCAATTAGCAGCTAAGTTAATGATTGATTGCATTAACACCTGAAATAAGAAGGACTAAGATGGTGGCTAAATTGGTCACCAAGACTCACTTGCAACCAATTGGAGCAATTATTTTTATTTTGTTATCAACAACCAATTATTATCTTACAAATTTTGTGGCTGAAAACTAAATCAATTGCTATAGTCATTAGAGACGGAGGATTTTGCAACCGCTCTTGATTTTTCATCAAATCAATGGTGCATTAATTGTGGGACCAAAATTGTCAATATATTTAGCAACAAAATCATTTTAAACAGTGGCAGTTATTACAGTTGAAAAAGAAATGTAATAACATTTAAAAAAAAAAAAGTTTTCTAATATTTTGTTTTGGATGACTATATATTATTGGCACGAAACATATTTTCATTTACAAATTTTTCATTCACAAGATTTTACTTTCACTATTATATTATCAATTAGTTAGAAAAAACTTTTTTAAAAGTATATTAATTTATTTAAAATCTTATTTTTCTAGAATCATGCTTAATTTAATTTAAAGTAGTCTTGATTTGCCTTATATAATTATAATAATGTAAGAATGATAAGAAATATAGTTGCAACTTGCCCACAAACTTGTGTATCTATAATTATTTGTCGTAAATAAAAGTATTTATCAATTTAATATACAGGTTTTTTTTTCTTAAAAAAGATAATTTATTTCACTTTCTGTCCCATTATTATTATTATTATTATTATTTATTATTTATTATTATTATTATTATTATTATTATTATTATTATACGAGAAAATCCAGATTCAATAGGGCATTTTTTTTTCTTTTTGTTATTGAGTGGTGGCTATAAAGTTTGGCAAAAAAAATTATTATAATTTTAATACAGTTCCTTTTAAGGATTGCAATAATCATCATTAGTTGTTACACCTAAAACGTGTTCACGTGTATATGTTTCCTTCAAAAAGAACATTGTTTACGAAACTAATGTGAATGTGTCTTCTAACGAGATTAAAACCTTAATTAATCACTTTGGAGGGTCAATATATTTTATTAAACCTAGTTTTTGTTTAATTTCAGTAAAATGATTTAAATAATTAATGCATATAAATATAAAAACATATTATTCTCCAGTTGTTCATATCTGCCAGCAACAAAATATTATTTCCCTTTCTCTTCACCTTCAAATTTTTCTTTCTATACCATGAATGACTGAAGAAGCTCATGATTTCTTATATATTATTTAAATATGAGAGCTAACCAAATTATAATATATAATATATAAGTGAGATATAAACTTTATTTTGAATTAAACATTTCTTTTATAATAAGAATGAAATAAATAATATAAAAAATAATTAAGAGAAAATAATAATTAAACATGTGAATGGAAGACTTAAATTTAATATTTAGTATATATTCTGCATCTTTTCAAGTAGTGATAGGTATATATATACACGAGAAAATATATTGGTATATTTTTTAATTTTGTTAAAATTATTATTAAGTATATGAAAAATTTTTATTTTACCCATAATTTTGTATATTTAAATTTATTGACAATTATTTTATAATAAAATATATAATTGAGAGTGTATAAATATAGTAATTAGATGTAAAAAATAAATTACCTCACTTTTAGGTATTAGATACGCATTGTAACTTGCTCAAAAGGGTACACATTGAGAGTTGTTGAAATAAAATGTTAAGAGACCTTGGTGCATTATTTTTGCTAGCAAAAACATTTGGATGCCTTTGACTTTGAAGCAAACACAGGCAAAGGTAACAGGGATCCAAAGACAAACATGTTCATTACAATGACTTCTCTTTCCAATCTAATTACGAAAACAATTGTTTGATATCCCATGGGAAACAATTAGTTCACTTTAAGAAAATTTATGTGTTTTTGGTTTGAAAATTTATTTCAAATGGTTATGAATTTGAATACTCTTAGTAAAAAGTATTGGGTTTCTCTCACATGTTTGTAGCAAAGGTTTGTTTTATTAATTTCAAGCTTAATTTTATTTTGAAAATGAACTCTATGATCTAAAATACCTTAAAGATAGTAATTTTCCATTGAACTAAAAAAGATACTTTTAGTTAGTATATTTGTTTTATCATATATTTAGATTTTTTTTTTCAAAAGTCCTTTAAAAGATTATATTGTTTTACTTCTAATATAAGAATTTAGGTAATCTATACCTAATTAGTTAATGTCAATTACTTCTTTTTCTTCTTCTTTTTTAAGATTGACCAATTATTTTGTAGAGATAACTTATTTGAATACGTACTTTCTCCCCTTCCTATAATAATATCATTTCTTAAAAATCAGAAGTTTACTTTTTTATTTGCTCTTGCATTGTCGATTAATTGTAATGTTACCATTTTGTATATAATCAAACTAATTACAATTAGTTATGTTACAACCATCAATATTTAACAAACTCTTTTTTATATGAATTTTTTTTCTATTGTATATTTATAGCTAATACTATTTTATATATTTAGTTAATTTATAATAAATAAATAAAAAGAGACCAAAAAATATATTTAATAATTATTAAATTTGAGTTATCAAAATTATAAATATAAATACAAATTATAAAATTTTAGGGATCTTTGTTTCTCTCTCTTCCCAGTAAACTCTTAATGTGAGAAAATGTTATATGAACATAAAAAGACATTTTATTAAATATAAATAATATTATTTTATTTAATTAAAAAAAGTTCATTGAAATATTTAAGGAACCTATGTTTATATAACAGTATTAATCTAATTAAAGCAGAATTATTGTTGGGGGTAGTCCAAATTTTCTGTGGGAATTGAAAGATGTGATAAACTTGTTCACATTCTTCTTCTTTTGTTTGAAAAGAAAATATATTCTGCTATAACTCTTTCAATGCTTGAATCCATTTCTCTTATAAGAGAAGAAAGAAGGACTTTAACATTTTCCTTAGATCAAAGACCTTCCAAGCAAATTGCAAATCTTAAAGAGCAATGGTCAAATGGAGTTTGATGAGAATGTGGACGTGGCTTCCCAAGTTTCGAAAATGTTAAATGCTCCGAACAAAAACAACAACCTTACGAAGACATCACAAGTTTCGAAATCTCATAATCAAAGGTGACACAGGATTAAAGTTTTTGTGTGATAAAAATATCAAGATTCAAAATAAATAATATTTTAAATGTGCTCATTGACTCTAATTGTGAAGAAAATTTTCAATAACTCTTGGTGACTCAGAGGAAAATTTGATTATTTGTGTTCTGCATGTGTAATTAGAAAATTATTTTTTAATATTTCATTCATAATTTTTAAAGTATAATTTTATTTCAAACATTAATTTTAAATCATGAACAAATAGTTTCATTACTATTCTAAGCAAATATTTTTTTTATTTTAATACTAGTTTTTAAAAATACATTTTATTTATGCTTTATTTTCATTTTAGGCATTAGCTTGTATAGAAAGTGATAAAATGAAATAATGAAAGATGAAAACACGTTTTAAAAAAACTGGTTGAAATCACTATTTTCATTTAGTGGGCCTTGAATAAGAAATTGATTTTTTAAGTGAATTCTACCAAGTCTTTGCTTGCCATTAATCCTGGAAAAATTAGTACTAATTCTAGCTACCCTCCATTCATAGGTATTGTTTGACGATGAATGAGCAA